GCCCTCTTCATTGACCTGGAGGAGTCCAGACATTCTGGTGGATTTGCCTCCTGTTCCCTTCACTTCAGTAGGAGTGGAGTGTGTGTGTGTGTGTGTGTGTGCGCGCGCGCGCGCATGTGGTGCTGGAGATGGAACCCAAGGCTCATGCAAGCTAAGCGGGTCAGTGCTCTGCCATTGAACTGTACCTGCAGCCCAGGAACAGGTTCCTGAAGTTCCCCAGGCGTCTCCCTTTCCTGTGGTTCTTTCTGTGCAGGAGACTGAGCACAAGGCGCAGGCTCCTTGGAGTAACATCCTTGTGTCCTAGAGGCAGTCCAGGGTATATGGTTTCCCTCGGGCTTGGCTTCCTCCCCTGGTGACTGGAGGCCATGTGTGTCATTTGATGGTGGTTGTCATCCTGTTAGGGGAGGGCACTTTTGGCTCTCAGGTCTGAGCCTTTGGGTAACAGCCTTTGGCCATTTCTCTCCCTCCTTGAATATGTGGGTCTATCCATCCATCTTATAAACGGACTCTTTCATTTCCTTGGCCTGTGTGCCCTGGCATGAAGGTGAAGTAAGGTAGGCATAAACCCAGAGCACACCTGACCTTTGACTTTGCAGTGATCTTTTTGGACGGAGGAGACACACCCAGCTCAGAAGCTCCAGAAATCATCTACCTTGGCTTTCCTGTTGCCTTAGGGACATTGCTTGGAGATTTCCAGAATGTTGCTATGCAATGGAAATTTTCTGGGGCAGCTTCCTCTTTGTGGGAAGAAGGCGACGCTTTTCCCTTCTCCTGCATCCTTGCCACCTATCTGCTCATCTGCCCTGGGGCCAGAGCTTCCGCAAGCAAGGCAGGACCCCAGCTTAGCTGTCCCTGGCACACACTCCAAGCACAGCATCAGCTGCTGTGTAGAGAAGTCTGACGCCCCTCCAGGAGGACATTGGCCTTCAGTCTTACTCACTGTAACCCCACCCCATGTCATCGTCCTCCAGTACATGGACACCCCCCTTGTGCAGGGTCATGTGGCACCCATGCCCTTGCCCATTTGGACCCCAGCTGTCCTGAACCACGCCAGCACTGCCCTTCTGTGTAGTGCTGCTCCTTACTTGATGCTTCTGTCCAGTGGCCCACCGTGTTTTTGACTCTGTGCCCTCACCTGTCACTTCACCCAGTCCTGGCTTGATATTTGTGGGCTTAATCTTTTTTAGATTGGTTGTATTTCCTTTATAGTACACTTATTTTGAAAGAAGCTAAAAGCTACAATAAAATAAAGTTAGTGCCATGAGAACGAAGTCAAGTTGTTAAGCTCTCTCCAGGTAATAGAATTGCCTCCAGCACCTCTCAGTGCAGCCAGCACACTGCATCAGGCTAGGGCCTTCCTCTCCAATACTGGGGTGAGAGCGGCAGGGCACTTGAGTCTGGGGCCACACTCCCTCCACCTGAGACCAGTCTGCGCCGAGGGACAAAGTTAAGCGGATCCTTCCACTCACTGTAGCCCTGCAGGGTCTCTGAGTTTGAGGTCTTCCTTGGTAGTGGTGAAATCATCTCTCTCACTCTTTTTTTGGTACTGGGGATGGAACTCATGACCTTGCACTGCCAGGCAGGCACTGTGTCGCTGAGCCACATCCCAGGCCCTGTCATCCCTCTTCCTGTGATCCCCTCAGGAGTGGAGGTGGGTGGTCAGTAGGCACAGGCTCTGTGCACAGCTGGGTGCTACCGTGGGCACTGCCCACCCCGCAGCGCTGCACCTCTCCGGACAACAGCAATGTGCTTTGTGCTGTCAGATGTGTGCATGTGCTTGTGATTAGGTACAGCTCTCAGATCTCCTCCACTGTCATATCTGGAGCAGCATTTCTAGCAGGTCACCCTGGCCCGGCCTGTGGCGCTTGCTCTCGTGGATCTGTGTGTGACCTTGCTTTCGCTGGCACCTGCTCATGCAGGGCTCTAGGGCTCATAGCAACTTTTCTAAGCCTGTCACTCAGCTGGAGATGCGTCATTTTCCCCAGGTTGCCCCATATACTTCGCTCCATTCAGAGTGGCACGTCAGTCCTCTCTGCAGGCGTGCTTCTAGGTTTAGGTACTAGGTTCTAGATTCTTTTAGGTACTAGGTTCTAGATTATGCCAGGAGTATTCCCGCTCGGATGAGGAGTCCTTGGCACGAGCAGCAGACCTACCTAGTTAGCCTGTAGAAACCATGGAAGGGTCGGGGCTGTAGCTCAGTGGCAGAAAAGCGCCTGCCTGACAAGTACAAGGTCCTGATTCAGTTTCTGGTATACACACACATACACATACACACAGAAGAAATCACCGTAGGGGTGGGATGGCAGGAGTTCAGTCACAGAGCATGGGTTTAAGATGCACAAGGCCCTGGGTTCCATCTGCAGCACCAGAAGAGGGTGGTGAAAGAAACCACTGCAGTGTGTGGTGATAGCTGGGAGCTCGCTTGGCTCTTGTGACAAGTCACTAAGCCCACCCTCTAATGAAGCTGCTTCAAGGAAATGTCCCTCTGGGTCCCAAGCTCCTGGCTCATTGCTTCCTTTCACACGGGCATTTCTGCCCAGCTGATCAGTGCTCTCCGTGTCAATTGTGCTGTGATGCAAGGTGACAATTGGAGAGGGAGCTCTTGATGCCCTCTGAGCACCGTCTCTGGTGTCCTGTGTAGGAGAGGTACCAGGACAGGGCTTCCTTCTTATCCAACAGTCTGAGCGGGGCGACCTCCGAGGGAAAGCAAGCTCCTGGAGGTTGTCGTCTCAAAGCTTGGGGTACCCGGTGCAAGTTGCGGGTTCTGGTCTGGCATCCGGACCTGGTCAGGCATGGCTACATCCTTGCTCAGCAGTGGCTGCTATACTATAGCCTCGCTTTCGTGAGCTAAAGGTACAAAAGATTGTTTTGGGTCGTTTATTTGTGTGCTTACATTATTTGCATCCCTCCCCTCTCTGGTTTTGGGGGGAAGGAAGAGGGTGGAGTTGCAGGGGCAACCCCCAGCCTTCATAGTTGGTTGGATGGGTACTTTACCACTGAGTTACAATCCTACCTGCAGCGGGCATTCTTAAATCTCTTCTAGGATTAAAAACAAAACAGCACAAAACCCCTTCCTCTTGAAGCAAACAAGGGTTTCATTCTTCTGTTGGGTCTGTGAGATCTTTACTGTCATTTTCACCACCACTGGTTATTTGTGCAGTTTCCCCCTGCTCCCTTCAGGTCTTTGCACTAAGAGCCTTGAGCTGCCCCACGTGAACCCTCCCGCATCAGCCTCTGCCTTGGAGCAGTGCTTTCTTCAGGAGCTCCCCAGTGCTAGCTGGGCCTGTAGTCCGCCGGAGCACCATGGGGAAGAAGAGGCTTTCTGGACATACTAGTTTTCCCATTCCTTGTCGGCCTCACGCCCACCCTGCAGCTGGGGTCATGGTGTGGGGGTGCATATGGCCAAGACCCATGTGCCAGGCTACTGGCCTGCCTTGTGCCCAGAGGTCCAGCTCCCCACAGAGTCCAGGGACAGACTACCAAGTTTATTTCTGTAGGGTGATGAGATGCACTTGTGAGGAAGTTTTTGGTGTCTTGCTTTAAATTACATTTGGACTGGATGATAATTCAGCAGCAGCTGAAGTTCCTAGTTTTAAAATTGGTTCTTGACCCACTCAGTTGTTCCAGAACGAAAGCCATAACAGAGTGAGCTGGCATGCCCTGCCTTTTCTTGTTCCTCTTCCTGCTGATGGTCACACAACGCTTCTTTTTGAAAGCCCTTCCTTCCTGATTTCCTCGGCAAGGTTTTCTTGTCCCCATAAAACTGCCGGGTTGAATCCTAGAGATGTGGGCAGCCCCAGCTGCTGGTCATATCTTTTGCTTGCCTGTAGAAAAATGTTGTAAGTAGGCAGGGCACAAAGAGATGCAAATAGGCGGCTCATATTTGAGTGTCTGTTTTCTTTTCTCATTCACAGCCTGGAAACTCTTGGCCCTTTAAGTAGAGGGTGGGTTATTGTGTTTCTGGAAGGCAGTTTGCATTAAATAACCTTGTGTATCCCCAGACTACTCTGAATCTTGGAGTTTGTCTCACTGGAATGACTTGCCCTTTTGAGGATGCTTGTGGTGGGTTTGTATGGTGCCTTTAGCATGCATTGGTTGTTCAGGGAGGTATGAAAAGGCACAAGATGGGGTGTTCATTGGGCACTGACAGCCAAGCAAGGCCTTGCCTCTAGAGGTGCCCCTTTCTGGTTAATAAAAGGGTAGGCTGTGTATGCCTCATTCATTCATTCATTCCTTCTTGTTCTATTGAGACAGGGTTTCGCTATGCTGTTCAGGCTGGCCTTGGACTCATTTTGTAGCCCAATTTAGCCTGAAACTTGTGATGATCGTCTTGCCTCAGCCTCTGAGTGTGCTAGGGTTACAGGCATGCGCCACCACACCCCACCAATGGATTCTTCTGTTAATCAGCACTGACCTTACGTTTTTTTCTTTCTTCAAAAAGAAAACTGCATTAAGTTACTAAGAAACTTCCGAGGATGAGGCTATGCTCTGAGCCTCAGCAGAGGTTGTATGGCCCCTCCATGGGCTGGCAAGCTTGGAGTCAGCTCACTAGGTAAAATTACTGACTGGGTTCTGTGCTCCATGAGCCACAGTACAGACAAGAATGTGAATGTGTGTGTCAAATCCAGGGGCCTTGCAAGCCTTGTCTTACCTAAGCTATTGTCCCTTGAATGCTTACAAGTGGAAAAGGAATGTACAGATCTGCACAACGTGACTTTCTTATATCTTCTCCTCCATGAACTCCCTAGCACGCAGTACCTGCTGGTTTCTGGTCAATCCTCAGCTTGTGCCTGCCCCTACTGTTGGGAGCCATCTCCCATTCCCTGCTGGCTGGTGAGCAGGAGAGCAGATACTAGGTGCTGTGGAGCATAGAGTGAGCCCGCCAACTTGTGCAGTCACTGCAGAAAGCTCCTTGGAGGCTTCAGCCAGGAGGCTGTACCATTTCCAGGAGTGCCTGTCTGCTGCTGCATCTCTGATGGGACTTCTCTGTTTTCTTGTAGAGCGCCTGGTGAAGAATGTGATGGGATCATTAGCATGTCTGCAGAGAGTGGCCCTGGGACGAGATTGAGAAATCTACCAGTAATGGGGGATGGACTAGAAACCTCCCAGATGTCTACGACGCAGGCCCAGGCCCAGCCCCAGCCAGCCAACGCAGCCAGCACCAACCCCCCACCCCCAGAGACCTCCAATCCCAACAAGCCCAAGAGACAGACCAACCAGCTGCAGTATTTGCTCCGAGTGGTGCTCAAGACACTATGGAAACACCAGTTTGCGTGGCCTTTCCAGCAGCCTGTGGACGCTGTCAAGCTAAACCTCCCTGTGAGTAGTCTGTGCAGGGCCCTGGGCCTCTGTCCACATCAGTCTCCTCATGAGGACAGATTCCAAGGGAGGGTGGAGATGGATTTGGAGTCACGAGGAGAGCACTGTCTGCCGGCACCTGCAAGGCCTCTGTGTGGCTTCAGGAGTCTTAATAATCGGCATGGGGAAAGAAAAAAAGTGGCTGAAACACTCGCTGGTTTCTTAGATCTGGGATCTTGGGGAAAGCTGTGTAGAGAGAGATTGAAACAGGAGGGAAAAGGCTGGCTCACACCCTCACCTCTGTCTCCAAGGGAGCGTAAATCAGTGCTGAAATCCGAGGGACCAGTAGCAGGTGTGGTGGTCAGACTGCTGTCCTGCAAGCACTGTCGCCTTCGTCACCAGTGCAGGGAGGAGGGGCACAGGCAGCAGATTCTCCCACAGAGATCGGAGGGGATCTGGGAGCTGGGAGCTGGGCGCTGGCCATATCCTTAGCAGGCAGCTTCGGCCCCTCTCTAGAGTTTCTTCCCATTTGCCCACATGTCGTGAACAGCTCTGCGAGCATAAGTGTCTCCCTGCGAGCATGAGTGACAGGGAGCGAGCATGAGTGACAGGGAGCGGTTGGAACAAGTGCTTAAAGTTTTGCTTTTCTTCAAGGCATCAAGGACTTGTCTCTGAGCTGTGCTGTCCTGTGTACCTGGTCCTGTGTTCACTGGCAAGTGAATTAGTTGGTAACAGCTGCTGAACCTAGGTTGGGTTTGCCTGTGCAGGGGTAGTGTTAGCATCCACCTGGCATCCAGATTCATGAGGAAAGGGTATCCTAGTCTGGCATTCTTGGCTTGAAAGTTGTGCATGTGCCAGCTGCCCTGTGCTGTCTATGCACCAGATGCGTGTCACATGAACTTAGGTAGAGTCAGCCAGGGCAGGGTGCCCCAGGTCCGGGCAGTGTACTGGCTCAGGAAAGGGTAGCAATAGAAGAGGGGCTTTGCCCACATTGATTGACTGACACAGCAGGTAGAGGAGCCAGCTGTGGGGCGAGCTTGCTGGTCCAGTCTCTGGCTGGGCTGTGCAGGGTCTACAGTTGAGGGTGCTGTTCTTAAAGAAATACAAAGAGCCTTTGGACAGAGGGAGCGAAGGCCAGGTGCAGGGTGCTCTGAGACTTTCCCAGGAGGAGGCAGGAGAATCCACTGCGGACAGCAGCAGTCTCCAGGTGTCTGTGGCAGAGGCGTGAGGGTGTGGCCTGACTGCCTTGTTGGTCTTAGGAGTCCACTGATGACCTTAGGAAGATGTGACACAGGCATGGGAAACAGATTTGAAACAGGGCGATTGAGGTCAGGGCATGAGACCACTTTTTCCAGAAATTGAGCTTCAGAGGGAAAGTGTATCCTAGCCAGAGAAGGGGAGGGGCTGTCCTGTAATAGGAAAATGCAGTGAGGACAGAGACTGGGGGCCGAGGCCAGTGGAGGAGAGGGCTCTGGAGGCACTGAGATCCCAAGGAGGTGGTGTGGCGTCCCAGGAGAGGTCACGGGAGCAGCACTGGTGAGTGGGACACACAGACGTGTGTGGCCGATGAGGCTAAGGCTGCGGAGTGTGGGCCTGCCAGTCCCGGCGGCGGCGGACTGTTTCCAGCAGTGATGGGGACAGACTGACTCCAGGTGGAACCGATCCAGAGGAGGGAGGGCTGCTGTTTGCTGCGAAGACATCTTGCAGTCCTTGGTGTGGACTGAAAGAGGGGGACTGGGCTGGCAACAGCATCGTTCCCCAGTTTTCCTGGGAGTTCACAAGAGCTCCCTCTTCTACAGGAGCTATTAATAGGCACTCTCTCCAAAGAAATGGCTGCCCCGTGCGTCTCCTGAGGCCTTCTAGAGCTTGACCTGTGTCTACGTCTCTCTGGTCATGCCCTACGCCCACTACCCTCCTTCCCAGCTCTCCGTCACAGTCATGCCCTCGAGGCTCTTGAAACCACTGTGGCCAGTACAGACACCGAGTCCTGTCCTTAGGGGACTTTGGGCTGCAGGAAGAAGTATGAATGTATTTGGGCTTGGCAAGGGGCTGGAGCATAGTGTAGACAGTTCAGTTTTGAGTCCCTCCTCGGCCCCGCCTTGGCCTGGGATGTTTGGGTGTGCACATGCCCCCTTAACGCCTAAATGCAGTGGTGTCGGAGCAGCTCGGATCCCACCGCCCACCACCTTTCTTAGAAAGTCAGGACTTGGAGCTTCTGAGCATAGGCCAGCGCTCCTTCCAGCGGCCTCTCTGCAGCCTTGGCTACCCCGCTGGGCTTCATTCTGATGCCTAGGAGCTGGCTCTCTTTGGTGTGGCCTAGTGGCTCCAGCTGGCCTGATATTTCAGGCTGTATCCGTGAACTCCTCCCTGGTTCTCTGTGGTCATCCAATCCCTGCTTGATCCATGCTCAAATTATTCACGTATTTTTGAGAATAAACTTCGGGTTTAGAGAAAAGTTGTGAGGATGACACAGAGTTAGATTTGAAGGCCCTTAGGTCTCCTGTGCCTGCCATCCAGGTCCTCCTAGTCAGAGTGAGGCCTGAAGGCTTGTGGACACGGCCTACTGGAGTTTTCAGTGCGGATCACAGGAGGCTATGTGACTGACAGGTAACCTGGGTCATCCAGCCGCATGACAGTGCTGACCAGTCTTTGGTGGTAGACTGCGTGGAGGTGAAGAGATGAATCTGGTGAGGCAGAGGAGACACTGACGCCTCAGGGTTCTGCTGTGTGATGGAAGCGGGGTGCAGGTGTTCCATGGGGCTCAGACCTAGGGGCCCAGGAGCACGTGGTTTATGGAGGGTACCGGCTGGGGTGCTTTGGCTGCTGCTTTACAACAGGATGTGTGCTTGCCCATTATTTACAGCTAAAGGCTATTTTAACATAAAGAAAAACCATACAGGTAAATTTTAGTGAAGATAGCCAACCCAGAGAGGGCAGCTGGCACATCTCCTTCCAAGTGGCACCTCGAGTTTCGGAGTCCTTCCTTGATCCACTTTACTTTGGATTTCCCCAGTGGTCACTGGCCGATGCCGTGGAAGAGCTCCCATTGGCTGTGCCTCTTGTGGGTTTATCTGTGGGGTAGAATAAAATCCACAGGCTGGGCCGGCCTGGCCCAGGGTGGCTGCCAAGGTGACACTTGCCTTGTCCCCTCTCCTTCCCAGGATTACTATAAGATCATTAAAACACCTATGGATATGGGAACAATAAAGAAGCGCTTGGAAAACAACTATTACTGGAATGCTCAGGAATGTATCCAGGACTTCAACACTATGTTTACAAATTGTTACATCTACAACAAGGTGAGCTGTGGGGCCAGTGTCCAGAGACCCTGGGGAAGCGGAGGAGATAGAGAAATGGAAGGTTTGTCAGGAGACCAACGCAGGGGCTGGGGTATTCAAAAGGATGAGGCTTCGACCTGATAGCAGGTGGCATTGGGACTGGAGGCCTTGAGACCTTGATTGTGCCCTGGCCTGGGAGCATGTCTTTTGCCGGGAGGAGTGCGCTGGCCACTGTGGGGCCTGGAGCATGTGCTTCTGGCACCCTGGGGATTTGGTTCCTGAGCACGTCTGTGGAGGAACTGAAAGCAGCAGCGGTCCGTGCCAGTCCCTCAGGATGGTGTGCGTTGGCAGGGCAGAGCCATTCAACTGTAGTCTTGCAGGGGGAGCTCAGACAGAGACTGCAGCAAGAGCGGGCTACAGGGGTTGGCTGTAGAGCCCGCTGTTCTGTGGGTCACATTCTCTTGGAACTGTGGACATGACCATTGAAAAGCCCTGGCCATAGCATTCAGTATCCCCCTGCTCTTACCTGTACACCTGAGAGCCACTTCTAACCCCGTAGCCAAACCTTTTGGCTCGGCCATGAAGCCAGATCATTTGTTTACAGTTCAGACCACAGAAGTGATTAAAACCAACCCTTTCCAATATAACGACTCTGGAGGGAGACACTATACAGAACTCAGCTTTTGGCCTCTGCTGGTGTAGTGGGTAAAATTGCCCAGAAGAGATGGGTAGGTGAGTTTCTTGAAGTTTACTGTGTTTTGTAAAGTCCTAGCTCTCACCACTTAGGTGGTGGAAATAAATGTACAAACAAGGCCCTTGGTTCAGAGCTGATGTCCTGGATGAGGTGACAGCCTGGGGACCCATAAAGCAGCGTGAGACGGGCCTTATCCAAACCCCACTGAGCTGCCTTGGGGGTACGTGGGGAGCACTAGTGAAGCCCTGCTAAAATAGTAGTCGTGGCAGGAAGTCCTGTATAACTGATGCATTTACAGCGAATTCACTTGAGATGTGCCACCTAAAGCTAGGAGGGCCCCGTCAGAATTGGTACACTAGGTAGGTGCTTTCAAGGCACTAGGATGGTTTCCCACACAGGCCAGGGCTGAGCCAGTGAGACAAAGAGGTGCACTTAGATGCTGGGTCAGCACCTCCTGGGGCACCCAGTAGTGTATAGCTGTGGCCCCGTGGGCTCCATATCAGGGTAAGCGTGTAAATATGATGCTTCACACGTGGGAGGGATGGCTTAGGTGTCCTGTCCGCAGAGGCAGGGAGGAGAGGCTCCCGGCTCTACCACACGTGTCTCTTCATCCAGCCTGGAGATGACATCGTCTTAATGGCAGAAGCGTTGGAGAAGCTCTTCTTACAGAAAATCAATGAACTTCCCACAGAAGAAACTGAGATCATGATAGTCCAGGCAAAAGGAAGAGGACGAGGGAGAAAAGAAGCAGGTAGGGTTCAGAAATAGAAGCAGCTGGGTTTCGGCTCTGGCCCAGGTCTAATGGAGGAGTGAGGGAGGCAGGCAGCCAGGGGGTGACCGGCTGCCTGCCCCACAGGGTTCTGTAGTGCTGTGCTTCCCCTCGGCAGTGCTCGGGAGACCTTGCTTCTCTACAGTGTCCACGGCCTTAGGCCAAAAACAGTGCCAAACCTAGGATCCCAGTGCTGGGGAGCCAGAAGGTGGGGCGTTAAGGTCAGCCTGAACCCACATAGCACAACTGTCTCAGAGAAAAGAAAAGAAAACTCCTCCCAGGGAACCTTGGTGCTATAATTCTCACCTTGACAGTGCTGTGTTCCTGTGGATGGTTTCTCTCCCCACCCCTACCCCTTCTCTCCCGCCCCTCACTTTCTAGGCCTTCCTTTCAAGGGTGCACCCAGGCTGCACACCTGCTAGGCAGGTGCTGTGCCATTGAGCACACCTGTGGTCCAGCCTTTGCATTTTAGAGTAAAGAAACTGATCTGATCAGCACCAGTGTTAGTCAGTGGCCTGATCAGAAGCTCTGAGGTATGTCATGTGTCGTAGGGTTGACCAGCTCCAGCATCCAGTCATCTGAAGTCGGTTATGCCTTTCCTGTCTGGCTCTGTGTGTCCTGCCTCCCTTGTCCCTGAAACCCCCTTAACAGCAGGATTCTGGAGGCCAGTTGGCAGCTAGTTCCCCACTTACAGAAATGTTCCTGTCTAGGAAGGTGTAACAGCTACCTCTGTAGCTCTGTGCCGCAGAAGCATGATGTTCTCAGGGCTATGAGTTGTTGGCTTCTGTGGCCCCTCACCTCATTGTGAAGTAGTGGTCGGACAGGGTCATTTAGATCCCCTGATGTGCCTAGCATAAACAAGGGAAACCAGTTTTGCTGGTCACTGCTTTGCCAATCCTCATACCCTTACATAAAGACTCTGCTCAGCTCTTGCTTTCTGAGACCAGGTGTTTGGTCTGTGCACCTAGCAGACCTAATGACAGCTTCTGTGATCCAATTCTGGGAGTACCTAAGGAAGGAGAGTCTGGAACACAGCAGACCCTCCTACTTTGCACAGAGTGCTGGGTGTCGGACCGTTGTGTGGCATCCAGTGCACCTTTGAAGGACACAGCAGTTGAGATCATGGCCTTAGGCCTCAGTTCTCTGGTTCACCTGCTCATGGGAGAGCCCTGGTCATTGCCCCTCACTTTTAGAGCATGTTGGCTGTGCAGCATGGCCACCCAGCTCCAGGGGCACAGCCTGCAGTGGTCATGAAGGGCAGTGGCTGTCCACCTGGCTCTGAGGGGCGATGTCATGCCAGTTCCCAGAAACCTTGGTCAAGGGTGGCTAAAGCCGAATGCTTACTCAGCACTCAGCTCTCGTAGGAACAGGTCAGCTCTGGCCGGATATTCCAAGGAGCGTTTGTTTCCTATCCACATTGTAGACTCTGCTCTTTCAGGCCCATGACACCCAGAATTGCAGACTACAATGTGCTGCTGCTCCCTGAACCCTGGGGTAAATAGGCCTTGGCCCAGGGACACCTAGGACACAGACACTGTCTGGAGCAGGTGGACTGACAGACGTGTGCTGGTGTGTGTGGCAAGGTCAGCCAGCAGGCAACAGCACAGCCTCTAACTCCTGTCCTTTTTGTGGTTGATAGGGACAGCAAAGCCTGGTGTATCCACGGTACCAAATACAACTCAAGCGTCAACTCCTCCGCAGACCCAGACTGCTCAGCAGAACCCTCCAGCTGTTCAGGCCGCGCCTCACCCCTTCCCCGTCACCCCAGACCTCATCGTGCAGACTCCTGTCATGACGGTGGTGCCTCCCCAGCCATTGCAGACTCCCCCACCAGTGCCCTCCCAGCCACCACCCCCACCTGCGCCTGCCCCTCAGCCCGTCCAGAGCCACCCACCCATCATCACCGCCGCCCCGCAGCCTGTGAAGGTGAGCATCATGGGCACCGCAGGCTCCTGGCACCAGGGCCCGGCTTGTAGGAGACAAGGTCCTGTCCTTGCTGCACTCCTTGAAGCCTGTTATGTTCCCCAGGCCCTGGCAAGTATTTCTGGGGAAGCAGGTACTCCGCTGACCCAGAGAAATCCCAGCTGTGTTCCTCTGCCCAGCAGGCTCCTGCCTCTGAGTGAGACCATGTATGTTTGCGGGCACCATCTAGTCCGGCCTCTGGGCGAGGTCCCTGAGTAGGAAACAGCTGTGGGAGGTCCTTTGATGCACGCATGGGAGTGAACAGATTCTGAGCTCTGTGTGTCCCGTCCAACCGCCCTGGGTTCTGACCCAGCCACAGAGAAGAGTAGTGGAGGGAGTCTTCCCTGTCCATCACCTGTACAGCCCAGCCGCCTCCCGGTTCAGTGTCTGTGGTTGTTGGGATCCTAGATAGGACCTGTTTTCGGGTGACCCCGAGGGGCAGCTTGTACTGCGTGCCGTTTCGGATGGAGCCTGATACATCTGTGCTCCTGGCAGACAAAGAAGGGGGTGAAGAGGAAAGCAGACACCACCACCCCCACAACCATTGACTCCATTCACGAGCCGCCCTCACTGGCCCCGGAGCCGAAGACCACCAAGCTGGGGCCCCCCCGGCGGGAAAGCACCCGGCCTGTGAAGCCCCCAAAGAAGGATGTGCCCGACTCCCAGCAGCACCCGGCGCCCGAGAAGAGCAGCAAGATCTCAGAGCAGCTCAAGTGCTGCAGCGGCATCCTCAAGGAGATGTTTGCCAAGAAGCACGCTGCCTACGCCTGGCCATTTTACAAGCCCGTGGACGTGGAGGCCCTGGGCCTGCATGACTACTGTGACATCATCAAGCACCCCATGGACATGAGCACAATCAAGGTACCCTGCATGCCCCTGGGAGGAGTGGGCAGAGGCCGGGTCCTACAGCTCCCTTGAATTGCAGAATGGTGTAAAGTTTCCCCACCAGTGGTGGGGGGGCTCCCCCTGCTGGGTGTTTTGGGAGTGGGCCACTGTGGTTGCAGAAGTCAGTGCTGCCCCCTGCCCCTGTCCAGGGAGAGGCAAGATGCATCTGTGGCCACAAGGGCCAGGGCCCTGGCACCATGTACCTGGTAGCTGCTATGGGAGGTGGCCAGGTTCTATGCTGTGGAGCTGGCTGGCATGCCCTTCACATGACTCTGCATTTTCCTCCTCCTGCAGTAGAGTAAGGGAGCCCAAACATGGCACAGGCAAAGCAGAGGTGGTGACCAGCGGCATGGCCTGTTCCATGTCCCCAAGAAAAATACATGCAGAATCAGGGCTTGGGCCCAGTCTAGCCTACACCTTCTCCCTCTAGTTCTGGTGTAAGCCCTGCCTCCTGGGGTTCTGTGTCCTCTTGCCCTATGTTTGGGCAGTTGCAGTGACCCCCAGAGGGTGAATGTGAGCTGCTGACTGGGCGATTCACAGCCCCAGGTCCACATGATGCTGATAGTGGAGTCATGGCCTGTGTATACCTTCACCCCAAATCCAAAGCAGGCAGAGCCAGGCATGGTAGCACACACCTGTAATCCCAGCACTTGGGAGGCTGAGACAGGAGGATCACCACAACTTCAAGGCCCGCCTGCACTACACAGCAAGACCTTGTCTCAAAAACAGCAGCGTAGGCAGACGTGGCTGACCCTTGTCTTATCTTTGTAGTCTAAACTAGAGTCCCGTGAGTACCGAGATGCTCAGGAATTTGGTGCTGATGTCCGACTGATGTTCTCCAACTGTTACAAGTATAATCCTCCTGACCATGAGGTAGTAGCCATGGCCCGAAAGCTCCAGGTAAGGATCTGGGGAGAGCAGGCCACACCTCTCAGGTGTGTGGAGCAGAGCCCGTGCATGTGCCCTCAGGAGAACCTGCCGGGCTCCAAGCCAGCACGAGCCTTTTAGGGTGGGTCATCTACTGACTGTCAGAGCAAGGGCCTGGTTTCCTCTCCAGGTGATCACAGAGAGCTCTCACCCTTCTTACCCTCCACCTCCACTTCCTTGCCCTTGGCTGGAAGAGTGTGTGCGCTGCGCCTGGCTGCTCTTGTCTCCAGAGTAGACCTGACTCAGGTTGGGGGAGGTAGCACACTTTGGCGGTAGATGTTTACCACAGATGGGGGCCCCCCCGAGTATCTGCTTACCCTGCGGCTGTTTCTGCAGGCTCTCGAGATCTGTGCTTGCCCTCTAGCTGCATGGTGGCTATTCAGATGTTCCCTGTGACCATGATTCACGGGCCAAGTCCTTGAGGTTGACACTCCTGGGTGATATGCGCTGTAAGATGCACATGGGAGAGGTTGCGTAGGTGTGTGAACTAATTTCACTTCTGTGTTTTAAAGGATAGTGTACGCCTAAATTTAAAACAGCAGTTGTCTTCGGGTAGTAAGATCAGGGCCTAAAGATGTAGGAGAACAAAAAAAAAAAGATGTGGGAGAACAAAGTCAGTGTTCACTACCTTGATATTCTACTTTTTAACATTGTTTGAAAGTAAACACACGAGGTCATAAAAAGTTGTTCACCTTTTCTCCCCTGCAGGGAGATGCCAGCAGGCTGTGGGTTGGGCCACCTGATGTCACGAAGGTACAGGTGTGCTCAGTCAGGGTGGGCCTCTGGGTGATCTGTGGTACTGCGCCACACAGAGGCTGCCTGCGCGCTGTTGAGACGCCATGCCTTCATCTCGGGGTGGCAGGGAACTTGGCCTGTAAGTGCAGTTCCGGTGGCCTCTTTGTTACCTGCGTGGACCTGGCTCTGGGCAGTCAGACCCATGCCCAGACTGGAAGGCCTCTGTTTCTAGGACTTGTTCGTTCTGCGCTCTGACTTTGGCTGGGCGGGTGGCACTGCCAGCCTTGGTTGGTGTTGCTTGTCCTCACAGAGAAGTTGCCTGGCCAGTGCTGTCCCCTCCTTCAAGGAGGGCCAGCTTTTTCGTCTCCCTGCAGTTCTTGTAAGGGCCGCCTAGTGGCAGTAGTGCCTTCGGATGGTCCCCAGGTCCCCACCTCCCTCCCCTTCTCTTGAGAGGGTGGAGCTCTGCCAGGCTGCCTTGGCCTGGTACCCACAGCCTGCATTTCGCTGCCTTCTTCCCAGAAACAGCGAGACCCAGACAGGTTCTATGTGAGCCCCCGAGAGTGCTGTTCTATGCAGGAAAGGGCTAGGAGGACAGCTGCTCCTGACGCATGCTAGTGTTCTCCCCTCGTCAGTCTGGTTTCTTCCCCGCACTTCGCTGGCGCCACGGAAGAGCTACTCCTCAGTCTCTGCTTTTCACACACAATTGCCCTCCCAGGAATGGAGGAACCTGTCCAAAAGTGCATTTCACCTATGGCATGGCCACTGAGATGTGTGCCCCACAGTGGCCTCCTGGGCCAAGTGCGGCTTCTTGGGCAGAGACCAAATATCTGACTGGAGAGATGTGGCTGAGGCCGAGATGGTGTGCGTGCAGGAGCCGCTGCCCTGGAGGGCGGCTCACCGTGCCTGAGAGTGGCTTTTCTGGAAGGCCCTTGTGGTAGTTGTGGCATCCGCAGGCTTTGTGTTGTTTTCCTGTTCACCCCTTGTGTGCTGCTTTCAGAGGTGTTGGGGCCTCCTCAGGTCACACCCAAAGAGTGGGATTTGCATGGGAATGGTGCACTTGCTTGCTTCTTCTGGCTTCTAAATCCTGGGTCTTTAGAAAATCTCCGTCCCACAGCCTGGGAGACATGGCCCCAAAGATGACTAGAAGCCTGTGGGCTCAGCGTTACCTCAGGGCCCCACATGGCATGGGCTCAGGCCACCAGCACAGCACCCGCCCCAGGGCTATGCTGGTCTCGCTTTGCACTCTGCTCCCCTGCAAACTGTGATGGAGGGACGGAGTTTAATGGCACCTGGTGCCCACCTGGCTCCGTTTTACCTGATGGGTTACATACAGTTACTGCTTCTAAGGAGCGGGACTGAAAGTCTGTATATGGGCTACTGCGTTAGGGCCTAGCTGCATGGTTTTGGAATGCATGTGTGTGTCTTTCACTCCTGGCCGGCACCCCAGGGGCCTACCGTTCCCAGTGTGCTCCCCCCTGCTCGGGTCTCCTCCAATCCTTGGTCCCAGGGCTGGTTCACCTGGCACTGGGTAGCAAGCTGGGCGGGCCCAACTCAAAACGGTGTAGGCTCAGCAGCAGAAGGCTGGGTGCTGGTCCCTTGCTCCTTGCCACCACTGCGTCTGCTCATCTCTGTCACTGTTCTTGCTTGACAGGTCCTGGCACGGTGTGTCAGCAGTTAGCTTTTTCTGGACTCTTTTTTTTTTTTTTTTTTTTTTTTTTTTGGTCTTTTTCGTTTTTATCGGCAACAGGGATCAAACTCACGACCGCACACTTGAGGCAGGCGCTTATGCCGCTGAGCTAAATCTCCAGCCCCTTTTTCTGGATTCTTACTAGCCCCACCACAGGCCCATCCGCGTTCCTGTCTGTTCTTTCTGTCTTTCCTTGGTCCTGTTTTCCCTGGTCTCTGCAGAAGTTTTTATATTCCAGCCCTCGTCCTGTGGTCAAGTTCACAGCATAGCCTTTCTCGTTACTGCCAGTGCGTTGTGACCACTTGCCATCTCCCTCCTACTGCTAACCCCATGTAGCACTGTCAGTGTGTTCATGCGCCCTTGTTCCATGAAGCTCAGTGGGGAGAGAGGCTTTTTCAATCTTCAGCATTTAGCACATGCTTGGTGGGTAAGTGTCTGTCACAGTCAGTGAGACCTTCCTGCCACTGGCAGGTGGGTCTTCCAGGATGCCTTCTACTCAGGCCTAGGGAAGAGTTCTCACATCCCAGACATGAGGACAACAAGGTCACACAGTTGGACACCATCGTGAAGCCACAGCCCAGGGCTAGGCATATAGCTCAGTGGTACAGCACCTGCTTGGCAAATGCAAAGTCTTGAGTTCAATTCCTGGTACCAAAAAAAGCCACAGCCCAGCCTGTCCACTGCTTTTGCTCTGCAGCTAACTTCCTGTCCCGGGCTTGTTACAGTTTGGTCTTGTGTTTGGCAAGCCAGGGGAGGGCAGCCTTGGTGCTGGGCTTCTGAAACTTTGAGACAATCCCAGAGAAATGTCCCTTTCTTTTATTGTGTGAATTGTTGCATAGATCAGTTTGTTTTGTGCTTAAAGCAGGTCTAAAAATCATGCTGGGAAGCCAGCCCTGTTGCTTCCATCTCTGTCATCTGAGCTTTTGGGTCTCCCACTGATCTGAGAGTTGGGCTGTCTTTGGGTCCCCTGGAATGGGATCTTATCCCAGTATTATTACCATGGCCCCTCTCAGATTGTTTGCATCTCTCAAGGTGACTTCTCAGCTCCTCCACAGCATTGCCTGGCATGCCTTGAAAAGCTTAGCCAAGGACTTGGCCCTACTCTGTTAGGACTCCTGGGCCAATTGGAGGCCAGATTGAGTCATGTGGCTGTACTCTGCCATGGACACGTCCACCTCAGGGCCTGTGTGTATGCTCTGTCTCCTGCCTGCCTCTGTCCTCAGACTTACTATGTTAGTGCCAGAGAGGAGTCCCCATCCATACAGCCCTCTTATCCCCTCACCTATGTCTCCTGCATTGTCCTAGCGGTAGCCAGGCCGCTGTGACCCTTATGGATGCGGCTTTCTTTCCCCAGGATGTATTCGAGATGCGTTTTGCCAAGATGCCAGACGAACCTGAGGAGCCAGTGGTGGCCGTGTCCTCCCCAGTGGTGCCGCCTCCCACCAAAGTGGTACCCCCCGCCTCCTCCAGTGACAGCAGCAGTGACAGTTCTTCGGACAGTGACAGCTCCACTGATGATTCTGAGGAGGAGCGAGCCCAGCGGCTAGCAGAGCTCCAGGAGCAGGTAAGGCTACGTGGCTCTGTCCACAGGGTCCCTGGGCAGGGCTCCCCAGGTATGAGGTGTGCCTGGCTGCTCATTCCTACTGACCACCCAGATGTGCGCGCATTACACTGTGCGTGAGCAGAAACAGGGCTTCTGTATCTTCCGGTTCTGGAAGCAGTTGGCCAGGTAGGGTGTCTCTCTGGCTGCTGCTTGCTCCTGTCTCCCCAAGGTAGTCATTAAGTCCTTAGGGCCAGGCATACCTGTGCATCCTGGCTGGCCACTGAGCAACCTCCTCAGAGACATCCATACCAGGATGGCCCGGGCCTCGGCCTCCCTGACACCTGGGGTGATAGAGGTAGCCTGGTTGTGTGTCTTGCCTTCTGCTCCCCAGCTCAAAGCCGTGCATGAGCAGCTCGCAGCCCTCTCGCAGCCGCAGCAGAACAAACCAAAGAAAAAGGAAAAAGATAAGAAAGAAAAGAAAAAAGAAAAGCACAAAAAGAAAGAGGAAGTGGAGGAGAATAAGAAAAGTAAAGCCAAGGAACTTCCTCCCAAGAAGACAAAGAAAAACAACAGTAACAGCAACGTGAGGTTTGTGCTTCCTCGTGGGGACCCTATATCCCAGTGTGGGGAGGCCAGAAGACTGGCTGTCACTCACACGGAGCCCTGAGCTCACATCCTCTGCAGGGAGCCTTTTTCTGCTTGCAGTAGTAGAGATGGAACCTCCAGCCACTGCACTGAGTTACCCAGGTTGGCCTAGACCTTGAGACCCTTCTGCCTCAGCCTCAAGGTGCTGGGATTGTACATTGTGCCAGCCCTGAGATGAGCCTTCTGTGCTCAGTGCACGGGACAGAATAGTGTAGTGCAGAGGCAAGAGGGCAGCTGCGGCACACCCCTATGTCACACTGCCCGTTGATGGCTGGTCCCCTACTTATGCTCCCGGGGAGTTACCCAAGGCCCCTTTGTTCTGAAGACCAGGCGGGTGGGTTATGGGGAGCCCACACACACACAGAAGAATAAATGCCCAGCTTCTTCAGGGCACTCAGTCTTGATGCTGTGTGCGTCATCCCTTCATAGCAAGAAGGAGCCAGCACCCATGAAGAGCAAGCCTCCTCCCACGTACGAGTCGGAGGAAGAGGACAAATGCAAGCCCATGTCATACGAGGAGAAGCGGCAGCTCAGCCTCGACATCAACAAGCTTCCTGGGGAGAAGCTGGGCCGCGTGGTGCACATCATCCAGTCCCGGGAGCCCTCGCTCAAGAATTCCAACCCCGACGAGATTGAGATCGACTTTGAGACCCTGAAGCCATCCACGCTACGTGAGCTGGAGCGCTATGTCACCTCTTGTTTGCGGAAGAAAAGAAAACCCCAAGGTGCACTTGGGCCCTGTGGGTGTGGGGCTCCCCCTCCACAGCACCCTCATCTGATGCCCTGGACAGAGAGCCCGGCAGGCCCACTGGGACCTTGGTGTTCCGAGCCTCACTCGGTAGCAGCCAGTCCCATCCCTGGCTGCCTGCTGCTCAGTCTCCATGGAGTGGAGGTGGGGGCAGGGGTCCCAGTGTGGCAGGGCCCGGGGCCTGTGGTACCGCCCTGTTGGTCTTAGCTTGGTGTGACACTCTCAGGACTGCATGAGTGGGGTTCTGTGTCAGAGTACCTCTGAAGACAGCCTGTGTCTCCAGCCCATACTGGTTCCCGGGGTCCTCAGTCCCATCCTTAAGGTGCACTGTGCCCTGAATGAGAGGCCTGGGAAAGCCACCCCGGATCCCCTACAGATCACTTCCTCTCAGCCAGAGGGGTAGTGAAGGGAGCCAGGCCTAAAGCAGACAGCACCCCAGAAATCAGCTCTGAGTCCTCGGGAGCCCTTGGAGGGCGTTTGTTCCGAGACCGGCAGCTCATGAATGAAGCTCTGTGCTGTAGTGGGATGCAGCAGGCTGCTGTTGGGAACGCGGGGGTGGGTGCACAGTTGACAGCAGCAGCGCATAAGCCCATGGGGCACAGGTTTCCCTCTGCTCCTCCTTGGCAGTGTTTGGGGCTGACAACAGCATCCTGGGAGCCAGGCCTTCCTGACCTGGCTCCTGTTGCCTTGATTGCAGCCGAAAAGGTGGATGTGATCGCCGGCTCCTCTAAGATGAAAGGCTTCTCCTCCTCCGAGTCAGAGAGCACCAGCGAGTCCAGCTCCTCCGACAGCGAAGATTCGGAAACAGGTTAGGGACGCCTATTTGTGCCCCGTGCAACTCCTCCGGGGCCCAGCCCAGTCCTGTGCCCAGAGACAGTGGGCGCGAGAACCTGCTGGGCTCTTCTGTTCATCCATCCACCACGTCACCTTTCTTCATGGGAGCAGGTCGGGTGGCCCTGTGCCCTGTGGGACAGTGGTCCAGTCTTTCACATGGCTCTTCTGCTGCCACCGCTGAGGCCTGGACTAGGGAGGAGAGGCAGTCAAGAGCATTGACACTGCAGAACTCCGGGCTGGGGAGGCCGGGGGCTGGGTTTCAAGAACTATGGGGGTGGGGGCCCCAGGAGTGCCCCGCTCAGACAGCTGCTCCAGGATAGTGTTTGTCCAGACTCTGAGACTGGGGCCACGCATGCTGCCAGTCCCCACATCAGTCTGCTCGTGGTCCTGCCGGCGTCCCGGCCCTAGGTTTGCCTATTTCCCCTTGAGATGAGTGTGTGTTCCCTGCTGTGCTGGCTGCTCCTGGCTCTGCTCTAACCCGCATGCCCCTGGGCGTGTGTGTCCTGCACGCCTAACAGTCTTCGTGTCACGCTGGGAGTACTCGCATGGGTACACTGCCAAAGTCCACCTTCCGAGCATCAGCTTCTGAATGGGGAGGGGGAGTGCAGGTGGGAGCTGGATTGGGAGAGGGGTGCTGTTTACTCGGGAGCAGACTGAGCAAAGGAGAGGCTGGGGAGGAAGTCAGTATACCTGAGCGGCCAGGCACGTGGCTTTCGTGCGTGAGGTCCGACTCCAGGCACTGAGCAGAGGCGCTGCAGCCTGCCTAGAAGCAGCCCTGGCCAGCGTCTCCAGTACACTCGGCCATGGGATCCACAGTAAGAGAGGAGCAAGTGTTCTGGGCCAGAATTTCTTGGCCTGATCTTCCGTGGACCTGTCCCATCTCGGGAATCTTATTCTAGGTGGGAAAAAAGCTAAATCTATAATGAGTGCAGGCAAATAATGACCTGGTCATTCCAAGGAAGGCCAGGGCTCCTTTACAGCAGCGGCAAGAACCACATGGCTCTGAGGCTTACACACAGTGGGTCTCTCGGCCTCCTCACTGCCCGGGGAAACAGGATTGAGAAGGGTTTCCGGTCCAGGAGGTGGGCTTTGGGTTTCTCCGGGACCTCAGTGCTCCCGATTCCCTGCTCTTTAATGGCCCCGGTGAGATTAAAGTCTATTGGGTCATGTTTGTTCTGTATTTCTTCAGTGCTGACTAGAAACGCACCATCCTTCTCCCTTTTCCTTCCTAACCAACATGTCCGTCATGCTTTGTTTATTACTAGTATTCTTTCTCCCCTCCTTGCTTTTTTATCACGTCCAGGAGAGGGCACTGCATCAGAGGGGACTGGTGGGAAGGTCTGGCTCTGGGCCTCTTTGGATTGGAGCTGCCGAGCGGTGTGAATGGCCATATTCTTAGGCCACATTAGCATTCCTGCTGGCCAGCGATTTTCACTTATTTCCTAGCAGATCGCTTCTACCAGGGATGTGTAGTCCTAGCGGACAGGCCAAAGATTGGAACCCACAGGGTTTCTAATTGGTCCTTAAACAGGCCATCACGCCCTGAGTCCATGACAGGCCTCATCCCGTCTTCGCAGCCCCATCCAGGGCAGGCATGTACTTTGGGCAGGAAGTCTGTGAACCCCTCCTGCCACGAGGGCCGCCGTGACAGCATTTGCAGCAGCATTTGCATTAGCGGATCGCTCCTGCTGCTGAGGGGTTCTTTCCCCTCCCTGCCTTGATTTATTTTTCCCCTGCATATGTGTGGGGATTTTGGATTTTTGTTTTGCTTTGGTTTTTTCCTTCCTTCTGCTTTTAAAGAAAGTGGGAAGATTGTGCAATGAGGAATCTGAGAGTCCTGGGAACAGCCATCCTGGCAGGAGGAGGGTGAAATTTCCAGTCGCAGAACTGCCTGCTCCTGGCTCCCCCGCGGCGGGCAGGGCGGGGTGTGTCTGCCTTGGACCTTGCTGTGCAGGCCCGAGGGCTGCCGGTGGGTACATGGCAGCTCGCCCTTCGCGCTGTGTGCTGGCGAGCTCTGCCCTGAGCTGATCTCGCACTTCTGAGGAGGGGCCCACGTGCAGCACTGCACTCTGGTGATAGGCAGCCCTGATTGCTGTGGCCAGTTACAGGCAGTTTGGGGAGGCACGGGGCTGGGGTAGGAAAGAATAGGGGCTGTAGGAGTTGTTGAAGGGATTTCCCTTTGGTCTTGTGGGGCTTGTTGTGCCCTCCTTCTTAAGTTTCTATTTGGATTGGAGCTGAAATTCCTGACAGGACTTATTTTTGTAGCTTGTACTAAGGGTCAGCTCTGCTGACATGGCTACAGTACATAAATCATCAAAGGAGGCTGAAGAGAGGCCTCGGGCTGCGGGTGGTAAGGTGGGGCACAGAGGCCTCCTCCAGCAGCCGTCCATGCAGGGGGATAGCAGGTCAGTCTCGGCCTGAGGCCAGACCTGGGGCCTGAGTTATGATTCAGGGAGGCTATGGCCAGAGGAGGAGAGGACCACATTGTAGCTGGGCCGCAGCCCCATATAGTCCTGTTCCCCACCTAGCACTGCGAGGTGCTGATGGCCCATCCCGGGTGGTCTTTCACGGGGTCCCAGTTCCAGTGGAATCCCAGAGCTGCTTGAGGGGTCAGTGTCAGGACCGACAGGGCTAGGCGGTATAGGCAGGCTGAAGGGTGTCAGGGCTCTGCCCTACACTGCTGTCCAAGTGGGCTGTGACCCTGGTGCACCAGTGCTGGGGTTGGGGCAGGTGTGTCTAGGACTCTGCATTCTCCACACCTGGCCCTTCCACATGCCACCCACAGGTCTTGGTGGCAGGACTGGCACATAGGTCATGCTCCCTTCAGGAGCACCCCGCCCCCAGCGTCCTGGCTCGGACAGGCATCCAGCAAGGTGCAGAGTGGACTCTAGACTGATCGTCGAGTGCAGCAGGGTACAGTGCAGCTATTTTAGTCTCGTTTCCTTTTCCCAGGGTTGGAGCATGTGGGTGTTTCTTACAGCTCTAGGGGAAAGAGGAATGCCTAATGTTTTGGAAAGACTTGAGCTGGGAAGTGCAAACAGAGGCCATGGGACACTTACCACACCACCAGCCTCAGCTTCCTGGCCCGTGGGTCCTTTGAGGAAACTCTCCAGTCACGTCTCTCAGACCGTGACTTGCCTGCCCCCAGAAGGTGGCCTTTGCTTTTAGGAAGCAGTGAGTCCTCTGAAGGGAGTATGTGCACAGCAAGGGTTACCTGCCCACATGTACCCAGAGGTTGCAGCAGAGGGACGCAGGGCTTCACAGAGCAGGGCCAGGCTTGTGAAATGTGGCCCATGGTGCAGGGCTGTAGTGGGCGGATTTTTTCCCAGGCATTGGTGGAGGCCAGAAAGAAATCAGCTCTGTGGCTCTGAATACAACAGAGGCTCTGCCGAGCGGGTGGTGCCAAGCTTGGTCCTTCCTGGTCCAGCAGCCATGTTGGATGCCCTGAAAAAGGAAGAGAAAGACGAGGCTTTTCGGCTTGTTTTTTGTTGGTTTGAGGTTTTCTGTTTTGGAGAGGCTGGGTATGTGTGGTTTGTCCACCCGGTTTTCCTTTTCTCGGCAGTGTATGCATCACAGTTTCCTCCTTCATAGTTTGTGGTTTTTGTTTTGGGGACCTGGAGCCCTGCAGAGAAGTGGCTCTGCCCTCGGCCTCCCTCAGCTGGAGGTGCTGCACAGCATCAGGTTCAGGAGGCTTTTCTCCAGCCGTGCTGTGTGGGGGCGCTGGGCTCCATACAGCTGGCCAGTGGGACAAGGCAGCAGCACCCCTCACCCTGCAAAGGGGAGCACACGCCAACATTCGCTCGAGGCAGGGCACACACGGAACTCGTTAGTGGAAGTAGCTCTGTCTAGAAACTCAAACAGGCGCCAGTGGTTTTGGAGGCTCCACACACGCTGGGTCAGTGGCCCCACTAAAGGGAAGGTGGTCTGTCCCTACCTCAAGCCACCCCGGCAGTGTAGCACTCCCCGCCTCCTGCACCGCTCTCTCGGGCCTTCTTAGCCCCCGGCGCACAGGAGCCTAGCCCAGTCTGCAGTTCTTCTGTTCTTGGGACTTGGATGGTACATTCCACACCATTTCTCTCACACTGGTTTCTCTTTCCCTCTATGTAGGTCCTGCCTAATCACTGGACACGGACTCTTAATAAAACGTCTTCAGTTCCAGATTCCTTCCCAGCAAGCTCTATAGCTTAAGTCCGTTTTCTTCTGTGAAAGGGACAGGACTCCATCAAGTTATGGGATTCTCAGAGCCCTGGGCCTGTCCCCGGGGTGGATTAGTCATGTCCACAGCACACGCCTAGTCCCGCCTTCGGGAAGGCTGCCCGCCTGGCCGGCTGCCAAGGCCTCCCTGTGCAAAGACTGCCTGGCTGTCCTGCCCGGCCTCCCTGGCCGTCTTGGTCTTCTGGGTGGTGGCGTCTCCTGGAGGGCAGTGACAATCCCCCACACATGCATACACGAGGTGCTGCTCCCTGAGCGAAGCCTGATCACAGTGTGTGTCCCCTGCCGGCCCTTTTTCCGAGACTGCAGACCCGCATCCCCTGAGTTGGTGCAGTGACGTTAGCCCAGGACAGATCCCATGCGGCCTGAGGAAGACGCTCTGACCTGAGGAGTGGGGCTGTAGGCGCGAGGCCACTGGGCCTTCTGGCTGGGTGGGCCAGCCAGCTGAGGTTGTCCCCAGCCACTGCTGACCGCAGCCCCTTGGAGCCTCCTTTACCACCATGGCTGCTGTATGTTCTCAGAGCTTCCGTTCTGGTGGGCGTGTTCCTGCTGCCTTGGCCTCTTCTCAGGTCCCGTAGGGAAGGTGCCTCAGGGCTGTGCATGCAGGCCAGGGTCTGGGAGTGGGGGAGAGGGCGGCGCAGCCTCTGATGCATACCTTGGTGGGTGTTGCAGTGTGACGCCCTTCTGGTCTTCCGACCCCTGGGACGACAGCAGCTGCTGGGGCCAGGGCAGGCAGGGGTAGCCCCTCCATCCAAGCCCTTCCAGAGGCACCAAATAGGCTTTTATGTTCTAAAAATAAATCTGAGCCCTTTTTTGGTCCTGACTCCAGCATCTCCACGGGAAGTTGCTGGTGTGAAGAGTGGCCTGAGGGATTACGTATGCAGTCTCCCACCCCCGTTTATTTTTTTAAAGTGTAGTTTGTGTATGCGGCCACCTGGCACCTTGGAGCCCACCTTTAGGAGCCAGCAGTAGGTTTGGGAGAAGCTGCCCATCAGTGGGCTGTGGGCACTGACACCCCCCACACACACACACAGTAGCCCTCCTGAACTCCCTGGGTCTTTGGCTGCACTGTGCCCCAGACCTGTGTGGCTACAGTGTAGGCCCAGCCTCCCTAGGACATCCCTGGGTCTGCAGAGGTGTCTGTGAGCTCCCTGGCCGCTCCCAGTCCTCTTCTGGCGTGCGGCTTCCAGGCAGCTCTTTTTGCCAGACTATTTTGAGCTGCCCTTTGGCCTGTGCCTGAAGTGTTCCCAGTGAGCTTGGCTGGGGTGGGACAGGGGTGCTTCATGCCCAGAGGTTCCCACAGGATGGTGGGGAAGCTGCTGGCATTGTCTTTCTGGGAAGATTCTGCCATAGTCTGACTGAAGGGCAGCCTGGGTGCCCATCGTGTCTCAGTCTCGGCCATGTGCTGCCCCGGCCCTACCCGCACACCTGTGTACACAGGCCAGCTGTCCTGCGAGCTCCTCTCACCCTGGCCGACCCGGGGTCCCAGCCCTGTTGCCCTTGGGGCTCCCATCTGGCTAGAACACTCAGGACTCTTTGAAGCTCAAAGCTCTTTCAACTTAGGCTGCGTTCATGCTCGGTGCCCAGGGAACACAGCCAGGAAGGACGGTGCCCACCCACTCCTGCTGGCAGCTGCCTGTTCCTGAGCAATAAGCAAGGTGCCCCCGTGGGCTTCGGTCCCGTGGAGGAGCCTCCAGGGCTCTGAAGCCTCTCTCTGTCCTCTTCTCTGCCCCTCTCCCCACACTGCCCAGCCCTGCCCCTCCTTTCTGTCTCCTTGGCTGGAGTGGGACAGGGTGGGGTGGGATAAATCAGTGTTTTAATCAGATTTTACCAAAACCTTTTATTCCTTTGTACAATTATCCTATGTAAAGATGAAATTTGTGTTGAGTTGAAGATTGTCATGGAATAAAGATCGCACAGTACCTGAGGCCATCTCCATGGAACCCTTTCTAGAGAGTTTTGTGTGGGGTGTCGGGCTGGTGTGTCGTGAAGCTGTCCACTCCGTGTCTGTCTGCTCACTGCTAAGTCCATCGTGGGGCCTGGGCCAGGGCAGTCTGGGGCCACCCCAGAACACAGCCTGGCCTCTCCTGGGCCTCGGTGACTGCCTGTGCCTCCTGCTCCTGTGCTCTGGAGAAGAGTCCCAGGACGTGACCGTGACCACACTCCCTAGATGCCCACAGGCCACTGGGCTCAGTCTCCAGCCCACCAGCAGAGACTGTTGGGTTTTGTAAATGAAAAAACAGTGCTTCAAAGTTACCAGACAGCTAGGTGTCCAGACCCTTCCCCATCCCTTCTGTGTCTGGGCTCACCTAAGGCTTCTCCAGGTCAAATGCCGTGACCTGACTTGGTCCCCTAGCTTCCCATCTCGGTCTTCGTCTCCGTGTCCAGAGTTTGAGCAGCTGGTGCCTGCTGCACTGGGAGAGGCCCCTCCTTAGGAAGCCCTGTCCTCTTCCTCTTGCCTTGGGGTGGGGCCTATGCTGCTGGGGCACGGCGGCTCCCAGATCCAGCCAGTGCTTTTCCTACTCAGCCCCAGGCACCCTTACCCCCCTCACCCCGTCTGCCCAGGCTCCCTTTCTGTGTCTGACTCACAGGAGCTTCACTCTGACCTGGTATCCAGGTTTGGGGACTGGTCTTCAGTTCCCATGTCCTAGGTGTCCTCAGTTACCACCTATACAAGGACGTGTGTCTAGCTACAGAGGTGTGTGTCTGTGTCTTGTGTCTTGCATGGAGTGGTGAGCTCTTGCCTGGCACCAGGTCCCTCTCCTGTTGGTGGCAGGCTACACTTCAGGGCCCAGCATCTCACAGAGGCTCAGCATGGCCCTCAGCACAGCTCCAAGCAGAGTGGTGACTGATTTGAGCAAGACATGTCCTTGGACACCAGCAGCAAGAATGGGTGTCCTGACCAGTTCAGGGAAAACCAGAAGGTGCCTTTCAATGACAGGGCTCTGAAAGTTGTTGTTCCATGGCTCTGGTATTCTTCCTGGTGGTTCTGACCTCCCACCTGGTATTTGGCCTCTATTATAACATGGCAGTCCAGGGGCACCTGCAGGGATACTCTTGGGGCTTGCATTCTGTTTATTGGTGGTGTATCCAGCTGCCAGAGTCCTCGGAGTGACCCTCTGGCAGTTGGGCAGAAGTAGATGCACAGGCCCTGAGCACCCACCCCCCACCCCCCCCAGGAAGGGAGGCCCACCCGGACACAGCTGCAGTGCCTACCACTGGTCCCTGAGAGCCAAGGCACGCTCCCTCCTCCAGCATGATTACTGTGTCCCAGAGCAGGGCTTCCCCGAGTCTCACCTGAGGAAGGGAAGCCATGGCAGTGAGCACCTGGCCCTTGTCATTCCCGTGAAGCTATTGTGCTTCCTCCTGACCCCACGGGGCCCTCAAGACTGGCCCCCTGTGTTCCCACTCGCCAGCACTTTTCTCCCCAACCCATGGTTCTGGGCTAGGCTGACCCGCTATGACCAGCGCCCCTGGGAAATGGAATGGGGGGGGGCCCACATTGCCATGCTGTAGCTGTGCAGTCCTGGACGAGCCCCGTGCCTCCCCAGCCTCACCTTTGAACCATTCTGTAATGAGTGGGGCCATCTTGGAGCATGCAGGCAACCTTGTTCCCCCAAAGCCTGATGTCAGACGGGGCGGCCTGGGGCCAGATCAGCAGAGTTCAGCCTCCAGGGGAGCTGGGATAAGGGGTGGCCTTTTAGGGTGCCAGTGGGCTGAAGCTTGGAGGGGGGGATTCTGATTTTTTTCAGACATGGCTTCCACTGGCAAAAGCCACAGATGGATGGATAGTGACACATCTTTCACTGTCCCACGATAACTGACTTGTCCCAGACCCAACTCAGACACTTGCTCAGTGCACTGGCTTTTGTCTTAATACCCTGGGTCCCTTTTTTTTTCCTTATCCACATTCAGGGTCATCTTATAGCACTCTTCCTTCCCCAGAGCCTCACTACCTTCTCTTCTCTCTGCAGAGATGGCTCCGAAGTCAAAAAAGAAGGGGCACCCTGGGAGGGATCAGAAGAAGGTATGTGGTTCTGGGATAAGGATGCCCCCACTCAGGCAAGATCTAGCGGCTCAGCTCCTGAGCCTCAGGCAACCTGGGTCTGCCCAAGGCCCCCTCTCTCTGCCTGATGTCGCTCTGGGTCTTCTGTCTGCCTGCAGCACCATCACCACCACCACCAGCAGATGCAACCGGCCCCGGCTCCTGTTCCGCAGCAGCCACCTCCACCTCCTCAGCAGCCTCCGCCACCCCCGCCGCCACCACCGCAACAGCAGCAGCCGCCACAGCAGCCGCCACCACAGCCCCTACCCCCACCGCCACCGTCCTCCATGCCACAGCAAGCAGCCCCGGCACTGAAGTCCTCGCCCCCACCCTTCATCACTGCCCAGGTGCCCGTCCTGGAGCCCCAGCTCCCGGGCAGCGTCTTTGACCCCATCGGCCACTTCACCCAGCCCATCCTGCACCTGCAGCAGCCAGAGCTGCCCCCTCACCTGCCTCAGCCACCTGAGCACAGCACTCCGCCCCATCTCAGCCAGCACACCGTGGTCTCTCCTCCAGGTGAGCACGGCTGCTGCCCTTCCCTGCCTCGGTTGTGCCACGCTGGGGCTGCATACTCTCGAGTACTCTCCCTGATTGCTGTAGTCAGCAGCTTCTGAGGGCCACCTTTGTGCTCCGGGACGTGCCTGGCATGTAGTGGGCTAGCACTTTTATGCACAAGTGCAGAGCCAGGTGTTGGGTTAGGTGCGGGGCTCATGCTCCCTGACACGGTCAGTAGGGGTGGAGCACACAGCAGGGGCACAGGCGCAGAGCTTGTTCCTGCAGCCTACGCTGGAAGCCCTTCATTCCAGGGCTCGTGGGATGTCTTGGAATGTGGGGAGGGATGCTAGTTGGGTGGGAAGGCAGGAGGTGGTCACCAGGTGAGGCCAGGGTAGGGGCACAGGGCACTCAGCCCTCACCGCCACCCTCCTGTATTCTTTCAGCTTTGCACAACGCGCTGCCCCAGCAGCCATCTCGGCCCAGCAACCGAGCAGCCGCCCTGCCCCCCAAACCTGCCCGGCCCCCAGCTGTGTCCCCTGCCCTGGCTCAGCCACCCCTTCTCCCGCAGCCCCCCATGGCTCAACCCCCCCAGGTGTTGCTAGAGGATGAAGAGCCCCCCGCCCCACCCCTCACCTCCATGCAGATGCAGCTGTACCTGCAGCAGCTGCAAAAGGTGCAGCCTCCCACGCCACTACTCCCTTCCGTGAAGGTGCAGTCCCAGCCCCCACCCCCCCTACCGCCTCCACCTCACCCCTCTGTGCAGCAGCAGCTCCAACAGCAGCCCCCACCACCCCCACCGCCCCAATCCCAGCCACCACCCCAGCAGCAACACCAGCCCCCGCCTCGACCGGTGCACCTGCAGCCCATGCAGTTCTCCACGCACATTCAGCAACCCCCGCCACCGCCGGGCCAGCAGCCCCCACACCCACCCCCGGGCCAGCAGCCACCCCCGCCACAGCCCGCCAAGCCTCAGCAGGTCATCCAGCATCACCCCTCGCCCCGGCACCACAAGTCAGACCCCTACTCGGCAGGTAAGCGCCTGGCTCGGTTCCGTTGTGAGAAACCAGAAGGGTTGGCTAGGTTCTGAGGAGACGGATCGGGGGGTGCCCAGGAAGCACGTGGCTCCCTGCAGTGGGCTTAACAAGTGTGTCTCGCTTACAAGCTGAGGGTGCCCAGAGCAGAACAGACCAGCCTTGGGTCTCGAACTCTGTTCTTACTGCAACTCCAGTGGCAAACCAAACTGGACGAGAACCCAGATTTCCCTGCAAGGTTGACTTGGACCCTAACCATTGAATCAATTCTCTCGTCACCCAGTCCAGTTCGAGACTGGAAGGGTGAGCAAAATGAAGCGAACCACAGGCCACCATATAAGCACTAACTTAGAAAGCAGGTTGGATGCGAGGCCCAGGCCTGGACCATAGGAACTGACACCAGGCAGGCAGTGTGAGGGGCATGCTAAGTGTCTGAAAAAAGATGTCCTGGGCAGTCCCAGCTAGAAAACATCCCAACTGACGCCTTATGACATGGTTCTGTTTAACTCTCGGGGCAGGACTTCCTGGCTGCACTCTGCCTTGGGGTTGTACCAAGCGCTCTCCCTGCCTTTGAACCCAGGGGAGGCTGCCAGGTGCCAAATGGGTTGGATCGTGGGTGCCCTGAGCTGACAGCTGGCTGTCCTTGCTGGGAAGCTGTGCTGGGCTTGGTCACGGCACAGCCATGCTTGCTGTCACTGCAGGGCCTGCCAGTGCGCTGGGCTATGGTGGGAGGCAAGAAAGGGACAGGTGACAGAGAGGCTGGCATGCAGGGCAGCTCAGGCCAAGACCTCTGCCCACCTCTGCTGTGAATCCCCTGGCCTCTACCTGGCCTCATGAAGCCTAGGACAGAGCACCAGAAGCCGTGTGGGTCGGAACTCAGCTCAGGGCTATGTGCCAAAGGGTGGCTCACAAGCATCCCACAGAGGCTTGGCAGGCATGGCTTCTAACCATGGGCCTAAGATCCTGGCCTGATGGTGCAGCCTCCAATCCAACACTTATGAGACTGAGGCAGGAAGATTGCCATGAGTTCGAGGCCACCATGAACTACATACTGAAACACTCTCAAAGAAACCAAAAATAGAGCCGGGGATGTAGTTTGCAGCATAGTGCTTGCCTGGCAAGTGCAAGGTCATGAGTTTGAGTCCCAGTACCAGAAATACAAAATTGAACCAGCATGGTGGCACACTCCTGTATTCCCAGCACTCGGGAGGGTGAGGCAGGAGGATCATTGCAAGATCAAGATCATCCTGGGCTATAAGGTGAGCCCGGCTTGAACTGCATAGGGAGATTCTGTCTCAAAGAGACAATCAATAAATCAACCAACCACAGGCCTGCCACCCACCTGTTGCTCAGGTGAGTCTCAGCAGGTGCTTCTGAGGGCGTGGTCCATGGTGGGAGGCTGTGGTGTCATTACCTGTGGGTTGCTGGCACGCTGGAGTGAGGGCTAGTGTGGCAGGGTGACAGTACCCAGAGGAACATTGACAGGCTGGAGTGGGAGACGGTATCCGGGCGAGTCACACCAGCCCCACTGGCTGTGGCTCTGTGCATACAGGGCAAGCCTCACGCTCCATGTGGGTGGGCAGCAAGAGGCTGTGAAGTCTTCTTCCTGGGGTTAGGGGTGTGTCCAGCTCTGGAGGGGCCAGGAAGGCCCACGATACCTGGAGTGTCATGGTTTGGCACAGACCTCTGAATAGATGCCTAAGCCCGGGGGCACTGTGGCAGCAGATGGGCTTGGAAGCAGGACTGGATGTGGCCAGGGCAGGGCTGGCATAGGGACCCAGTGAGAGGCTCGGCCTGAGGCGGAAGGGCGCTAGAAGCGGGGCCAAGTGAAGCACTTTGTTTTGTGGGCCCCGTGATGTCCAGGCAGCAAGGCCCTTCCCCTCACAAGGTGAGACCAAGGGTATCTGTGTGTTCAGATGGGAGCACTCGCCCCCTCCAGCTTTCTGGGACCAGCAGCCACTTCATCCCTGGAGGACACAGCCAGCAGTGACTGGAGGAGTCAGCTGTGGGACCTCTCAGATGTGGGCTGAGTGCTGAGGCCTTTTAGCTCTTGGTTGGATGCAGGTGGCTGCACCACAGGCCCTATTGTAGCTGCTCTGCCATTCTGCGGGTGAACAGACTGAGCAGATGGGGCTGAAGCCCCCACCTCACTGCCAGCCACCAGACCCCAGGTCCTCAGAGCAATCTATGCGGACCAGGCTGTGCAGAGATGGGAGGGCCCTGGGCTCAGCCTTTTATGTAGTGTAGAACACAAGTTAGAACCATCTGAAAGCTTTCTTAAAAAGTGCTGGTGCAGGGTGCAGTGGTGCATACCTGTCGTCCCAGCATTTGGGGAGCCAAAGCAGGAGGATCACTGTGAGTTCCAACCCATAAGTGCAAGGCTAGCCTGGGCTGCATAGTGAGATCCTGTCGTGAAAAATGTGACGGATACTGGTGCCCAGACCCTCTGTGAGACCCAGCAAACCGAGATGTGTGTGTCAGAGTTTGCAGAGGCTGTGGCACAGGGCAGGCTCGGCATGCAGACTGGGGATTGATGTGTGCTCAGGCTCAGCTGGAATACTTGCTGGTTCTGCTTTCAGTCCATCCTTCCATTATAGTTCTCTCAAAGTCCAAATGGCCCCTAACACTCTTTGTCACCTCTCCTAGGTCACCTCCGTGAAGCCCCCTCCCCGCTTATGATACATTCCCCCCAGATGCCACCGTTCCAGAGCCTGACACACCAGTCTCCACCCCAGCAAAATGTCCAGCCCAAGAAGCAGGTAAAGGGCAGGGCCGGGCCACAGCGCTCAGGGCCAGCTGTGGGCTGAGGCTGAGGGTGCCCTCCTGCCTCACCGGCCCCTGTGCCCGTGCTGTCCCAGGAGCTACGCCCGCCCTCGGTGGTCCAGCCCCAGCCCCTGGTGGTGGTGAAGGAGGAGAAGATTCACTCACCCATCATCCGCAGTGAGCCCTTCAGCCCCTCCCTGCGGCCGGAGCCCCCCAAGCACGCTGAGAGCATCAAGGCCCCAGTCCACCTGCCCCAGCGTGAGTGGCCCCTGCCCTCAGGATTGTGCACCCCACCCCACCAGGCGAGTGCCCTGGGCTCACAGGCTGCTTGTGTTCTAGGACCTGAGATGAAGCCTGTGGACGTAGGGAGGCCTGTTATTCGGCCCCCCGAGCAGAATGCACCCCCTCCAGGGACCCCTGACAAGGACAAACAGAAGCAGGAACCGAAGACACCAGTGGCACCCAAAAAGGTAGAGGCGGTAGACCCGTGGGTGTTCTGAGCACCCTGCTAGGATTTTGGGCACCGAAGGCCCCTCACCTGTGCCCTGACCCCTCCCACCCTACAGGACCTAAAAATCAAGAACATGGGCTCCTGGGCCAGCCTGGTGCAGAAGCATCCGACCACCCCGTCCTCCACAGCCAAGTCCTCTAGTGACAGCTTCGAGCAGTTCCGCCGGGCAGCCCGGGAGAAGGAGGAGCGGGAGAAGGCCCTGAAGGCTCAGGCCGAGCATGCCGAGAAGGAGAAGGAGCGGCTGCGGCAAGAGCGCATGAGGTGCGTGGGCTGGTGTCCGCTGGGGTGCCAGGGCTCCCAGGCCCGCACCAGGTCCTGGCTGACTGGCCCCCCCCTGTGCCCAGGAGCCGAGAAGACGAGGACGCGCTGGAGCAGGCAAGGCGGGCCCATGAGGAGGCACGCCGGCGCCAGGAGCAGCAGCAGCAGCAGCAGCGCCAGGAGCAGCAGCAGCAGCAACAGCAGCAGCAGCAGGCGGCCGCAGTGGCTGCGGCTGCCACGCCCCAGGCCCAGGGCTCCCAGCCCCAGTCCATGCTGGACCAACAGAGGGACTTGGCCCGGAAGCGGGAACAGGAGCGGAGGCGCCGGGAGGCGGTGAGTTGTGGGCCTGGGAGGCCGTGGGTGGGCACCGTGCCAACCTGGGCGCAGGGCTGGGCATGGGCTCACATGTGGCTCCAGGGACAACCGGGTACTCTGAGCTCCCAGGTGGGCACAGCCCTGAGCTCGGTAACAGCAGTGCAGTGGCCCGCCTCACTCCTCATCCTCCTTGCTCTGCAGATGGCAGCTACGATCGATATGAATTTCCAGAGCGATCTGTTGTCAATATTTGAAGAAAATCTTTTCTGAGAGCACCGAGGTGACTTCTGACTGATTTTCTGGCAAAACATTGACTCTCCATAGTGTTAAGGCGGCGGTGGAGGCGGTGGCAGCGGCCAGGTGTCCCTGGGCCTGGCCCTCCTGCATGCTGTGCCCGGAGCAGGCCTGACGGGCAGCTGAGGGTCACAGAGCCCACCTGCCTTACGGACAGCCTGCTGCTGCCGCTCCGTACGGACGTCGGCTCAGCGCGCCTCGGCCCCAGCGAGTGCAGGCGGGCCCTCTCCCGCCAAATGTCTGCGCAGTATACACAGGACATTGTTGCTGCTGCCCCTTGACTGGTTTGCTGCCCCTGAGAACGTGACGTCATGACGCCTGCCCATTGGGAGTCTCTGCACCCCAGCCTCACTCCTGCTCTCGGAGGCCAAGGCAGGCGCGTGTGGGCTGGAACGCGGGCACTGGCGTCCCTGCTGGCACTGACTTTGCCTTGAACAGACCCCTCCCCCACAAGCCTTTAATCGAGAGCCGCTCTCTGTAAGTGTTCGCTTGTGCAAAAGGGAATAGTGCCGTGGAGGTGTGTGTGTGTCCATGGCAGCGCGGACCGAGGTGACCGTCCATGTGTGGGCGGGCCTTGCCTGGGGTGAGGCCACCAACCAAAGTCAGTCCCTTCCCGCCTGTGTTTCTGTTTTTTTCTATATATATATATTTTTTGTTGTTGAATTCTATTTTATTTTTAATCCTCTCTTCTCCAGACACAATGGCACTGCTTATTTCCGAAAAGGTGTGATCGTCTCATGGTGCAGCGGCCCCACCGCGCTGTGGGTAGTGTGTGACCGTGGCTGTACTGTATAGTGAACATAGCTGGCATCTTCCAAGTTTGTTGGTGACTCCACCAAACTGGTGTAAAAACAAAATTTTTTTTTCCAAAAAATTCCACCAAAAAAGATCAAAACAAAAATCCAACCACCTATATTTTACTCACACTTCAAACTCCATTAAGTCTGTTTTTAATTATAAGTCCTGAAGGCTGCAACTTCTTTTCCTTTCCCTCAATGCCCATTTGTTGGCTTTTCTTTGTTTTTTAATGTAAAGTCTTGTTTTTTTACCAAGAAAAGAAGGGCCTGGGGACAGGTAGCCCCAGGTGGTGATGGGATGCTGGAGGCTGCGGGCAGACTGGCCTGCCCAGGCCCAGCGCAGCCAGCCAGCCGCCGCTTCCCAGGCCACCTTGGTTGTGTTGTGTTTTGCTTTTAACTAATGGAGCCCTTGGTGAGCTTACGTGTGCCATGAGAACCCACTCTACACCACAACGCTGGTGCCGCGGTGTTGGCCAAACCCGGAGTCACTGACTGGCTTGACTTTCATACGGTGAATATGCATTTGGTCTGTACTGATCATGGAATAAACACATCTCTCTTTTTTAATGCTGGCGTCTCCCTGATATTTCTTTGTGAACCAACTATCGCCTAGGCTAGGCCCAGGCTCCTGCGCCCGAGGCCGCCTGAGCGTGAGAACTGAGGGCCGTGGCCACAGAGACCCTCCAGTGGCTTCTGCCCTGTCTTTGCTGGGAGGACCTTCTCAGGCTCACAGCTGCCACCCAAGCCGGAGCGGTGACGGAGCCCAAATCCCCCTTTCTCTGGGACTCTGGCCGAGGCGGGGACATGAGCCAGCAGCACCCTGGCCAAACTCCAGACTGCTCGGCTTAGCCCTCCTCCATCTTGGTCCCCATGCCCCAGGGAATTTGGGCCACTCCCACCTTGGTTGCCTCCACCTAACTCCTTTTCATTTAAGCTCAGGGTTAACCAGATACTCTTAGGTAAGTGTCCATTTCCCCCAAAAAGACATTCGCACACACACTTTCACCTAAGAAAGCCCATAGGTGGCTTCTCTGCCTGTGTGCCCACCCTTGTGCACCTGCCTCCCCCAGTACGGCACAGCTGGCACCCACAAGACTTGCTGGGCTGTGAGATAAAGCACGTAACTTCACGTATACAAAGACAAACGGATTGAGAGAGTTCTAGCTCTGTCCATTCATTCACATGCACCCTTGTCAGCCAGAAGGGCCCTCTGTTACGTCTGTCTGGACAGACACCTCCCAGTGAGGGTGGCCTGTGGGCTCCAGCCACTGCTCCATTGCCGCCACCACCACCACACGCTTCTCCGATGTCCCTGATGATCCCGCGCACTCCGCACACCACCCTGCCAGTCCAAGTGCAACACAGTTTGGTTCTGTGGGATTTCTCCCATCTCAACCCCCCGCTCCTCTCTGTTCCTTATTGTGTTGAGAAACTTCCCCGGCTTGGGTCAAAGTGTGGAGCCGGAGAGATGCTCTGGTCTGCACCTTTCTGCTAACCGTTTAATTCTGCCACCGCCTTCGCACTCCCGGACGGGTGTTTCTCTAACTGGGTTGTAATTAGAACGGGGATCTATTTAATTTCTCTGGCCATTTATCCAGTCTCTCCTACAGTACTAGGAATCTTAGTCTTATACAAGAGTAAGAGGTGTGTACAAGCCCCCTGTACTGTATGCACGGATCGCTTGGCCAATAATTATGTCAGTAAACCTGAGACTTGTATTAAAACACTTTAGACATTTGTAGAAGGGAATTCATAGACTTCACTTATATACTAAAGGTTCTTTTTTTTGTGCAGTTCTCATTGCAAAAATAAACATTTGTACTGAACGTAAAGTTACCCTCCTGTGAGTACTGCTGTCTTTTTGAGGGTAAACTGGGAGGTCGTGGAGGGGTGGGCAGCACTGTGCTCTGGAGTTGGAAGACACCCACCAACCACACAGCCACAAGAGGGGACTCAGGAAAGATCCTGGCAGGTTGTCAGATGAATGGCTGGGGAGTGTGGAGGAAATCGGAGGCCTCGAGCTAACAGAAAGGTAAGTAGTTAGGGAGAGTGAAAGGTAGTCTCATAAAGGCAGTGTAATCCAACTCATCCATTGTTTACTGAGGTAGAAAAATATGAATAGATACTCGTCTTTACCTAGCAGCCCATGATTGTGGGTTTTTGGGTTTTGTTTTTTTTTTTTTTGTCTTTTTCGTTTTTATCGGTACCAAGGATCGAACTCACGACTGCCTGCTTGCAAGGCAGGCGCTTATTCCGCTGAGCTAAATCCCCAGCCCCATTGATTGTGTTTTGAGACATGGTCTCGCTGTGTAGTTCAGACAGACTTGAACTCATTTTGTAGCCCAAGCTGGCCTTGAACTCAAATTGATGCTCCTGCCCCAGCCTCCCAAGCGCTGGGATGACGCATGCGCCACCGCTGCGGGTCCCATGGGTTTAATTATGGACTCAGGACATACTCTAGTATGCAGATAATGCAAGAGTGTGTGGGTAACTGGAAGAGGGGCCAGTGGGTGATGTGAAAACAGAGTCTCAGGAAAACTGAAAGGGACACAGCATGATCGGTGGTAATTCATGTCAGCAACTCGGGATAACCGTTCCAAACGAGCAAAGAAACAGAATACACTCTCAATAACCTGGGTTATCGATGAGAAGTGTTTAGAGACCTGTGGGCTGGTGCCAGGCTGCTGTATTTATCAGTCCTGGATTGCTGTTTAACCAGATGTGTGATATCAGACACATGACTTCATCCCCGAATTTCAGGTTCTTGACTTGTAATGAAGCTGATGTCCCTAAAATGGACACGGGTCCCGGAAAAAAGTTGCAACATAGAAGAAACTGGTTCCTCTCTTGAATGGATTTCCCCATCATGCTCTGCTCCGCCCTGCCCAGCCTCGACTCCTTTTTGTCAGATGCTGTGACTCAGTTAATCCAGACTTCTTCCAGCAAGCATCAAAGCTGGACCGACCTACCCTCTAGGAACCGGGATCCCCTCCTGCCTCAGCCACCCTTGCCAGGGTCTAGCAAGCCCGGACCACGACACCTGCCAGGTGGCACCGGGACGAGGATCGGGCGCTCCGACGCCGATGGCTGCCACTGTCCAGGACAGCTGTAAGGAGGACTGCGTAGGGCCGCGGCTTCCCGACCGGTCACAGGAATCACAGCTGGATAAAGGAGGTGCTGCTGGGTCTCTCGAAGCCAGGCCGGGGAGGGAAGCACGCGGCGTGAGAGGGTGGCGGGGGCTACTAAACCGCCCTCGCGGGCCGCTGTGGCTGACAGCACCTTTGCGCGCCCAGTCTGTGGCATCGCTGGTTACCGCCTTTGGGCTGATGCGATCTGCTGTATTGAATTGGGCTGGGTCCCTCAACTCACTGCCCAATCCTAGGCAAACCCTCAACCCATTGGGCCAGCCTCCATCCTTATCCGCCCAATGGTAGGCCCCTGTCCTAGGCCACACCCATTTCCTTGCCCACCCGCAGGAGCCACGCCTCCAGCCTCCCACCGCTCTGAGCCAATCGGGTCCGCCTTCCCCCGCCCTTAAACCACACCTCCGGGGTATGCCCCGCCCATAAACCAATCGAGCTCGTCTTTCCTGTCCTTAAGCCACACCTCCAAGAGTCAGGCCCCGCCCCGCACGTGGCCCTCAGTTTGTCCCCAGCTGGGAGAGCCGCCCCCACCTGCGGCACTAGTCCGTCCTGGCTCCGCCCCGCGCCCTCGCAGGTAGCGTGGCCGGGCGCGGCGAGTCGGGGCGGAGGCGGTTCCCGTCTGAGCCGCCTCTCCCTGTCCTCCCGCAGCTCGGCCCGCCAGCGCCTGCGTCCCCAAGGGGTCCCGGGCTGCAGGCGGCGGGCTCCCGGCGGCCGACCCCTCTTCACCGCTGCTGCGGGCCGGCCCGGTTGGGTCCTCGGCCGACGGCGCCATGCCCGAGCTGGTGGTGAGCGCGCTGTTGGCGCCGTCACGCGCCTCGCTGAAGCTGCTGCGTGGCCTGCTGTGGCTGCTAGTGTACTCCGCGGCCGCGGTGGCCGCCGCCGTCTACGGCTGCATCGCGCTCACGCACGTGCTGTGCAGGCCTCGGCGCGGCTGCCACGGGCGCCCGCGGTGCGCGGCGCCTGCCTGCCTGGTGGACCCCTCGCTGGGCGAGCACGGCTTCCTGAACCTCAGGGTGAGCCTCGGGGACTTCCCAGAAGGAGGTTGAGTAGGGCCGAGCCAAGCTGGGATGGTTCCACCGCAACCGGGGTGGGCACGGGGGCCTGGGGAGGAAGGGGTCTCTGGCCTTAAGGGCTGTCCTTCTGCAGAGCTCGGGCCTGCGTCTGCACTTCGTCTCCGCTGGTCGTGGCAACGGTCCCCTCATGCTGTTTCTCCACGGCTTCCCTCAAAACTGGTATGTCCAGGACCCCGGGGCCTGGAGAGAGAGGACTGGGGCGAGGTGGAGCGCGACTCTAGGTGGAGAAGGGGCCGGAGTCGCCCTGGAAATGCAGAGCAACCAGGGTCCTGATGGGCACGGAAGCGGGTAGGGGCTGCCCCAGGATGCCCGGGATTTATCTGTAGGCCCTGACCCAGAGTGACCCCATCCTCCCTTCCGGAAAGACAGCTGCTGGAAGGTGGTGTCTCCAAAGATCACTGCTGAGTATAGGGTGGAGGAGTAGCCGTAGGCCCTGACTCAACCTCCCCTACACCCTCTCCCACCGGGCAGGTTTTCCTGGCGCCACCAGCTCCGGGAGTTCCAGAGCCATTTCCACGTTGTGGCTGTCAACCTGCGTGGCTATCTCCCCTCAGAGGCTCCAAAGGACGTGGACTGCTACACCATGGACCTGCTGATGGCAGACATCCAGGATGTCATCCTGGGCCTGGGTGGGGGCCAGCCCCTCTCCCAGAAGTGCACACACACCTCTTCCTCCCATCTCCCCTGTACCAGTGCCACCTGTACCCTGGCACCTTACACCAGCACGTCTCTCTCCCAGGTTACTCCAAGTGCATCCTCGTGGGCCACGACTGGGGCGCCACCCTTGCCTGGAATTTCTCCATCTATTTTCCCTCCCTTGTTGACCGGATGGTAGTGGTCAGTGGCCCCCCCTCATCCGTTTTCCAAGGTGTGTCCGGCATGCTGGTGGGGAAATGTCTGCAGTTAGTTCTCTCCTTCTCCTGTTTGCATACCTGGGATCCCTTCCCTGTGACGCTCTTCAATCCAAAATCAATGACAAGCCAAGCATGGTGGCTCACGCCTGTCATCCCAGCACTTGGGAGGCTGAGGCAGGAGGATTGTTGTGAGTTCGAGGCCATCCTGGACTGTATAGTGAGACCGTGTCTCAAAGCAAAAAGCAAAACAGAATCAATGACAGAGCTGTGAGTGGTGACACACACTTGTCATCTCAGCCACTCTGTAATCTCTGCTGCTAGAATGAATGAGATAGGATCAGAAGTTCAAAGCCAGCCCAGGCAACTTGGCACCATCTTGTCTTAAAATTTAAAAACAGTTTTAAGATTGCTGAGGACCTAGGTCAGCACTCTCTGGGTTCAAACCCCAATACTGCAAATGAACAAAGTCATTGAGAATACACTAAGAACTTTTCCTCAAGTTGAGTATCCCTTGTCAGAAATGTTGGAGATCAGGACTGGGGGTGTCATTAGTGATAGGAAACTTGACTAAGACCTGGGATCTGATCCCCAGCACACACGCGCTCACACTCACACACGCCCATTTAGGACTAGAAGTGTTTTGGGTTTCATATTACTTGGAATATTTGCACACACATGATGAGACGGCTTGCTGTGAGGGGGCTTCCGTCTAACATGAAATAAGCTGCAAGACATTTACGGAGTATTTTGAATAACTGTGGAAAAAAGGTTCGTACTCGTACATTGAAACATCGGAGGTCAGGTAAGACATTTTCCACTTGTAGCACCCCGTCAACACTCAAAAATTTTAGATTTTGCTGGGGACGTAGCTCAGCGGTATAAGTGGCTACCTGGCAAGCGCAAGTTCCTGGTACCAAAGAGAACCAAAAATTGTAGATTTTAAATGTGGGTGTGGGGGTGCGTGTCTGTAGTCCTAGTACCTGGGAAACTGAGGCAGGAGGATTGCCCTGAGTCAAAGCCAGTCTGGGCTATGTAATGAAACCTTGTCTCGAAAAACAGTAAAACTTTTTTTTCAGATTTAAGATTTTTAGATGAGGGATATGTAGGCTATAACAAACGCCTCTGACTGAGAGCCTGCATATCCATAACCCATAGGGGTTTTGGGATTAGGAGTTCTCTCCTCCCCTCTTGCCTCCCCTCTCCTCCCCTCCTCTCTTTTCTCTTCTCTCTCTCTCTGTGGGTGTGGGTGTGGGTGTTTTGTTGTGGTGTTAGGGATTAGACTGGGGTCTCATGCATGCTAAGCACACGCCTCCAGCCTGTACCCTTGATTTCCTCCTGACTGACTGATTTTGCTGTGCTGGGAGCAGAACCCTGGGCCTTGCACACACCAGGCCAGTGCTTACCCGCTGAGCGACAGCCCCATCCCTGACCTGATTTTAAATCCGAGCATGGCCTGCAGTCATAAATGTTCATCCTCTCCCTCCCTCTGTCTGTTCCCTCTGTCGTATGCCCGTCTGTCTCCTAGACTATCAGCTGCCTGATGGCAGAGTTTTTCTGTCTGGTTCACTGAGTCTCCAGGGTCTAGGAGAGCAGGACCTGGGACACAGTAGGTACTTAGTAAGTGTTTGTTGAATGAAGCAAAAAAGTACCTAGACAGGAGGGGCAGCTCCCCGAACTAGAGCAGGGTGCAGCCCCGTTTGGCAGGGAGGGGTGCTGGGGCCTGGGCCAGGAGCGGGCATCCGTGTCTTCACTGACAGCCTTGGTTTCGTTCATCCCTGAGGCCTGTGTGCTTGACGGGGTCCATGGGGGATGCAGGGCTCCCCCACAACAGCTCCCCTCTCCCTCCCAGACTACTGCATTCGCCACTTCGGCCAGTTCTTCAGGACGAACTACATGTTCCTGTTCCAGCTGCCCAGGCTGCCAGAGAGGCTGCTGTCCATGTCTGACTTCCAGGTGCAGTGGGGTGAAGGCCGGGGGCGGGGGGTGGGTAGGGGCAGCGGGGTGGACCCGGCAGGCTAGGTAACTGCAGCCGGATCCCTGCCGCACACCCAGATCCTGAAAAGCTCTCTCACGGGCCGCAAGACGGGCATCCCTCGCCTCACGCCCTGCGAGCTCGAGGCCTTCCTGTACGGCTTCTCTCAGCCCGGTGGCCTCACCGGGCCCATCAACTACTACCGGAACATCTTCAAGTAAGGCCAGGCCTGGGGTGGAAGCTCAGGAGACTCACAGAGGTGCAGGGCAGGAGGGCATTGTCTGTCTGACCGTTTGTCCCCATCACAGGAACTTCCCCCTGGAGCCCCAGGAGCTCGCTGTACCCACATTGCTGCTGTGGGGGGAGAAAGACCCCTACTTCGAGGTGGCCTTGGTGAGGGCCATTGAGAGCCGCTTTGTGCCGGGCCGGCTGGAGGCCCACATCCTGCCGGATGCGGGACACTACATCCCGCAGAGCCACCCCCGAGAGATGCACCAGTACATGTGGGCCTTTCTGCAAGACCTGCTGGCCTCGAGCCCGCTGTCAGGGGCTGCCTGGGCCGGGGACCAGGGTCACACACACATGCAGGAGGCCCAGCAGCCCCTGCGCTCACACCCGGGCATGGGCATGTGCATGTGACAGCGACAACTCTGACTGGGGAACCCGGCCCGCCCCTCCTTCACGCTGAGACCCAGTGTCCCCTTCCCTCCCCTTGCCACAGGTGGCCTCCTGTGCCCGGCTTCCGTGGGGAGCCCAGGTCTCAAGTTTCTTTCAGCACTGAATCCACGGCAGCGGTGCTTGGTACAGGCAGACCCTTCCACTCCAGAGTGGGTTCACCCAGGCGGGGTCCAGTGGGGAACCAGGGCTTCCATCCCTCCGTGTACTTCAGGTGCTCACCCTTCAGCTGGGTGTGGTGGCACTCACGGGGCATCCCAGCACTCGGGAGGCCAGGGCAGGAGAATCACCACAAGTTGGAGGCCAGGCTGGGCTACAAAATGAGTTCAAAGCCACTCTGTCTCAAAAAGATAAAAGGTTTTACTAGACAGTGGCAAGTCAGGTTGCATCCGCCCGCCACAGCCTGGGCTGGCCCATCTCTGAGCCCCGGGAAAATCGCTGTGGGATCTTTAGCATGGGATTTTGGACTCAGCCCAGGAAGGCACCAGCCCCTAGGATCTTTGGCTTCCAATCATCCCACGTTTCCAGAAGTCCAAACAAGGGTTTTATGAGTGGCGGGCAACCACACAGTGCCAAGCTGGTCACGACATCAACTTCTCTCCCTGGTTTTACTCAGCCTTTTGGGCAGTGTTGGCACCTACAGACTAAGGATTCGGAAGAGTTGAAAAATATATTCTGTTAACTGGATGTGGAGGCACAAGCCTGTAATTCTAGCACTCTGGGAGGCTGAGGCAGGAGGATCCCAAATTCCAACCCAGACAAGGGCATTTTAACAAAATCCTTTCTCAAAATAAAAAAAAAAAAAATAGAAATAACTGAAGATTCAATCCCTAGTCCTTTCCACCCAGGAAAGTCTGTTTGGGGATGAGTCTGCCTGGCTGTATCTTTGTTGCCCTCCCTTGTTCCCCAAAAGACCTGCTTTCTCTCTCCATGGGTGCCATTGTGTTAGTTCCCCCCAGAGGCCGTCCTGGAGCTCTAGGGTTCACAGAGGAGAGAGGGCCGTGCCAGTGACAGAGTTCAGGTAAAGCCTGCCCAGGACCCACAATAGGGGCCGGATGGGGTCTACTCCCGGGAAACATTCAGAGGCCTGTCCAGGGCGGGAAGGCACTCAGGCTCCCTGAATAACAACGTGGAGGGAGCCCAGCGGCTGCTGCCTCTGCCAGGCCCTGCGAGGCGTTTGGATTTATTCTCAGGGAGGCTTTCAGCAGGGCAGGGACACGGCTTGCATTCTGAAGAGCTCCCTGCGGGGCCGCACGGTCCCAGCAAGAGCGCAGGCAGGCGGGAAGCAAGAGGCGAGGGCCCCTCCGGGCAGGAGCCCCTCAGACCTGACCTGGTCCCCCACCCTGCAGGGTGGGCGCCACGAGGAGGGGGTCCGGGGCGTGGGGCCTGGGCAGAGGAAGCCTGCGGGCAGGATGGGGATGGCGTCCAGCAGGCCGAGGGTCTGGCGATGGTTGCCGAGGTGACGGGGGAAGGGTCGATGGTTGACCGGAACGGGTAGCGGTTGTCTGGGTGACTAGAGGGGCCTAGGCTAAGGCTGACGGGAGGGCTCGGACAGTTGCCGGGACGACCCGGGTCCGCGGACGGTTGCCAGGGTAACCAGAAGGCGCTGTCTTCCGCCTTCCAAGGTGTAGGCAGGAGGAAGGCGGGGAATCTTGGGAGAAGCGATCGCGTTGATTGGGTAGAGTTCTGAAGAGTAGCCCAATAGAAACTCACATCACGGCCCAGGCGCGCCTCTCCCAGCCTTAGCCAATCAGAGAGCGTCTTTCTTCCGGCACCGAGGCTAGGCGTGCTCCTCACTTTGGGCGCGAGCGGAGAACGCCGGAGGAGGTACCACAGTTCTCGGGCTCGGGCCCGCTCTTTGCTTTTAAGCCTGCGTCTCCAGACCACGTTCCAGCCCTCTCCATTCATTCATTCATTCATTCACTCATTCATTCTTTCACGCACCCATTCATTTGTCACACGCAGCCATTCATCCCACTTTGCGTCATCGCCCATTCATTCATTCACCCGCCCATTCGCTCTCTCTCCCTGCTACCTGCTCTACGCCGCTGCCCCCGCCCTAGAGGAGGGCGAAGGAGAGAACAGCCGGATACAGACTGCCCACCCGGGGTGGTCAGGCTCCAGTGACCTAGGGGGAGGACCAGAGGGATGGGAAGCAACTGGGGAGGTGGTGTGGGAGATGAACTGCACACACACACAGAAGTGCTCCAGCCTACACAAGCCTCCCACGCACGGGTGATTTATCATTTTTGAGAGAGAAGGAAAGCGTGGGACAGGAAGATGCCAGCCAGGAAACGCCTGGGACAGCCCTTTGGGTCTGAAATATTCCGTGGGAGTTGCTGAAGGACCCAGACCAGAGGGGAAAGATGGAGGCTGGCGCGGGAAGGACCTGTAGGTGAGGTCTGGGCCACAGAGAATGAGGAGCCTGTACTAGGCACTGAGGCCGGAGCAGAGGCACAGAGAAAGCCTCTGTGGGACGGGAGATCTAGAAACATTTGAGGTGCAGACAGAGGTGGCCCAGCCTGCAGCATCGGTGGGCAGGGACACAGTGTGGAGTCTGTTTGCTTGTGTTCCGGTCCTGGGGTGGGGTGGGGAATCCAACTCAGACCTTGTGCTTGTTAGGCAGGTGCTGAGCCGCTGAGCTCCATCCCTGGCCCTAGGAGTCCGTTTTTAACAGCTTGGAGACTAAGACTCACCTGAGACTGAGGCCTGGGGCCCCCACCTCTGAAGGCAGGCAGAAGAGAGAGGCCCCAGACATGGTGCCCACAGAAGGCAAGTGGCCGCTCAGCAGCAAAGTGGGACAGGTCCAGCAGCCTGCAGTTTCAGATCCAAGGTGGGGACTGAGCCAAGCAGAGTCCTGAGGATCCGTGAGAGTGGAATTCTCCCCATCCTCCTGGGAGAAGTCAGGACGGGTCGCAAAGAACTGAGGGCTTGGCTGCTCAGAGTGGACTGAGCAGGGGTGGAGAAAGGACACTGGCAAGCCCAGCCAGGGCAGCCCCGATGCGTTCAGATGGGAATTCCAGGCAGGTTTGCTACAGGGGCAGAGCTGGAAAAAACCGATGAGGATTCATGCAACACCCAGAAGCCAGTGCCCACGGCCCTGTCTGGCTCCCCCTACCAGACGAGGGGAAGGAAGAAAATTTGCACAGCTTGGAAGAGGGGGGTGTGCAGAGGACCCTTGGTCAAGGGACACAGGCAGCCAGAGTGAGCTTGCGGGAGGGGACCTAGGAGGATTCACCTGCCAGTGACTCCTACAGGCCAAATCACCTGGAGGATGGGGACTTGTGGGAGGATCCCGGAGTGGAGCAGAGAAGGGGAGCGTGGAGAGGATGTGGGGGACGCAGAGCAGAGAGAGGTGACAGGCTGGTCCTGATGCATTCACCAGACAGCCAGCAGCCATCACGGCTGAGAGAGAGCAGACTGGATGGTAGAGCACGTGCCTGTTACGCGTGAGGGCTAGATTTTATCCCCGGTGCAAGAAAAAAGTTATTTCATTGCCTCTGTGCCTCGGTCTGTGTTAGACTCTGGGACCCAGCGTGGAGTTTGACGGATGCCCCTAGAGCCAGCATCTGCAGGGTTGAGGGGTCAGGGAGGGTCGTGCGAAGCAGTTGGAGCCCAGACAGAGGAGGCCAAGTCCCGAGATGGCTTCCCCGGGAGGCAAAGGAGCAGATCTTTCTTCCTTCTTCTCCCCGTGCTGAGGAGGGAAGCGAGGGGCCGGCATCCCTGAGCTGCACCCCAGCCCTTTGTACAGTGCAGTTTTTATTGTGAGTCAGGGTCCTGCCAAGCTACCCAGACGGGACTCAGACTTGCAATCCCCCGTCTCAGTGCTGGACCTTGAACCCAGGGCTTTACACATGTTAGGCGTGTGCTCTGCACTGACCTCTACCCCCAGCCCTTTTCTCCTCTTTTAGGTCTTTTTTTCTTTTTTTGGTCCTGAAAATTGAACTCAGGACTTCACACTCACCGGGAAGGCACCGTGCCGCTGAGCTATATCCCCAGTCCACCTTGAGGTTTTGGTGCTACGATTCCCTCCCAGCTCCCAGGCTGGAATCCCCCCCCTCCAGTCACTCTTCATCTCATCTGAATAGCTCTTACGTCTTTGCCTTCTTGTTTTGTTTTTTGGGCCACCACAAGGCCTGCTACCAAGTAGGTAGGTAGTCAAGACATGTTTGTTGAATGACTGAATGAAAGTGAGACGAGCTGGAGAGCCGGCCTCAGCAAACAGGCTGTGTTTTTGCCTTTGAGGGTCTAAGATCGGGGCTCTAGGTCCTGGGAACGTGGGAACAGCCTGCAGGAAAGCAGGAAGCAGGAAATCGAAGCTGAGGAGGGGTAGGGAGGTGGGAAGCGGCTGGGGTTCTCACATCAGCAGGCCCCGCAGAAGCAATGTCCAGCGGGCCTGCCTGGGTCCCCTGGCTGTGGGCCACTCCCAGTGAACTCAGGCGGCCCTCACGCTGCTGGGTCCCCCAGGCTCCCATGGCCGGCACCTGGGCTCCAGGAGGACCTGGCCGGGCTTCTGCGCAGAGGGCGAGGCCTTTGGGCCGCAGAGGCGAGGCCGAGGCCCAGGGTGTGTTCTCAGGTTCCGGGTCAGCGTGCCGGCAGCTGCGCCTTGGCCTGGCCCCAGGTCCCGCGTCCCCGGGGACTGAGCTCATTCCGGAGAAATGCAGTCCTTCGCCAAGGCGGCCAGCAGGGGCCGGGAGGGGGCGGGAGCCCAGCCCCACTGCACTGGGAACCGGGCGGCCTGCAGCTTGGCCGTGGGAATACGAGGCTCAGGTCCCGGGCCAGCACTGCCGCTGCAGAGGGGGACAGCAGCAGGTGCCCGGAGCCACGAGGGACCCCAACATCTCTAGGCTGCCTGCACCCACGGGCCGGAAGCCACCACGCTAAACCAGCAAACCTGCAGCCAGGAGTCCCTGCTTAGGGAACGAGTCTGCAGGGTTTTGAGCGTTTTTTTTTTTTGGTTGCTTCTTGAGCCGGGGAGCCCAGCCCTGCTGCCTGTTTGTGGAGGGAGCACGGCCCCTCTGTGTCCTCTGCACAGTGAGGCGGGAAACTTCTTCCTCTGCCTGTTTCCCGGGGAGCCCCTTAGGCACAGGGGTGAACCAGGGAGGCCTGGGGAGGCCCTGGGGCAGATCCTCGGATGAATCAGAGACCCTCAGCCACAGGCATGGGGTGCACGGGGCTGTGGGAGGGGCTCATGTGGGAAATAGCAGGGATTCCCAACAACCAGAATGTAGCTGTGTGTGTTGGGGGTATGGCAGGGCTACCAGGGCCCCCCACATGTTCCAGCACTGAACTGCAACCCCACCCTTTCTATTCTTTAATTTTAAAAAAACTTTTATTATTTATGATTTATTTCTTCTCAGCACTTGGGAGGCTGAGGCAGGCGGATCACCGTGAGTTCAAAACTAGCCTGGTTTACATTTTGAGTTCAAAGTCTGCCTGAACCATATAATGAAACCCTGCTTTAAAAAGATCCCCCAAGATAATTTATTTCTACTGCGCTGGGCATTTGCACTAAACTTTGCACTAAGGGTCTTGGCACTAAGCTAGCCAGCCCCAGCTAACTTTGTCTTCTGTAACCAGGCACCGTGGCACACACCTGTCATCCCAGCACTCAGGAGGCTGAGGCAGGAGGATCGCTGTGAGTTCTGAGGCCAACCTGGGCTACACAGTGAGTTCAAGGCCAGCCTGGCATAGGAGGATCCTGTAAACAAACAAAAACTTTTTTTTTTTTTTTTTTTTGGCTTTTTCGTTTTTATCGGTACCAGGGATTGAACTCACGACTGCCTGCTTTCAAGGCCGGTGCTTATGCCGCTGAGCTAAATCCCCAGCCCCAACAAAAACGTTTTTAAAAATACTGAAGTCTATTCTATAACAGGCCCGCCCTTCAGTCGACTGAGTTATCCAGGCTGGCCTCAAACTTGGTATCCTCCTGCCTCAGTCTCCTGAGCAGCTGGATTACCAGTGCGTGCCCCACAAGTGGCTGAAAGTGTATTTTGTTATTGTTGGTGATGGCGGTAGGTCTTTATTTTTTATTTTGTTTTGGGTTTCTGTTTTGAGATGTCAGGCATGTATGGAAGTGCGTATCTGGAGAGCACGTGTGTGCACTGGTCGCTGCTCAGGAAGGAGACCCACGGGCTTGCATCTGCGGTGTAGAGGGAGTGGGAGCCAGAGAGGACGGGGCCTCCCAAGGGGCAGGCGTGGCCTGAGGGGCCGAGGGCTGGGCTGCCCAGGCCCTGGGGCTTGGGTTTCCTCCCAGCAATGGCACAAGGAGGAGCTGGGCCGTGCCCGCCCCGTGGGCTGGCTGACTCAGCACACTCGTGTGAATCAGTGTGTGTCTCTTCCCTGTCTTTTTCTCTGCCAGAGCATTACGCCTTTCCCACCCCACTCCTCCGGCCTGTAGCCCCTCAAACTCAGGTTCAAATCTCAGCTCTTGCCCCTGGGTGGCGCCCGCCTGTTAGCCCAGTGCTTGGGAGACTGAGGCGGGAGGATGCCACGGAGTTCTAGTGCAACCTGAGCTGCACAGAGACCCGGTCTCAAAAGACAGAAAGCAAATGACATGGCAGCTCTTGGGTCAGAGATGTGGCTCATCCACAGGGCATTAGTGTGGCAAGGCTGAGGCTCTGACTTCCATGGCCAGCACACACAGACGGGCAGACAGACAGACAGACACAGACACACAGGACTGAAGCAGCTGGGCATGGCGGCCTGCAACTGTACTTCTAACACTCAAGAGGCTGAGGCAGGAAGACCTCAAGATTGAGCCCTGCCTGGGATATACTGCAAAACCCTTTCCCACCAGACAAGAGAAAGGGAACTCATCCCTGCCGCTACGTGGCCGGATCTCACAAGGCCAAGCACAAATGGCCACGTCCAGCTCGGGAAAGTCCATGACGCAGAATGCGGATGAGGGGCAGCCAGAGGGGAGAGGCCAGTTAAGGGTGACTGCTCCCTTGGGGGGCAGAGAGACGTCCTAGGACTGAGTGCAGGTCAGGGCTGCACATGCAGGAATTTCCTCAACGCCCCTGAATCCTACACTTTAAAATGGTAAATGGGCCAGGCGGGGTGGCACCCGGCTCAAATCCCAGCCTGAGAGGCTGAGGCAGGAGGAATGCAAGTCTGAACGCAGCCCTGGCAAGTTAGTGACTTACCAAGACAGTCTCAAAACATTAAAACATGGAAAAGTAGTTCAGTGGTAAAACATCTCAGGGTTTAATCCAAAGCAGAAAACCAGAACCAAAAACCAGTCTGTCTGATGGGCGCTGTGGTGTCCACACAGTCTCAGCATGTCTCCCTACAGGACTCAGTATAAAAGCAGAGAATAAACTGGATGCCACTGGTGCACACCCAGCACTCAGGAGGCTGAGGCAGGAGGATCAGGAGTTTGAGAGCAGCCTGGCTGGCTACCTAGGGAAACCCTGTCTCTGAGAAGGGGTGGGGCTTGGGGTTGTATCTCAATTTAGTCACAAGAAATGGGGCCAGCATCCTTGGAAGAAACTGACCCCACCTCTGCAAAAATGCCCAAGGCGTGAAAGAAAGAGGTGCTCATTCAGTCTGGAGGAGACCGGGAGAGGGGGCTGACGAGCCATGGTGTGATCCAAGGGCCGATCTCGGGGTCAGCAAAGAAACACAGCAAAACACAGGTAGCCGGCACAGTGCACATGGACGGGGGGCGATAACTGGGGTGCATGTGTGCAGGAAGAGGCCCTGATCTCAGGAAACAGGCAGAGAAGTACCTGAGGGAGACGGGGCATCATGTTTGCCCTCAAAGGAGCCAGGCAGGTGTGGTGACACACACCTGTCATCCCAGCACCAAGGAGGCTGAGGCAGGAGAGTCACCACAAATGCAAGATTCAAGGCCAGCCTGGGCTATACAGTTAAAGGCCCTGCCTCAAAATCAAGCAGTTGAGCCAAAAAAAAAAAAAAAAAAAAAAAAAAAAATAAATAAATAAATAAATAAATATATGGAGAGAGAGACACACACACACACATGTCAGAGACAGAGAGACAGAGACTTATAAGACTGTGTCTTATAAGACAAATTGGGCATGGTGGTGCAGTCCTATAATCCTAGCACTCTGGGAGGCTGAGGCAGGCGGATTCCAAGAGTGGTTTAGTGAGACCCTGTCTCAAAAAAAAATTAAAAAATACAAGTGCCCTCTTGGCAAGTGCAAGGTCCTGAGTTCAATTTCTGGTGCAAAAGAAAACATCAAAAGAAGAGGAAAAAATCATATAATAAGTGAGGCAGAGTGTAGTGGGTGAGTCTGGACCAAGGGCTTATGGAAATCAGCTGCTTCATTCTGCAAGTTTGCTGATTACCGTAATTTTATACACCTTTTTTTTTCTTTTTTGTATTTTTACCGGTACCAGGGATTGAACTCACGACTACAGGCTTGCAAGGCAGGCGCTTATGCCACTGAGTTAAATCCCCAGCCCTGTTTACAGTAATTTTAAAAGACATTTGAAACTCACCCCAAGATTTCTGGCGCAGGGGTGACAGCCTCACTCTGGGCTCGTCCTTAGCATCTGGCCGCCTCCAGGGGTTAACTCTCAGGATCCTCAGATCAGCCTGGGCACCAACCATTTACCAGGGGGCAGCTTGGCCCGACTCTGGCCCCTCTGCTCCAGTGAATCCATTCATTTATCTGTTTCATTTAGAGACAGGGTCTCGCTATGCCGTCCAGGCTGGCCTTGAGTTTACTTCATAGGCTAGGCTGGCCTCAAACTCTGAGCAATCCTCCTGCCTCAGCCTCCCGAGTGCTAGGATGGACTCCAGCTTGTCCTTCAGAGTCAAGGCACTCAGATTCTCCTCAGAGAAGTGCTCCGGAGGGGATCAAGGCGTAGGCTCTCCAGGTCAGTTGTGCTGACCGACACTTGTTAAAGACAGGAGTAGGCAGACTGAGGAACTGTCCCTGGACGTCCCTCTCCATCTCCTGCCTAGACTCTGTGGCCCCTCTGGCTCAGCCTGAACCCCTTGGTACGATGATTGTCTGCTTCACCCCTCAGGGTGGGTTTGGGACCCCTCAGGGGTCTCATTCTGACTCCTGAGACAGGGCTGTGCTGTGCGGGTCTAATCCCCGACACACTAAGAGTATTCTGTACACCTTGGTCCCCGACCAAGCCTTTGCAGCTTTGTGGATTATAAGGAGCCTAGGGGGACTAAACAGTCCAGCTGTGCGGGGACCCACAGCGACTCACATGGGGCCGAGGACCCTCCCATGCACACATACACCCCTGAGCTCTCTTGTCTCTGCAGATCCGAGGCTGCTCACAGCCTGGCTGGGCCCGAGTTTCAGGTTCATGAGTGGTTTGGATTTTAGGGTCTCTGCAGAGGGCCCCCTCTAGCTCTTTTGGAGCGGGAATTTAGAGATAGGGTCTGGAGGGTAGTCCAGCCTGGCCTTGAACTCACTATGTAGCCCAAGTAGGCCTCACTCTGCAGTGATCCTCCTGCCTCAGCCTCCTGAGAGTGCTGGGATGACAGGTGTGGGCATCCATGAAACCCTGGCTTTGCTTTTGGGCCCTGGCGCGCTGTGAGCTCGGGAACCTCTGGGTAACTCAGCCTGCAGGGTTCCCGGGGGTCTGCATGGTGGGGGGAAGGGGGTCCCCGCCTGTATGGGTCCCCGGGTGCTCTTGAGCGGCCCGCAGCTCCAGGCTCCGCGGGTGGAGGTGGGCAGGGACCCCGCGAGGCGCAACGCGGGCCGGGCCGGGGCTGGGGCGGGGCGGGGCGGGGCTGGGGCGGGGCGAGCGGCCCCGGGATCGGGCGCAGTCGGCGGCGCGGAGCCTGGGCCGGGAGCGCCGGGCCGGAGAGGCGGAGGCGGAGGCGGCGGAGGAGGAGGGTCGCGGCCGGCGCCATGGGGCCGGGGGCCCGGGGCCACGGCGGCCGCTGGAGGTCGTCGCCGCCATCCCCGGGGGCGCTGCCCGGGCTGCTGCTGCTGCTGCCGCTTCTCGCGGGGCTCGGGGCTGCAGGTGAGGCCGGGTGGAGGCGGGTGAGGGGCGCGGGCCCCCGTTCCGGGTGGGAGCCTGGTGACCGCGGACCGGCGCCCGGGGGGCTGCAGGCGCGGGGGACGGCGCGCCATTCCCGGGGGACGCGGGGACCCCTAGGTGGGGCGCAGGGGCGCGGGGACCTGCGGAGCAGAGAGACCCCCCCGAGCCTTGGCGGCTGGAGGTGAAGGGGACCCAGGGGTCCCAGACGGGGGGAGGCTCGAGGTGCGGGTTTCGGGGACCCCAGATGCGGGACGGGCGCAGCTCATCCCACGCGAGCTTGGGTCCTGGTGAGGCTCCGATGGAAACCCAGGGCTCCCTCCACACCCCAGGCCGAGGACCCTCCGCACAAAAGCTCCCCGACCCCCGGGCAGCCGGGCCGGGCGGGGGGCGGGGAGGGGCGCGAAGTTCTCGGGCTCAGAAAACTTCCCAGGCCGGCGCCACGCAAGCCCCGGAGCCGGAGCCGCAGCGCGCGGAGCGGAGCGGAGCCCCGGGCGCGCCCCTCCCCCGGCCCTCCTCCTCCGCTCCCCTCCCCCGGCCGCCCCCTCCCCTCTCGCGGGCCGCTCGGACCCCGCGGCCTCAGGGCCCCCCCGTGCGGTGGGGAGGGGGCGAGCGCGCGCGGACCCCCTCTCGGGCCTGGCGCCCCCTCCCCTCCCGCCTCCCCTCCCCCCTTGGGACAATGCCGCGCCGTCTAGACACCCCCTCCCCCCGCCGGCCTCGCGCTTTCTTCGCCAGACAAAGCGGGACCTGCGGCGGGGCCGGAGCGGGGGCTGCGGGGCGCCCCCATCCCAGCCTCTACCCCAGCCCCGGGAAGCCTGGCCGGCGGGGGACGGGCCGAGGGGGGGGTCCCGGGTGCACCGTGGGGGTGCAGAGGGATCGGGCTCCAGGGCCTGGCCTGGGGGCCCCAGCGGGCCCGGCGCACATTCAGGGCTGTCACACGCAGCACCGGTCACACACACTGCAGAGGCCAAATGTGCAGCTCCGGGACGCGGCGAGCCTCAGACGCCGCACACGCTGGGCTCCCGCCCGAAGCGCCCGGCTGCTCCCCGCGTGCACGGTCGGGGGGTCACTGGTGCAAGATCTGGGACGCTTGGTGCCTGAGCACACGAGGATGCGCCACACCCTGGCATCCGTACAGGCGGATGCTGGGGCTCACACAGACGGACATTTATAGATGACCAATGCACACGCACCAGAGCTGCAGAGCACGCATGACACACGCATCTGGCCACTCCTGTCGTGCTGTGTGGCTCACACACTCCTTTGCGTACGCGTGCGCACGCACACAGGTACCAGGGGTGACATGCCCGGGCAGATTCACCTGTAGCGTGGGCCTGCACAGGTCCCAGCGCAGGGTGTCACCCCAGGTCCACGGACACACGTGGGGTTCGCCGCTCCGTTCTCACAGGCCCTACTGTGTGTGCACAGGCTCCCTTGGGGGGGCTCCAGTGTGGGTCCCAGTGCATCCTGTGACTCACTGGCCACCTCTGTCTCTGTCTCTGTCTCTGTCCTTTTGGGATTTTGGTTTTGGTTTTTGCTTTTTCTTTGCAGCCGGGCTCTCGCTTAGTGGTCCAGGCTGGTGTCAACCTCACCGGATTCTCCTGGCTGGGTTCGGAGGTGCTGGAATTACAGGCCTGCACTGCCAGGCCCAGCCCAGCCCTCCTTTTTACGTCTGTGTTTTTCTCCACTCTCTCCGAGTTCCGCCTGTCTTTGACACATGTGTGCACACACACACGCACAGACACACACACACACATGCATGCACACACACGCACCGTGGTGCCACACCTGCCCACACGCACGATTTTCCACTAACTCAAATCGTGCCACACACCCCTTGTCCACCCAGTAGGACAGTTAGGCCACACCACACCCTAGAGGGACGTGGCCCTCAGGGATGGTGACACAGACAGGCCGAGGCTGCTTCTCTCCTCCGTGCACGCCCCATCCCTGCAGCACCTGAGCTGGGTCCCTATCACCTACTCCTGGGCCCAGTTTCAAGGCCACACAGCCGTAGTAGATGCCCAGTGCTGGGGGAATGGGGACCCATAGTCCCAGGATTGGCCACCCCTCCCTCAGCCAGGACCCCAGCCTCGAGGAGCTGCAGGCTTCCCCGTGACACTGGCATCCTCACTCTCTGACTGCACCCGCTGCTGCTGCAGCTCTGGCAGCTTCCTGAGCCCCCACATCTGGCCGAGCCAGCCCCTCCTCCTGCCCGCCCCTGCCTTGCGGTTCCCAGGGCTTGGGCTGGCAGAGACAGCTGCGTGAGAACAGCTGGGCTGGGGCGGGGGGCCGTGGGAACGGTGCGTGGGGGCCCCTATGCACCCACACAGACACCCCCGGCCCCGTGCAGCTGTTGCCTGGCAGCAGGAGGGAGGGGGTCTGTCCCTGGGGACTGGGTCCCCGGGTGCCTGACTGACCCCCACCTTCCTTCACCCCACACAGCCCCCCCCTGCCTGGATGGAAGCCCTTGTGCCAATGGAGGTCGCTGCACCCAGCTGCCCTCCAGGGAGGCCGCCTGCCTGTGAGTGGCTGGCCCAGCGCCAGCGAGGGCCCCGCGGGGTGGGGGTGGGGTGTCCAGCGTCCCCCTCTGCCTCCCTCTTGCCAGGTCCTACACGTGTGTGGCTTGGGCGCCTCTCATGTTTCCCCCTCGGGAACGAGCAGGGGCTCTGTGGGTCCGGCTCGTGTGGGCTCGAATCCCATGTCACGGTGCCCCCCTGCTGGGAATGAGTCCCTTAGGTCAGTGGGTCCTGGTCTGGTCTTCTGTTTTTATAGGGCTGATAACCCTGGTGTCATAGAAGTCTTGGCTTCCCAAGGTCACATGGAACGCCCTTGGATGGAGGCAGTTACTCAGTTTAGTGGGAGGGACAGGGGCTTGTAGTCACCTGCTATTTTTCTTTTTTTCTCTCTTATTTTATTTTTTGAGACAGGGTCTCACTATGTAGTTCAGGCTGGTGTTGATCTCATTTTGTAGGCCAGGCTGATCCCAAACTCTCAGCAATCCTGCTTCAGCTTCCCAAGTGCTGGGATTATAGGCATGTACCTCCACACCCAGCTTTTTCTTTTCTTTTTGACACAAGATTTTGCTTTGTGGTTCAGGCCAGGCTTGAAGTTACTGTGTAGCTCAGCTGGCTGCAAACTTGTGACAACCTTCCCGATTCAGCCTCCTGAATGCTGGGATTACCTGCCTGCACTGCCACATCTGTCTGGCTGCCACTTCCTTGATGAGTGACCTTGGCCTAGTGACATCCCCTCTCTGCATCTGTGAAAGAGGCGAGCTCAGGGGCTGGGGATTTAGCTCAGCGGCATAAGCGCCTTCCTTGCAAGTGTGCGGTCGTGAGTTCGATCCCTGGTACCAATAAAAACGAAAAAGACAAAAAAAAAAAAAAAAAAAAAAAAAAAAAAAAAAAGGAAAGAGGCGAGCTCTCCCTTCCTGGCTTGCAGCTGAAGGAACCCCAAAATTTATTTGTTCCATAAACAAGAAAAGGCACAGGGCTGTGGGGTGGGCAGAGCAGGCACTGGGGAAGAGGTGACAGGAGACAGCTCAGCTTGAATTGTGGGCTCGGGGGTACCTTGAGCCAAGGCTTGGGAGCTTTCTGAGTTCAGTATTTGCATCTAAAAAATGGGCATGATGGTCCACACCTTCCAGCACCCAGGAGGCTGTGGCAGGAGGATCTCTGTAAGTTCAAGGCCAGCCTGGCTGCACAGTGAGTTCAAGGCCAGTTTGGACTGCAGTTGTGCCAGCAGTTCATTCTTTATGGCATTGCCTGTAAAGATGGAAACAGAGTCCAACTGGATGCTGGACACTCAGCATCCAGTAAGTGTTCAATAAATGCTCATAAATATTGATGATAGGGACTGAGAAGTTAGGTGCGCTGGGCAGACCTGTCAGGTTCTAGGGAAAGGATTGGTTCCTTTTAAATTAGAACAGTTCCCCCCAGGGTCACTCACTGATTGGTTCATGTATCATTTCTTCTCTAAGAGAAATTATACGCCCAGAGACTTGGCGGGAAGTCTCGTGGGTGCATCTGTTTGGGGGTGCAGAGACGGGCCGGGGGTCCTGACGCTGGATGATTGGCGTTGGGGCAGGGGGCGGAAGGGTGAGCCCCTCCACCGGGACCAGGGCCTGCTGGACGCGTGCGCAGTGGCCGCGCGCCTGGCCAGCCGCCGACAGGTGGCTGCACCCGGGGCTGCCCCGCCCCCGACAGGTGAATCACCGGCGCGCGCGGCCGCCCGGAGCCCGGAGCGCGCGGAGTGGAGCGGGCTCGGGCCTGTGCGGGGCTGCAGGGGCGCGGCTCCCGGGCGCCCCAAACCCTCTCCCTAAGGTCCCCAGCACCGCGGTCCCTGGAGGGGGGTCCCACAGGCTGCACCCCCCACCCCCCCATGTCCCCCACCCGAGTCAGGGTGGTCCCCGTCCCTGGTCCCCGTCCCCAGGCCCGCGCTCCCGCCCCCCCTTCGACCCCGTCTCCCCTAAGCTCTGGCCGCGGGGCGGGGCGCGCGCCCGGGCTGAAACCGGGAACCGGCCCGACCGGTCTGCGGGGGGGCGCGCGGGGCGCAGAGCGTGGGAACCCGCCCGGGGCGCCGGGAGGGGCCCTGTGGGCTCCGGCCCGGCCCGATAGGGGGTGGGGGTGCCGGGGTTCCCGGGGCAGTGCGCCCCTCACGGCTCCAGGGGAGGTCGCCGCCGGAGTCCTGCCAGTCTTAGGCGCGGTGGGGGGGGGCAGAAAGGGTTAGGGTCCCCTCCTCTCTTAGGCCACCTGCGCCCCTCCCGGGCTGTGTCCTGACTTGTCTCGCTGGGGGCCAATGTGTGTGTGTGGGGGGGGGGATTTGTGGGTGACGCTAAGAACTGAGTCACCTGCTCCAGGTCAGATCCAGGCGCCTGGGACGATCCTGGGAGGGAGGGGACAGACTGGGCCTTGGAGGGGGAAGAGCTGCAGGGCTGGTCCTGCGGTGGCCTCTCCTTCTCGGTGGCCTCTCCCTGTGGCCCGTGAAACCATCCAAACTTTTTTTTTTGGAGACAAGGTCTCACTAGTAACCCAGGCTGATGATCCTCCTGCCTCAGCCTCCGGGCTGCTGGGATTACAGCTGTGCTTTCGCTGCTCCTAGCTGAGATTGCCAGTCTTCATTAAAACTGATCCCTTCCCAGACCTCATGTCCCAGTCCCTCGGGCCCCTTTGGTGAACTGGGGTAGGAGTGGCCTGTTGAGGGGCCTTTTTGTAACCCCAACATCCCTGACCCTCTGTCCCAGCGCAGCGCCTGTGTGTAGGAGAAAGGAGTGTGGGTTTTAGGAGACTTCCTGCTGCCCATTTGTGGGAGAGTTGCCCACATCCGGCGGTGGGTGAGGCGAGGCCTGGCTTGTGCCCCTGATCCCCCAGCCTCTGGGCCTCTGTCGGTGCCTCTCCACGCTGGGTGGTAGCCGCCTCCTGCAGTGTGAGACTTTCCGGAAAGCCCTTCCCACGCCACCCTGGGGCTTCCCTTTCAGCTTCTTTATTTAGTCAGCACAAATATAATGACCAGCTGGGCGTGGGGGTGCACACTTGTCATCCAAGCACTCTGGGAGGCTGAGGCAGGAGGATCAAAATTCAAGCCCAGCCCGGGCAATTTAGTAAGACCTTGTCTCAAAATTTAACAAAAAGAAAGAAAAAAAATGTTTAAAACAAGGGCTGACGATGAGGCTTGGCAGGAAGGTCCTGGAAAAATCTCTGTCTTCCCCCTCCTCTGTCCTTCCATCCATTTAGCCTGTGTAAGTGTTTCCTGTGATTGCTATGACAAATTACCACAAACCGGGTGGTGGCAGAAGTGTATTCCCTAGAACATTCGGAGGTCACTGGTCTGAAGTGACCGCAAGGCCACGCATGCCCCTTTGAGAAATTCTGCGGAAGTGTCTTTCACCGCCTCCTGCAGCTTCCTGTGATCTCTCACCCTGCCTGCCTCACCCGCTCCGCCGGCTTCCCTTTCTCCCTTGCCAACCTCCTGCCCGCCTCCACCGGGTCATGTTGGAGGCAGGACCGACACCCCTCGCCCCTTGAATTGCTTCCTTTGGAGACAGTGGCGCACTGAATTGCCTGGGCTGGGCTCAGACTTGCGATCCTCCTGCTTCAGCCTCCCCAGCACTGGGATTCTAGGTGTCCAGTAGCACCTGGCCCCTTTGTCTAAATACAGCCATCGTTAGGGTTTGTGGGACGAGGACTTGGTGTTTTGGGGGCTGCCACTGTGCTCATCTCACCCTTCCTAGCCTTCGTGGCCTGCACCGCCACTGCCGGCGGGTGTATATTAATCTGTTGCTTTTCTGTGTTTTCTTTGCCTGAGCTGGCGTTGAGGATCCCCAGGGTAAGAGCTCCTTTTCCGAGCCCCGCTGTGTTTTGCTAGTTAGCCACTGTTCCTTGGCGAGAATGATCGCGTGTGCCTTTGCTGTCCCCTCCACTCGCTGCGTCTCGTCCCTGTCCTGTGTCTTTGTCTGAGGCCGCCCTGTCCGGCTGGTGCCCACCACGGTTTTCTGCTCACAGGTGCCCGCCGGGCTGGGTGGGTGAGCGGTGCCAGCTGGAAGACCCCTGCCACTCGGGGCCCTGTGCTGGCCGCGGCGTCTGCCAGAGCTCGGTGGTCGCGGGCACTGCCAGGTTCTCCTGCCGGTGTCCCCGGGGCTTCCGAGGTGAGGAGCGAGGGACATCTGGGGAAGGGGGACCCAAGGCCGGCTGAGGCGTGGTCAGCCCCGGCTCACTGCCTCCTGTGTCCTCCAGGCCCCGACTGCTCACTGCCAGACCCCTGCCTCAGCAGCCCTTGTGCCCACGGTGCCCGCTGCTCCGTGGCCTCCGACGGCCGCTTCGTCTGCTCCTGCCCTCCCGGCTACCAGGGCCGCAGCTGCCGAAGCGACGTGGACGAGTGCCGGGTGGGCAGGCCCTGCCGCCATGGTGGCACCTGCCTCAACACTCCAGGGTCCTTCCACTGCCAGTGCCCAGGGGGCTTCGCGGGGCCCCTGTGTGAGAGCCCCGCCGTGCCCTGCGCCCCCTCTCCCTGCCGCAACGGGGGGACCTGCAGGCAGAGCGGCGAGCTGACCTACGACTGTGCCTGCCTGCCCGGTGAGCCCCTGGGCGGAGGGCAGGGCCACGTGTGTGACCTGGGGAGACGGACGGGAGGCCATCTCTGTGGTGACCGTCCTCGGCCCTCCCTCCCGTGCTAGGCTTTGAGGGTCAGCACTGTGAGGTGAACGTGGACGACTGCCCAGGACACCAGTGTCTCAACGGGGGCACCTGTGTGGACGGCGTCAACACCTACAACTGCCAGTGTCCCCCTGAGTGGACAGGTGGGCCCGGGGCCAAGGGAGCCAGGCAGTGGCGGGCCCCAGGGTGGGCCACCAGGTGTATAGACCAGGACTTGTGTGCGTCCTAGGCCAGTTCTGCACGGAGGACGTGGACGAGTGCCAGCTGCAGCCCAATGCTTGCCACAACGGGGGCACGTGCTTCAACACCCTGGGCAGCCACAGCTGCGTGTGCGTCAATGGCTGGACCGGAGAGAGCTGCAGTCAGAATATCGACGACTGTGCCACGGCCGTGTGCTTCCATGGGGCCACCTGCCACGACCGCGTGGCCTCCTTCTACTGTGCCTGCCCCATGGGCAAGACCGGTGAGTGGCTCTCTGGCCCTGATTCAACAGAAACCGTGGATGGGTCTCCAGTGGGTGAAGAGAGGCTCTGCTCTGAGCATCAGCAGCCAGGCGTGGTGGCACACGCCTATCTTCCTAGCATCTGGGAGGCCGAGGCAGGACGATTCCTATGAATTCAAGGCCAACATGGGCTACCTAGTGAGTTCAAGGCCAGCCTGAACTGCATAGTGACACTTTGTTTCCAAAAAAGAAAAGAAGACAGGAGCTGGGCGTGGAGGTGTGGCATACCTGTCACCACAGCTATCCAGAAGGCTGAATCAGGAGGATCGCAAATTGGAGCCTAGCCTGGGCAACTTAGCGAGATCCTGGCCCCAAATAAAATAGAGAAGGGCTGGGGATGTAGCTCCCTGGTGGAGCACCCCTGAGTTCCTTTTTTAGTACTGGGAGGGGTGGTGGGGCAGGTTGTGGGGAGAAAGTCAGAAAGACGACCCTGGAGCTGGTGCGTACGTAGCTCAGGGCTAGAGCGTGTGATGAGTTTGTGCCAGCCCCGGGTACCATCCTCAGCGCTAAGGGAGGCGGGAGAGACTGAGGGAAGGCGTGTGCCTGCGGGAGGCTGGATTTGGGGTGAAGGGTAGGCCAGAGAGAGGCAGGGGAGGAATCCAGAGCCCTTGGTATGGGGAACTGTGGGGTGGTACAGCCCAGAAAGTGAGAGTGCGGGAAGCGCAGAGGTCAGAGAAGGCGTCCAGGAGGGGCGGTGAGGGCAGTGCAGCGGCCAGGGCTCCAGGCCAACCCTCTGAGAATCAGGAGAGTCAGCAGGTTTTAAACACCCTTTTTGCTGTTGTTGTTTTTCAAATGGCTTAGTGAACAGATTAACAGATTAGCAAGGGGAATTTAGGCATCTTTGCCCACTGTGTGAAGATTTTCATAAGGAACGGATTAAAAGGCTGCTAAACTCACCCCAGGTTCTTGGAGCCACAGCTAAGGGCTCGGTGTCTGTGCTGGAGCTGAGACCTCAGCGCACCGGAAGTGCAGGGTTTAGTGTCCCCCCCCCCCCCCCCCCCGGCCACACGCCTTGGGTGAGGGTAGGGGTCAGCCCTTGACCTCTGCCTGCCTTTTCTCAGGCCTTCTGTGCCATCTGGATGATGCCTGTGTCAGCAACCCATGTCACGAGGATGCTATCTGCGACACAAACCCCGTGAACGGCCGGGCCATCTGCACGTGTCCAGCCGGCTTCACCGGAGGGGCGTGTGACCAGGACGTGGATGAGTGCTCCATTGGTGAGGGGGTGGGACGGACCCTTTTGGAAATGAGAAGGGGCGTGGTCTCAGATGGCCCCGCCCACACTGGCTCCGCCCCATTCCCGCAGGTGCCAACCCGTGTGAACATCTGGGTCGCTGCGTGAACACCCAGGGGTCCTTCCTGTGCCAGTGCGGTCGAGGCTACACTGGACCTCGCTGTGAGACCGATGTCAACGAGTGTCTGTCTGGGCCCTGCCGCAACCAGGCCACCTGCCTTGACCGCATTGGCCAGTTTACCTGTATCTGCATGGCAGGTGTGTGATGGGCGTGGGGGGCGGGTCCTGAGATTGGGGGTGGGGCGAGGGAAGCCCATGAGGTGGGTTTAAAGTGAGATTCTGAGCCTGTAATCCCAGTACACCGAGAGGCTGAGGCAGGAGGATCGCTGTGGGTTCACCTCCCTCTTCTCTCGATCTCCTCCTCCACCCAGGCTTCACGGGAACTTACTGCGAGGTGGACATTGATGAGTGTCAGAGCAGCCCATGTGTCAACGGTGGGGTCTGCAAGGACCGAGTCAACGGCTTCAGCTGTACCTGCCCCTCGGGTGAGCATCCTGGGACAGGGACTCGGGTCTCTGCAGGCACTGAGGCCAGGGTGGGATCCCGTAAGACCATGTTAGATGATTTATAAGAGAAGCCGCTTGTCGTGAAGAGCTTGGAGCTAGGTATGATGGCGCAGCCTGTCATCCTAGCACTCGGGAGACTGAGGCAGGAGGGTCGTTGCAAGTCGAGACCAGCCTGCGCTGCAAAGTGAGCTCGAGGGCAGCCTGGACTGCATAGAGAGACCCTGTCTCAAAACAAGAACAAAAACAGAAACCCCAGTGAATGAGATTGCCTCGCAAACACCGCCCCTGGTGCTGGGGACCGCTGTAACTCTAGCTGGACCCTTCCTTCTCAGGCTTCTCTTTCCACCCCTTCCTTCTCAGGCTTCAGTGGGTCCACGTGTCAGCTCGACGTGGACGAGTGTGCCAGCACACCCTGCAGGAACGGTGCCAAGTGCGTGGACCAACCTGATGGCTACGAGTGTCGCTGCGCGGAGGGTGAGGGCGGAGCCAATGACAGTCCAGGAAGAGTGCAGAGGCGGGACTAGAGCGTCAGGGGGCCAATAATAGGTCCTGGGAGGCCCTGGAGGTGGGGCTGCGGCATAGCAGAGCCAATGACATCTGAGGGATGGAGCTTAGTGGAACTAGAATGATGCAATACTAGGTGGGGGTCCATGGGATTGGCCAGGTACAGGGTATATATAAATGTAGGGGGAGGGGCTGGGGATTTTGCTCAGTAATGTAAGCGCCTACCTGGCAAGTGGAAGGTCGTGAGTTCGATCCCCAGTACCCAAATGACTCAATGGGCAGGGCTAAAAACAATCTGACTTGGGTAGAGGCCTTTGCCTGAGGCCTGGGCTCTGCAGGCTTCGAGGGGACGCTGTGCGAGCGCAACGTGGACGACTGCTCCCCGGACCCTTGCCATCACGGGCGCTGCGTGGACGGCATCGCCAGCTTCACCTGCGCCTGCGCGCCCGGCTACACGGGCACGCGCTGCGAGAGCCAGGTGGATGAGTGCCGCAGCCAGCCCTGCCGCCACGGGGGCAAATGCCTCGACCTGGTGGACAAATACCTGTGCCGCTGTCCTCCTGGCACCACGGGTGAGGCTGGGGCCGGCCTGGGGCGGGGGTCTGGGGCGTAGTGAGTGGCAGGAGTGACCCTTCTTCTTCCCGGGCCCCCTCCCCCCAGGTGTGAACTGTGAGGTGAACATCGATGATTGTGCCAGTAACCCCTGCACCTTCGGAGTCTGTCGTGATGGTATCAACCGTTATGACTGTGTCTGCCGGCCTGGCTTCATAGGTGGGCAAAGACAGCCACAGGCCAGGCAGGGTGCCGACAGGGTGAGGGGAAGGCGTTCGAGCTGGTGGCCCCATGCCCTGTCATCTCAGTAGCACTTGGGAGGCTGAGGCAGGAGGTTCACCAGGGTTTGAGGTCATGTGGTCGTTCCCGGGACAAGCTTGAGTTTGCGTCTCGCAGGGCCGCTCTGCAACGTGGAGATTAACGAGTGTGCATCCAGCCCTTGCGGTGAGGGCGGCTCCTGCTTGGATGTGGAAAACGGCTTCCGCTGCCTCTGCCCACCTGGCTCCCTGCCTCCGCTCTGCCTGCCTCCGAGCCACCCCTGTGCCCACGAGCCGTGCAGCCACGGCGTGTGCCATGACGCCCCCGGCGGGTGAGGCTCCTTCCCAGCTCCTGATCTCCTTGCTGTTGCCCTGGTCACCGGCCATCCTTGACCTCCTTCCCCCCCACCAGGTTCCGCTGTGTGTGTGAGCCTGGCTGGAGCGGTCCTCGATGTAGCCAGAGCCTGGCTCGAGACACCTGCGAGTCCCAGCCGTGCCGCGGGGGTGGCACCTGCGTCAGCGATGGAACGGGCTTCCGCTGCTCCTGCCCCCCCGGGGTCCAGGGTGCGTGTCCCCGCCTTTCCTCCCCAAGGCCCCCTGATATCCCTGTCCTCGTTTCCTTTCTCCGTTATTCTCGGGATATTTGTTCTTTGTGTGTGTGTGTGTGTGTGTGTGTGTGTGTGTGTGTGTGTGTGGTTTTTATCGGTACCAGGGATCGAACTCACGACTGCCTGCTTGCAAGGCAGGCGCTTATGCCGCTGAGCTAAACCCCCAGCCCTTGGGACACTTGTTCTTTTTCTGCTTCTCTTTTTCACCTCATGGAGCTCCGTCAGGGAGGGGGCTGTCGGGGGACCCCAGGGAGGGAGGTGATTGGAACCTGAGGTCTCTCAAGACATTGTCACTCTGCTGGGGAAGCCTGTCATCCCAGCACTCCGGAGCCCGAGGCAGGAGGATCACTGTGAGCTCAAGCCCAGCCTCGGCTGCGTAGTGAGTTTGTGAGTTCGAGGGCAGCCTGGAGCACACAGCAAGACCCTGTCTCAGGGCGTCAGAGGAACCAAGTATGATGCCCTCACTCTGTCTGCCCCCTCCTGTAGGCCGCCAGTGTGAGCTGCTGTCTCCTTGCACCCCAAATCCTTGTGAGCACGGGGGGCGCTGTGAAGCTGCCCCTGGCCAGCCGGTTGTCTGCTCCTGCCCTCTGGGCTGGCAAGGTACGCTGGCACCGGCTTCCTCCTCCTCTTCACCTCCTCCTGCCTCACCCCTGCTGAGTGAGGCTGGGGCCCTGTGGGACTTGCCTTTGAGGGGTGCTCCCTTCTGGGGAAGGAGCTCCGTGTGGATGCTCATAGCTCACTGGGTTCAGCTGTGGAGCAGAGGCAGCGACCCTGGGCTGGGCACGCTGGGAGCCGGCTGAGGGCTGGGGACAGCTGCTGCATGTGGGTTGGCTTTACGTCTCCCAGGTTCCACCGAGTCCCAGGTAACCTCAGACCCCACCTTGCCCCTCTCACCCCAGCCATTCCCTTCCTCCCCACCCCCAGGACCACGATGCCAGCAGGACGTGGACGAGTGTGCCGACCCTGCCGCCTGCGGTCCCCACGGCACCTGCACCAACCTGGCGGGAAGTTTCAGCTGCACCTGCCACGGCGGGTACACCGGGCCCTCCTGTGACAAGGACATCGATGACTGTAACCCCAGTGAGTGTCGGGGGGTCCTGGTCGTGACCCACACTTCCTTTCTTCGTCTCTTTCTGTGTGTGTGTGTGTGCATGTGCTGGGAATTGAACAGGCACTGTTACATCCCGAGTGCTTTTTTATTTTTTGAGACAGAGTCTCACTAAGTTGCCCAGGCTGGGCTCAAATTTGAGATCCTCCTGCCTCAGCCTCTCTCAGTCATGAGGTTATAGGTATGTACCATCAAGTACACACCTGGAACATGTATTCAATATTTAATAATATTTAAACCAATGTGTAAAGTAATATTTTAGGCGGGAGTGTGGCTCAGTGATAGCTAGTCTAGCATGTGTGAGGCCCTAGATTTCTCTCTGTCTCTCTCTCTCTCACACACACACACACATTAATATAATCAATATTAAAATTAATGTTTCGTTTTATTTTTTTGGTACCAGAAATTGAACTCAGGACCTTGCGTTTGCCAGGCAGGTGCTGTGCCACTGAGCTATTATCGTTGGTCCTTAAAAATTTTTTTCCAGGTGGCCCCCCCAATTTTTTTTGAGACAAGAATCTTTCCCTGTAGTTCAGGCTGGCCTCAGACTTGTGGCAATCTTCCTGCCTATGCCTCCCAATGAATACTAACATTGTTAACAACATACTTGAATTTTTTCCCCTACTAAGCCTTCAAAATTCGAGCCCCGTGTGTATTTTACACTTACAGCATATCTCAGTTGCTATCAGCACTGATGTCAAGGGCTCCATCACAACACGTGGCTGGTGGTCACTACACCAGCCAGCACGACCAGTACAGAGCCCAGGAATAGGAGTGGGTACAACTCACACTGTGCCAGCCCCTGGCTGTCCCCAGTGATCGGTTCCCGGGCCCCCCACATAGTAAAATCTAAGGGCGCTCACATCACTGACATAATCTTTTTGCTTTTTTTTTTTGTCTTTTTCCTTTTTATTGGTATCGGGGATCGAACTTACAACTGCCTGCTTGTAAGGCAGGTGCTTAGGCCGCTGAGCTAAATCTCCAGCCCCTCTTTTTGCTTTTTGAAACAGGGTCTTGCTATGTGGAGCAGGCTGGCCGTGGGCTCACTATGTAGCCCAGGCTGGTCTGAACTCGCAGCGATCCTCCTGCCTCAGCCTTCCAGGTGCTGGGATGACAGGCGTGTGCCGCCACGCCTGATTCTGCACAGTATTTGTGAAGAACTTGCACAATCCTTTATAGACTCTGAGTGATCTCATGATGACTTGTAGCCTAGTACGATACTAATGTCATGTAAATACTTGTTAGCCTCTATTGGTTAGGAAAGAATGACAACGGAAAAGCCCGTGCGTGTTGAGAGCTACCGCAGGTTCCTCCCTCCTTTCTCTATGGCTCTGTCTTTCCTAGGGTTTGGCCCTGTACCCGGGGCTAGTCTCAGACTCGCCCTGTAGCCGGGAATGGCTTCAAAGTTGAGATCCTTCCGCGTACCATAACCGGCGCGTTCTTCCGTGCCTGGCTTGATTTCTTTTCTGCAGTATTTTGCATCGACCAGTTAAAACCATGAAGGCCTCTTTTTTTTTTTTTTTTTTTTTGTCTTCTTGAGACAGGGTCTCACTACGCAGTTCAGGCTGGCCTTGAGCTCACTTTGGAGCCCAGGCTGCTCTTGAACTCACAACAATCTTTGTGCCTCAGCCTCCTGAGTGCTGGGATGACAAGCGTGCGCCACCGGGCCCTGCTAGAGGGGCCTTTTTGGTCCCCTTTCTCTCTCCCCTTCTATATAGGTGAGGTTTCCAGGTAAGGGACGAGAAGGGGATGGAGTTTGATTCCCCGCCCAGCAAATGTAACCTCCTGCCAGCCGCATCTGGCGTCCTCTGTGTAGGGGACGACCAGGCTGGCCAGGCTGCTGACCTCCCGTCCCCTGCACCCGCAGACCCGTGCCTCAACGGCGGCTCCTGTGAGGACGGCGTGGGCTCCTTCTCCTGCTCTTGCCTCCCTGGCTTTGCTGGCCCTCGCTGTGCGCTGGATGTGGATGAGTGTGCCAGCAGCCCCTGTGGCCCGGGGACTTGCACTGACCACGTGGCCTCCTTCGCCTGCTCCTGTCCCCCGGGCTATGGAGGCCTCCACTGTGAGAAGGACCTGCCGGACTGCAGCCCCAGGTGGGCAGGGGCTTCAGCTTCAAACCTTGGCTCTGGCCCTGGATTGGGGTGCTGAGGTAAAAGGGGGCCTTGGCTCAGTGTCCACCCGAGGAAGATGCGTGAGGGTGACCCATGGGGTCACAGCGTCTATTTGGAGGTCACTTGGTGATGGGTTCTGGAGGAAGATGGGGCTCTGCACCTGGTTCCCACTGGTCAGTTGAGGCTAAGAATGGGGTGTCCTCTCTGGGGCCGCAGCTTCTCCGTAGGAGGTTAAAGGGTCAGACCCAGAAGCCCCACCTTCTAGGAGGAGGCGGGGGGGGGGGCGGGGGGCGGGCAGGGGTGCTGCAGCTCGAGCCTCTTCTGGCCTCCCAGCTCCTGTTTCCATGGAGGGACCTGTGTGGACCGCGTGAACTCCTTCAGCTGCCTGTGTCGCCCTGGTTACACTGGAGTCCATTGCCAGTATGAGGCCGACCCCTGCCTCTCACGGCCCTGCCTGAACGGGGGCGTCTGCAGTGCCACGCACCCTGGCTTCCGCTGTGCCTGCCAGGAGGGCTTCGCAGGCAGCCAGTGCCAGGTGGGTGGAGCCATAGGACCTGGGGGTGGAGTCTGGAGGGGCGTTCCAGGCCTACCAAGGGGCGGGGCCATGAAAGTCCTGGGGGAGGAATCTAGAATTGTATTCTAGGGGAGGGGCTTGCCAGGTGGGTGGAGTCACAGTTCTCATGGAGTCTGGGGGTGTGTTCCTGGGTGCTGCCAACTGGGAGGGGCCATACTCCTGGAAGAGGACTTTGGTTGTCTATTCCAGGGAAGGGACCTGTCTGGATGTAGCCACATTCCTGGGGGAGGAGACTGAGGCCATGTCAGGGGAGGGGTCTACTAGGTGGGCGGAGCCTTGAGGTCCTAGAGAGGAGTCTGGGATTGTGTTCCAGGGGTGGGTGGGGCCATGGGTCCTACATGCGGAGTTTGAGGCCAGCCACAGTCCGGCCGGAGGGGTCTGGAGCTGGAGTCCAGGGGAGGGGACCTGTCTGCTGACCTGGGGGAGAGGTGGACAGTTTTCAGGGCCTCCGCCCCGGGTGCTGATCATGTTTGGGGGCTTCCTTTCCAGTCCCTGGTTGACTGGTGCAGCCAGGCTCCCTGTAAAAACGGAGGTCGCTGTGTCCAGACTGGGGCCTACTGCCTGTGTCGCCCCGGATGGAGCGGCCGGCTCTGTGACATCCGGAGCCTGCCCTGCGCGGAGGCGGCAGCCCAGATGGGTGAGCGGGGAGCATGTGACTGTGTGTTTGGGGGCGGTTCCAGGGGGGGGTGTGCATGCCCAGGTCTGCCACAGTGTGGCAAATGAGGGCGCCCCCACAGAGCATAGGGCGCGATGGGGAGTGTGGTGGCTAAGGGGGTGTGTGACAGGACAGCTTATGGAGGTGCCATCCTGGGGACGAGGCTAGCAGCGTAGTGACTGTGATGGGGACAGGAAGAGGGAGCCCTGCGTAGCTGTCTCTGTGCCCGACGCCACTCCCGCCTCTGTCTAGGGGTGCGGTTGGAGCATCTGTGTCAGGCAGGCGGACAGTGCGTGGACAAGGGCGGCTCCTATTCCTGCGTATGTCCAGAGGGTCGCACTGGCAGCCACTGCGAGCAGGAGGCGGACCCCTGCATGGCTCGGCCCTGCCAGCACGGGGGCACCTGCCGGGGCTACATGGGGGGCTACGTGTGTGAGGTAAGGGTAAGGGGGCGGAGGGGGACCAGCCACCTCCGAGTGTGAATGTGGGGTCTATCTCTGTGCGGTCTGTTTTTGTCTGGTATCTCTGATGGTGTTTCCTTGGGGATGAGTGAACGCGGCAGTGGTTGCGTGTGTCTGGTTGTGTATGTTGGGGACGTGTGTTTGCCTGTGTGTCCTGGTGTGCCAGGACCCTCTGTATGTGCACAGGTGTGTCTAGGCAGGTCTGTGGCCCTCGGGGCTGAGTGGGTCTTTCGCCTCTACACAGTGTCCAGCTGGTTACTCTGGGGACAACTGTGAGGACGATGTGGACGAGTGTGCCTCTCAGCCCTGCCAGCACGGGGGCTCCTGCATTGACCTCGTGGCCCGATATCTCTGCTCCTGTCCCCCTGGGACACTGGGTATGCTGGGGCCGGGACCGGGGGACAGCACAGAGGCTGGCTCTTCCAACACTGATCGCTCACTCCCCCCAGGATCGCACTGTGAGGTCAACGAGGATGACTGTGGTCCATCCCCGGACCTGGGCCTCCGGTGCCTGCACAACGGCACCTGTGTGGACCTGGTGGGCGGCTTCCGCTGTAATTGCCCCCCAGGATACACGGGTCTGCACTGCGAGGCGGACATCAACGAGTGTCGCCCTGGCGCCTGCCATGCAGCCCACACCCAGGACTGCCTGCAGGAGCCCGGTGGGCACTTCCGCTGCCTCTGCCATGCTGGCTTCACAGGTGAGCAGCAAAGCCAGGGTGGGCCTGAGACTCTGTCTCTCCTTCTGCCTTTGTGTCTTAAGTCACCTGTCCCTGCTTGTTCAGGGCCCCGCTGTCAGACCGCTCTGTCTCCTTGTGAGTCCCAGCCATGCCAGAATGCAGGCCAGTGCCGCCCCAGCCCGGGCCCGGGGGGCGTGCTGACCTTCACCTGCCACTGTGTCCAGGTAGGTTGAGTGGCACGGGTGGCAACTCCATGGACAGAGAGTGTAGCCTCAGGGAACAGTGTGGCTTTGGGGAAGAAAGGGGGCTTGTGGATGAGAAAGGAGAAATGCAGAAATTACCTTGAGTTTGGAGAGGTGTTCCCCCCAAGCTTGGGTGTGGAGGAGTGGCTTCCAGAAGGGGTGACCTCGGGAAGGAGTGGTCTCCCGGATAGGGTGTGGCCTTGAGAAAGGCGTGGCATCCTTGGTAGGGCATAGCCTGGGGAAGGTGTGGTCTCCTTGGTAGGGCGTGGCCTCGGGGAGGTGTGGCCTCCCTAGGGGAGGTGTGGCCTTGGGGCAGGGCGTGGCTTCCCTGGTAGGGTGTGGCCTCCCTGGTAGGCGTGGCCTGGGGAAGGTGTGACCTCCAGGGAACCTGGAGAAATTGGGCAGGACTTGGAGAAGTTGGGGCTTGACTTGCTCTTGCATATCCTTACCCTCACCATCTTCTGTCTCCTCCCCTTTCTGGTCTTCATTCTCTTCTCTCTCCTCCCATCCACTCTCTCCCCAACCCTGCAGCCGTTCTGGGGTCCGCGCTGTGAGCATGTGGCACGTACCTGTCGGGAGCTGCAGTGCCTTCCAGGCGTCCCCTGCCAGCAGACACCGCGCGGGCCTCGCTGCGCGTGTCCCCCGGGCGTGTCGGGGCTCTCCTGCCGCTCCAAGGCGCTGCCCCCGGGAAGCACCAACGCCAGCTGCGCAGCTGCCCCCTGTCTGCACGGGGGCTCCTGTCGCCCTGCGCCCCTCGCCCCCTTCTTCCGCTGCGGGTGCGCTCCAGGCTGGACCGGGCCGCGCTGCGAGACTTCGGTAGCAGTGTCAGCGCCCGAGGTCGCGGAGGAGCCGTGGTGCCCACGAGCCGCCTGCCAGGCCAAGCGCGGGAACCGGCGCTGCGACCGCGAATGCAACATTCGGGCCTGCGGCTGGGACGGCGGCGACTGCTCGCTGAGCGTGGACGACCCCTGGCGGCAGTGCGAGGCGCTGCAGTGCTGGCGTCTCTTCAACAACAGCCGCTGCGACCCGGCCTGCAGCTCGCCCGCCTGCCTCTATGACAACTTTGACTGCCACGGCCGAGAGCGCACCTGCAAGTGAGCCGGACCCCTGACCCCTGCCGTCTCGGTCTGTCCACTGCAGTCCTCTTCCTGTCCGCTAGGCCACCTTTCATTTCCAAGCCATATGCATGTCCATGCATGACCTCTGCCCAGCGTCCTCCAGGTGCCGTCTCCATCCCTGTCGTTTGTCCTTCCATCCATTTACCCTGCTGTGCACCCATCCCTGCATCCTTAGGCCCGGGCCATCGTCTTCCCTTCACTCCCTCCTGGATTTGCAGGAGGCCAAGCCTATGTAGCACACAATTGCCCTGGGCAAGCATTGTCTGGAGTCTGTTATTCGGGGTCCTGTGTGCCTTGGGGGCTCCCAGGGCCCTGACTCTGCCCCTCTCTGCTCCCAGCCCTGTCTACGAGAAGTACTGCGCTGACCACTTCGCAGATGGCCGCTGCGATCAGGGCTGCAACACGGAGGAGTGTGGCTGGGACGGGCTGGACTGCGCAAGCGAGGTGCCGGCTCTGCTGGCCCGCGGCGTCCTGGTCCTCACGGTGCTGATGCCCCCCGAGGAGCTGCTGCGCTCCAGCGCCGACTTCCTGCAGCGTCTCAGCGCCATCCTGCGCACCTCTCTGCGCTTCCGCCTGGACGCGAATGGCAAGGCCATGGTCTTCCCTTACCACCGGCCCAGCTCTGGTTCCGAGGCTCGTACCCGGCGGGAGCTGGCACCTGAGGTGATCGGGTGAGTGATTCCACCCGGAGGAGCCACGGAGGCCCGGGGACGCCTGGAACCTGAAGAGGGAGAGACACCTTTAAATCTGGGCCTTGTGTGTGTCATTTCTCTTTAATTTTCTGTTTCATGTTGGTTATGGTTGTTTGGAGACAGGGTCTTGCTGTGTAGTGCAGGCGGGCCTTGAACTCACTATGTCGCCCAGGCTGGCCTTGAACTTGTATCGATCCTCCTGCTTCAGCCTCCCAAGTGCTGGCAAGACAGGCATGCACCCCCAGCCTCTACTCTGTTGGCATTTGAGGTGGATCTTTCTTTGCCATAGGGTGCTGGCCTATGCCCTCAGGATGCTGAGGTCTTAACATTAGGTGTCTCCAGCAGCATCCTGGATTTCTCCAGATATGCACAAGTGCATCCTGGGAGCAGTGGTGGGGGTGGGGTGGGGTGGGATTGGAGAGGAGGCCCAGAATTGCACCTCGAGTCTAGTGCTACCTCCCTCTGGAGAAGCCTGTGGCTTTGCAGATTGGTTAAGGGTGTACCTAGGTCTGATTTGGGGGGAGGGGAGGCAGAGGAGTGGGATTTAATTTTGCTTTTTCTGAAAATAGCAGGAGTTATGAAAAACAGGCTGGTTACCTGGCTGTACAAAACACAAGTAGTAATCACACTTGAAAACTGTTTTTAAAAAACCTGGTGTTTAACCTAGAGAAGTATGTTTTCAAAATGTCACGTTTAACCCCTTTTTCTTTACGGTAAAAGAGTTTCACTAAACTGTAACGCTGGAGTTGTGTAACTGCCATAATTTTAACGGAAACACTCAAAAGAACAAAGTGTACCCAATTCCCCCCAGGAGTCTCATCATTTATAAAAAAATAATAGGTATGATCTAGTCAGGTGTGGTGGCTCATACCTATAATCTCAGCACTTGGGAGGCTGAGGCAGGAGGGTCACTTTGACTTTGAGGCCAGCCTGGACTATATAGCCAAGCCCTGTCTCGAAATCTACCCCTCAGAAAACCACAATAACATCCCCAAAACAAAATATCTCTCTTAGAGCAAGTCAACTGAAGAAGGCACCATGATCCTATCTTCTCGTTCTCCCAAATGAATACTCTTTTCAGTGTGACCTCAACATTATTAAGAGCCAGCATGCTAGGGTGAGCACTGTGCTCCTATAATCCTGGCCCTTTATGGGAGTCCGAGGTAGGAGGATCACAGGTTCAAGGCCGGCCTGGAAACTTTTCGTGTTTTATGAGAAATGTAAAGTGATACCTCGAAGCAGGGCCAGATGGGAGGTGTGGCGTCTACAGAGGGTAGAGCAGGGGTCTGAGAAGGACAGGACCCTAACAAGAAAGGAGGGTAAGACCTTAGAGATACCAGGTAGGGAAAGGCCATGAATGGGTACAGCTGGGAATGGGCCTGGGAGAGCGGGCCTAGAAACACTGAAACGGAAGGGTTGGTGGAAGGAAATCACCTCGGAAGAGGAAACAGGCTGGGGGTGGAGCTGAGCACTGCAGCGCTGGCCTAGCACACATGAGGTCCTGCACTGGAGAAAAAACCTCAGTGCCCAGGGCAGCTGGGGTGCCGGTGCGTCAGCCACCCACCCAGCAAAGGCTTGATCCGAGTCTCCACCAGGGCGAGTGAGGAAAGTTACCGAAATACTGCCGTGAAAATAACATCCATTGGATTCCCGGCTCTGGGAACTCGTAACCACAGCAAGACCCGTTTGGGGGTGCACTGGGGTTGGATGCCAGCAGGGCACGGGGCGGGGGGTGGTGGAGCCGTGGCTGTAGGAATAGCGCTTTGGAGCTTGGTGCCGGGGAGAGAGGACGTGGCTGGATGCCTGGGATGCATTAGGCAAAGGTAGAGCCCTTGGGTCCTTTGCTGTATTTCCACAGCTCTGTAGTGATGCTGGAGATTGACAACCGGCTCTGCCTGCAGTCGCCTGAGAATGACCACTGCTTCCCCGACGCCCAGAGCGCAGCAGATTACTTGGGAGCCTTGTCCGTGGTGGAGCGCCTCGACTTTCCCTACCCACTGCGGGATGTGCGAGGTGAGGCGGGGCAGGGACTGCTGTGGGGTGCCGGAGGGGCTTGGAAGCCCCACTCACAGCCTAATCCCCACCCACAATCTAAGCTCCACCCACAATTTAAGCCCCGCCCCTGGCTGAAGCCCCACCCATAATCGAAGCTTCTCGCACCATAAAGCATCACCTACAGTTGAAGCTTTGCCCTTCATTGAAGACCTGCGTGTAGTTGAAGCCCCTGTCCAGGGCTAAAGCCCCGTCCACAACCACCCACACCACAGAAGCCCCACTAATGATAGAAGCCCCGCCCACGGACGAAGCCTCACCCCGCCCTTTGGTTGGAGCTGCCCTTGCCCAGGGCTGAAGCCCCGCCCACATTAGGAGCCCCGCCCATGGGTGAGACCCCGCCCCTCCCGCCCCAGTGGTTGCAGCTGCCCCTGTCTGTCCTGCAGGGGAACCACTGGAGCTTCCAGAGCCAAGCGTGCCAATGCTGCCACTGCTGGCCGCAGGCGCCGTCTTCTTGCTGGTCATCCTCGTCCTGGGCGTCATGGTGGCGCGCCGCAAGCGTGAGCACAGCACTCTCTGGTTCCCCGAGGGCTTCGCACTGCACAAGGACGTGGCAGGCGGCCACAAGGGCCGGCGCGAACCGGTGGGACAAGACGCACTGGGCATGAAGTGAGGACCCCGCGTGTCCCTGACTCCGACAGTGGGGGCCCAGTGGGGGCCATGCGAGCGCTGAGCCCCACCTCGGTCTGCTCTGATCTCTGACCTCTGTCCTTTTCCTGACCTGACTTAGCGTCTTCATTTCACGGCTCAGTTCCTACCCTAAAGAAAGCCTGGTTCGAGACCACGTGACCGCCAAGCCCATGACCCCGGCCTGCATCCCACCCTCCCTGGCCTTTCCCTGTCCTCCCTGATCCAGGGCCACCTCTGCCCCAGCCCTCCCTTGCCCTGCCTTCCGCCTTCCCTGGGAGCCCCTCTCGCACCTCTTCAGGTTAACCCCACCATCCACGGCCTGTGCACCATTCTCTGGCCCTGCTGTATGCCTGGGACCCTCATCTGTCCCGTGAGGCCTTGCTCTGACCGTGGACCACACATCCTGTCCCTCCCGAGTCCACCTGCAGACTCAGGCTGCACCTGTCACGATCCCTGACCGAACCCCACCTGCCCTGCTCTGTCCACTCTTGCTCCGCCCCTGGAACCTAACCAGGGCTCTGTTATTGGCCCAAGACCCTAATCCCAAATCCAGGCCCTACATCTCGCTTCCATGCCCTCCACTGTGACCCCACCCCAAGGCTGGAGGTCTCCGGTGTCCTCACCTTTGTTTCTTTCTGTGTCCCCCCAGGAGCATGGCCAAGGGCGAGACTCTGATGGGGGAGATGGCCTCAGACTGGATGGACACAGACTGCCCGGAGGCCAAACGACTGAAGGTGCTGTCTGGTTCCTCGCCCCAGTTCCAGGGAGCAGCCGTAGCCTCGTGGCCTCACGGTCTCCTCCGTGGGCTCTGAGCCGTCTTACGAGGAGGAGGGAATTTACCATGGGGGTCCACACAGTTCTCCGGGCGAACAGAAGGCCCCCTACTCAGTCCTGTTCCTCCTCTGCCAGTGTCCTGCCCCCAGGCCAGCCTGAGTTCATCCGGGAGGGGACCAAACTTGGCCTCTGCTCTTCTCCGGTGGATTCTCTCTTTGTCTACCCTGGGCTATGTGCTGGCCCATTTTCAGTAGCTATAACAAAATACCCAAAGCTGGATAATGTATCACGAGAAGAGGTTTGTTTGGCTGACAGCTTTGGAACCTGAAAGCCCACCATGACTGAGGTGCCCCATCTGGTGAGCACCTGATGGTGGGTGGGATCTTGGTAGCAGGACGGATGACACGGTGAGACAGAAACCAAAGAGAAACTCGGGACAAGGGGTTTTTATAACAACCCACGCTTGTTTGTAGGAACTGATCAGATGCCTCGAGAATTACTTATTTCTTTTGCCTTTTTGAGGCAGGGTCTCACTGTGCAGTCCAGGCTGGCCTTGAGCTCACTTTATAGCCCAGGCTGGCCTTGAACTCACAGGGATCCTCCTGCCTCAGCCTCCCGGGTGTTGGGGTGACAGGTATGCGCCACCGTGCCCAGATTTTTCCCCCCTACCTCCTTGTCCTTCCAGGTGGAGGAGCCCGGTGTGGGCGCCGAGGAGCCCGTGGATTGCCGCCAGTGGACCCAGCACCACCTGGTGGCCGCGGACATCCGTGTGGCCCCTGCCATGGCTCTGACGCCACCGCAGGGCGATGCAGATGTCGAGGGCGTGGATGTCAACGTGCGCGGCCCAGGTCAGGGTCCCTCCTGTCCCCCCTTCTCACTTGGGCCGGGTTCTAGTGTGTTCCTCGAGGCTCCCATCTGCAAATGATAAAAGCCCGATTTTGAGGGGTTTGAGCAGAACAAGGCATTCGTGGTCAGGTGGCCGGATTTGGTTTTCTGTTCTCCACTGATTATTTTTTCCCCAATCCTGGGGATGAACTGGGGGTCTTCACCCTGAACTACTGCCCAATCCTTGTTTTTTATTTTGAGCCCGGGTCTCACTAAATTGCCCAGGCTGACTTCAAACTTGGATCCTCCTGCCTCGGCCTCTCAGAGTGCTGGGATCGCAGGTGTGCATCTGCATGTCTGTCTTCCGCTGAGACCGGAAGCTTCTGCTGAACCCTGTTTTTTGGCTCTGGTGTTATAAAACCTTCTTCCTGCTGAGTAGGATGGTTCATACCTGTAATGCCAGTAATCCTGGCTACTCGGGAGGCTGAGTCAGGAAGGTAGCGAGTTCGAGGCCCGTCTGGGCAGCGTGGTGAGACCTTGTCCCATGCCAACCAATTGGAACAAAAAAACCAACTTTGTGCAATGGATGCCTGTAATCCCAGCACTCAGGAGGCTGAGGCAGGAGGATCACCATGAATTTGAGGCCAGCCTTGGCTTCACAGTGAGTTCAAAGCCAGCTTGAACTACATAGTGAGACTATTTCAAAAATCCAAAAAATAAGCCACGCATGGTGGCATAGGCCTGAAAACCCAGTATCTGGGAGGCTGAGACAGGAAGATCACTGTGAGTTCAAGATCAGTCTGAACCACATAGCCAGACCCTGTCTCACAAAAACAAGTCAAAAATAAAGTACAGGGGCTGGGGATTTAGCACAGCGGCATAAGTGCCTGCCACAAGTGTGTGGTTATGAGTTCGATCCCCGGTACCGATAAAAAAGGAAAAAGACCAAAAAAAAAAAAAAAAAATTGAAAAATAAAGTACAGTAAAATAAAATAGCTCAGATTTGATTCATAATGCAACCAAACCAAACCAAACAACACACCTCAGCCAACCTCAAAATGCTTTCTGATTGGACAGAGAGTAGGGTCACCTGCACATCTTTGAGCCATTCAGGGGCCAGGAGCTAGGCCGGGTGCATTGCGGGTCCGCCTGTCTCTGGCCCCCTCCTGGGCTGGCAGTGAGCCTTGGGCTCTAAGTAGGGCTTGAGGCTGGAGTGTGGGGTGCAGGAGGTGCCCTCAGGAAAACCAGGAGAGGTTCATGCCCAGTGGAGCGCTCCCTGCCCCCGAATATCGCATCTCAGTGTGACCCCCGGGAAGGGCACCTGGCTGTGCCTTTGTGACCGCTTCCTCCTGGTCCCCGCAGATGGCTTCACCCCGCTCATGCTGGCCTCCTTCTGTGGGGGCGCCCTGGAGTCGGTGCCCGCAGAAGAGGAGGAGGCGGAGGACACGTCTGCCAGCATCATCTCCGACCTCATCTGCCAGGGGGCGCAGCTTGGGGCGCGCACCGACCGCACGGGCGAGACGGCCCTGCACCTGGCTGCCCGCTACGCCCGGGCCGACGCTGCCAAGCGGCTGCTGGACGCCGGCGCCGACACCAACGCCCAGGACCACTCGGGTCGCACCCCGCTACACACGGCCGTCACCGCTGATGCCCAGGGCGTCTTCCAGGTGAGGGGGGCTCTCCGCTCGGGCTGGAGCTGGAGGTGTCAGGTCTGCCCAGTGGGGAGCCTGAGGTCGTTTTGATGATTTGGGTGATGAGGTCAGATTTAAGCATGATGTTTGCTGAGAATGATGGGACCTGACTTAGGGTCTTTTTTAATTTTTAATTAATTAATTAATTTATTTTTGTATTTGTTTTAGACAGGCTGTCTCTGTGCAGTTCAGGCTGGCCTTGAGCTCATTTGGTAGCCTAGGCTGGTCTTGAACTCACAGCGATCCTCCTGTCTCAGCCTCCCGAGTGCTGGGATGACAGGCATGAGCCACCACGCCTGGCTTAGATCCATTTCTAATTAGGACGCTGTGGATTTGCCCTGGGCTTCTGACCCCTCCTGGGCCTCTCCGAGTCCCCCGCTGTCCCTCTCTCCTAGATCCTCATCCGGAACCGCTCCACAGACCTGGATGCCCGCATGGCTGACGGCTCCACGGCGCTGATCCTGGCGGCCCGCCTGGCGGTGGAGGGCATGGTGGAGGAGCTCATCGCCAGCCACGCCGACGTCAACGCCGTGGACGAGCTGGGTAGGAAGCTGTGCCCGGGTCGGGCCCCCCTGGAGGCCGCGCTTCCCAAATGCTTTGCTGACCAAACTTACTCCACTGCCCCCTGCTGGACCTTAGCCACGGAGTCACCTGCAGAGCGGTCCGCAGCTGCACCTTGGACCACGTGGCCTTTACCCACAATGCAGCACGGCTCCGCCTAGGGCTGGATCAGCCTGAGCCATGGGTGTGTGTGTGGGTGCACTGGGAACCCTCATGCCAAGGGAAATAAATCAGACACGCGTTGCGGTGGTATCCGTGGCTTCTCTTGCATGGGAAACCCAAAGTATAAATTTTTTTTTTTTAACGCAAATCAGGGGCTTCGGATTTAGTTTAGCTCAGTGGCATAAGCGTCTCCCTGGCAGGCACCAGGTCGTAAGTTCAATCCCCCGTACCAAAAACAAAACAAAACAAAACAAAACAAAACAAAACAAAACAAAACAAAACAAATGAATGCAGTACAAGTTTTCCTAAGTCTGACGCTGTGCTACCCATAAGTTCCCCTAGTTCTTTTGTTTCTGGTTTTATATTGAAAGGCCTTTGATGGCTTTGTGTTCTTGAGGCTTGATTTCTTTCTGTGCCTTTTTTGTGGGTCATCAGACTTCTTCTCAGGTGTCTACTGGGTTTCTGAAGTGAATCTTGTTCTTCGTGACGCATGAATGAATTCTCTTCCCTGCCTTTTTTTTTTTTTTTTTTTTTTTTTGAGGCAGGGTCTCTCTGTGCAGTTCAGGCTGGCCTTGAGCTCACTTTGTAGCCCAGGCTGGTCTCGAACTCACAACGATCCTCCCGCCTCAGCCTCCCGAGTGCTGGATGACAGGCGTGCGCCACACGCTTGGCTTTCCCTGCTGTCTTACTGCACATTTATTTTATGGCTTAAAGGTTTGGTGACAACAGGAATCAATGCTGGTCCTCACCAAAACACTGCCGCGGTCCTCGTTTCAGTAGGAATGCTTTCTTTCTGTCTTTCTTTCTAAATCTGAACGTTTTTATTAGTACCTGTTTGCAGAATATAATGATGACATCCAGACCTGTCTCGAGCCTGTGAGTGCCAGACATCTGCCTGCCTCAGCCTCTCCAGTGTTGGGATTACTTATGTGCACCATGCTTGGCTTTTAAAATCTCTTGATGGTTTCTTTGGAAGCACCAAAGTTTCCATTTTTCTTTGCATTCCTAGGGATGGAACCCAGGGCCACCGGGGTGACAGACAAGTGTTATACCAGCGAGCTTCCCCGCTGGCCCCGAAGAGTCTGATGATTTACAATTCACCTATTTTGTTGTTGCTTTGTTCCTAGTATGTTTGGTGTCCTATCTCTGAATCCTTTGCCTAATTCAAGACCCTGCAGATTTATTCCCATGTTTTCTTCTGGTGGTTTTGTAGTTTGAGTTTTTGCACTTAGATCTCGGTTTCGTTTTGGGTTAGCTTTTTATATGGTGGGAGATAGGGGTTCAGCTTCAGCCTGTGTTTTCTGAGACTGAGTTTCAGGATGCAGCCCAGGCTGACCCTGACTTGAGGTGACCCTCCTGCCTCAGCCATCTGAGTACTGGCAGGATGGGTGGAGCCACCATGCCTGGCTTTTTCCACCTCATTTTTCAGCTTGTAGAGAGGCCGTTGTCCAGCACCGTTGGTGAGCTGGCTCTTAGTGAGTGAGTTTGGTACCTGTTAAGCCTAAGCTAATTAATTTGTTTTTTATTTTTTGCAGCTCTGGGGGTAGACCCCAGGGCCTCGCAGTGCTAGGCAAGCATTCTACCACTGAGCCAGCCCCTAGCCCTTCTTAGAAAGAATTATCTTTTTCTTATTATCAGTACTGGGGATCAAACTCACGACTGCCTGCTTGCAAGGCAGGTGCTTATGCCGCTGAGCTAAATCCCCAGCCCTAGAAAGAATTATTTCGATAAAAAAGTGGAGCTGGGGATGTAGCTCAGTGGCATAGCACCTGCCTGGCAAGTGTGACTTGTGACTTTGATTCCTGGTACCCGAAAAACCCAAAAAACAAAAACAAATCTTGCTAAATGGGCCAGGCTGGCCTGGAACCTGGAACCCTCCTTCCTCAGCCTCCTGAGCAGCTGGGCATGGGGATGGGGCCCACTGAGCTGTTTGGAGTTAAAATCTGAAGAGACCCACGGGACTAGTGGACAGCTCAGTCTAGGGTCAACCAAGCGCGGTCCACACGGTGTCCCTGTGTTTGAGGTTTTGTGTGTTTGCACGCATGTGTGTGTGTGTGTGTGTGTGTGTGTGTGTGTGTGTGTGTATGTCTGCCTGGGTCTGACCTTCACCCCTGCACCCCCTCCAGGGAAATCCGCCTTGCATTGGGCTGCAGCTGTGAACAATGTGGAGGCCACCCTGGCTCTGCTCAAAAATGGGGCAAACAAGGACATGCAGGACAGCAAGGTGAGCGCCTAGCACAGGCCCTCAGGCGGCAGGGGGGGAGCGCAGGGTGGGGGTGGAGCTCAGAGGGAGGGGGCGGAGCTCAAGGGGTGGAGGGGAGCGCAGGGCAGGGTGTCCGCTCCTGCAGCCTGCATTCCTCTGCGGTGGGCTTTTGGAGCTGTCAGCTTTCCACAGTGGAGGGAGGACAAAGTGGCCAGGTGACCTTTGATTCATGGACTGACTTCTTTGAACCCATCTCCTGGTCTGTAAAGTAGAGGAGCAGAGGTACCGGTTCTGCGTTGCATCCCTGAGCTAATGTGCTTGTAAAGTGCTTAGCAGAGCCCTGAGAAGGGGTCCCTGCGAGGTGGGTTGTTTAAGAACCATGGCCAGGTGGTGTGATATCATCTCATTTTCCAAATGGGAGAAGTGAGACACGGAGGCTTGCAGGGATCAATCCTAAACTAATTTAAAATTCCAACCTTTTATGGGCTGTGGATATGTTTTACTTAGCTCTTGCTTTGCACGCCTGTCATCCCAGCACTCGGGAGGCTGAGGCAGGAGGATCAGTGCAAGTTCGAGGCCAGCCTGGGTTATAAAGTGAGTTCAAGGCCAACCTGAACTGCACAGCTGAACCTTCTCTGAAAAAGACAGAAAAAAAAAAAAAAAAAAGAAAGAAAGAAACATTGTATTAAATTATCCTGTATTTGGTTGACTGAAGTGTTTAATTTTTTTGGTACTAAGGGTCAAACTTGTGACCTTGCACTTGAAGTGTTATTTTTTAAAAAAAAAATTTACTTACTTCTTGTAGTACTGGGGACTGCATTTAGGGGCTTCTCCACCGAGTTTTATCCCCAGCCCTGTTTTGAGATGGGGTCTTATTAAGTTGCCCAAGTTAGGCTACAAATTGAGATCCTCCTGCCTCAGCCTCTCAGAGTGCTGGCATGACAGGCGTGCCCTGCTTTGACTGAGGTTTTTGATGCCGCTGCTGTCAATTTCCAGCACTTGGTGAGCACCCTCCCGCCTCACCTGCTGGGTGAGGGACGGAGCCTTACCTGGTTTTCCTCAGCACAGCCGATCCAAGCCAGGTCTGCCAAGCTCTGGGCTTGCAGTGTCTTAGCTCCTGGCCTCTCCCGGGGGCTGGAGACTTGGCTGAACGCAGCTGAGGGCCCTTGACTGACACAGATGGGCCCTGTCCCTTGTCCTTCCCGCCCCAGGAGGAGACACCGCTCTTTCTGGCTGCCCGTGAGGGCAGCTACGAGGCTGCCAAGCTGCTGCTGGACCACTACGCCAACCGGGAGATCACGGACCACCTGGACAGGCTGCCGCGCGACGTGGCCCAGGAGCGGCTGCACCAGGACATCGTGCGCTTGCTGGACCAGCCCAGCGGACCCCGCAGCCCCCCCGGCCCCCATGGCCTGGGCCCCCTGCTCTGCCCGCCCGGGGCCTTCCTCCCGGGCCTCAAGACAGCCTCGTCGGGGCCCAAGAAGAGCAGGAGGCCCCCTGGGAAGGCGGGGCCCGGGCCGCAGGGGCCGCGGGGCCGGGGCAAGAAGCTGACGCTGGCCTGCCCGGGGCCGCTGGCCGAGAGCTCGGTCACACTGTCGCCCGTGGACTCACTGGACTCCCCAAGGGCCTTTGGCGGACCCCCTGCTTCCCCTGGCTCTTTCCCCATCGAGGGTTCCTACGCAGCTGCTGCTGCCACTGCCGTGTCCTTGGCCCAGCTGGGTGGCCCTGGCCGGTCTGGTGCCCTGGGCCGCCAACCCCCCGGGGGCTGCGTGCTCAGCCTGGGGCTGCTGAACCCAGTGGCTGTGCCCCTTGACTGGGCCCGGCTGCCCCCACCGGCGCCCCCTGGGCCCTCCTTCCTGCTGCCCCTGGCTGCAGGCCCCCAGCTGCTCAACCCCGGGACCCCTGTGTCCCCCCAGGAGCGGCCCCCGCCTTACCTGGCAGCTCCGGGACACGGGGAGGAGTACCCAGTGGCGGGGACCCGTGGCAGCCCCCCCAAGGCTCGCTTCCTGCGGGTCCCCAGCGAGCACCCATACCTGACCCCGTCCCCGGAGTCCCCCGAGCACTGGGCCAGCCCGTCCCCCCCTTCCCTCTCAGACTGGTCCGATTCCACTCCCAGCCCGGCCACGGCTCCCGGGGCCACGGCCACGGCTGCTGCAGCCCTGCCGTCCCAGCCTCACCCACTGTCCGTCCAAGGCTCCCTGGCCCAGGCCCAGAGCCAGCTGGGGGCCCAGCCCGAAGGCACCCCGAAGAGGCAGGTGTTGGCCTAAATCGCTCCCCCGTCCCTGGACCTTCGTCCTGCTCCCTGCCTTCCAGGCCCAGCTGGGTCTCTGCCCCAGCCTCAGTCTCCCTTTATTTATAACAGACGGGGCTGACGTCCATCCTGTCTTCCGAGGAGTCTGGGGAGCCTTCTTTCCCCCTAGCTCTCGACCCTCTCCCCTCATTTTCTCACTCTGTATGAGTGGGCAATTATTTTTTTGTTTTTCTTTTTTTACATTTTGTATAGAAACAAATTCATTTAAACAAACTTATTATTATTATTTTTTACAAAATATATCTATAGGGAGAAGCTCCTTCCCCTGGACGCCCCTCAGGGGCCCCGTGGGGCTGAGTCCTGGGCCCGTTCGGCCGAGCTGGATCCTGTGTACCGAGTACGCAGGCATGAGCGGGATCCCGTGTACCGAGTACACGGCCCTGGTGTGTACCAAGTAGACACCCTTGGGCGCACCCCTGGGCCCAGGGTTAGGGGAGACCTGGGCGCCTCCCTCCCACCCCCCACTTCACAGCATTCCAGTCCTGTGGGTCTGCAGCAGGAGGGTCCTTACCCCAGACCCTGGGTCCCCTCCCTTTGGGAATGGGGGGCAGCAGGAGGGGATGGATCAGGGGAGGTGTGTGCATTCTGTGCCCCCCCCCACCCGTGAGCTGGGAACTGTGGCAGGGTGACTCCTGCACGGATGGCACCTTCTGCCCCGTGGCCCAACCTCCTAGCAGATTAGAGGTATCTGTAGGCTATTTTTGTAATAGGGCTTCCGGTCACCACCCCTGTGTAGCTGAATCCCAGCCCTGAGCTGTACAGCCCCAATTCCTCACCACCTAATAAAGGGATAGTTAACACTTGCCGCCATCTGTCTGCTTCTGGGAAAGATGGGGAGGGGGCGTGGCTGGGCTCCCTCCATTTCCGCCTTTGGAAAAAGACTCCACGGATTGGATTGGCGTGGTCACCTGACTGAAGACGAGCCAATCAGATTCTCTTATTGGAGAACCATTTTTTTTTTTTTTTACGAAGACTTGTGGGTAATTCTCAGTTGTTGGGCTTTTAAGGGTGTGGGCTGACTAAGAAGTAGTTGTAGCTGGGTTGGAGGAGTAGCTCCGTGGGTGTGGTGCTTGCCTGGCACGGGCCAGGCCAGGGGATCGTCGTTAGCATTGCAAAACAAAAAAGAGCTAAAAAACTACCCACTCTCCAAAATTCACCTTTTTTCCCTGTTTCTTCCCTCCCCACTCTTGCCCACCGCTTTAGTCTAAGTCACTTTTTTAGGTTTTCTCTTTTTGAGTCAGGGCCTCACTATGCAGTTCAGGTTGGCCATGCGCTCACTTTGTAGCCCGCGCTGGTCTCAAACTTGCCATGATCCTCCTCCCTCAGCCTCCCAAATGCTGGGATGATAGGCGAGCACCACCATTCCCGGCAGTCTACCTCACTTTCTCACTGCTGAGGAAAAACCCCAAAAATCCAACAAAAAATCAATCTGACCCCCAAAGTAAAGAGACAAAAGGTTTATTTTGTTCACAGTTTGTGGTGGTTTCAGTCCATAATCGGCTGACTGGGAGGCCGGGTGGCGTGGCATAGGGGCGTTGCACAGAAGAAACCATCCATGGCACGCAGAAGGCAGCGGAGCAAGCGAGGGGCTCAGCCAGGCCTTTCTGCCCCTTTTTATCCTGTGTGGAGAGCCAGGATCAGGGCAGGGGCCACAGCAACCTGTGGGCTGTTTGGTGGTCACTGCCTGTGTCTTAGCATTGCACCATGAATCAGTCACGCACTCTGAGGAAGCCCCAGCTACCGGCACAGGCTTTGGGGGACACCAGACAGGAGCCAGAACACCTCTCTTTCGCTCCCCTTCTTTTTCGTCCCTTTTCCTGTTCTCCTCTCCTCCCCCTCCTCTTCTCTCCCCTTCTCTCCCCCATCCTCCCCTCCCCTCTTCTCTCCTCCCTGTTGGGCGCAGGCGCTCAACACACCCCGCCCGGAACGATAAGACCACGTCAGCTTCTGCAATGCGCTACGTCCCTCTCCAAACTAGCCAACCCGTGTGCACCTCATGCTCACTCCGTATTCGCCCCGTGCTGACTCTGTGGCAACCCCTGATTGGCCACAGCTGGGTATAGTAGCCAGAGCCTGCGTCCCATTTGAGCCCTGCTTCCTCGTGGCAGCCCTGGTGGCAGCCTGTGATTGGTCACGGCCGAATATATAAGCCAGAGCCCGCGTCAATAAAGCGGCAGTTCCTGTTACCACCTGAAGCGTCTCCTGTTTCGTTGGGGCTGCGCCGGTCACCTCCCTTCCCCTGCCCTCCCCTCCCCTCCTGTCTCCTCCCCTCTCCTCTCCTCCTCTGCCCTCCTCTCCCCCTCCTCTCCCTCCCCCTCCCATCCCCCTCCCTCCTCTCCCCTTCCTTCTCCTCTCGCTCCTCCCCTCCCCTCCTCTCGCTCCTCCCCTCCCCTCCCTTTTCCTCCCCTCCTCTCCCCTTCCTTCTCCTCTCCTCTCCTCCCCTCTCCCCTCCCCTCTCCTCTCACCTCCCCTCTCCCCTCCTCTCCAATCCCTTCTCCTCTCCCCTCCCCTGCTCCCCTCCCCTCCTCCCCTCCCCTCCCCCCTCCCCTCCCTTCTCTCCTCCCCTCCCCTCCCCCCTCCCCTCCCCTCCCTTCCCCTCTCCCCTCCTCTCCAATCCCTTCTCTTCTCCCCTCCCCTCCTCCCCTACCTTCTCCTCTCCTCTCCCCTCCCCTCTCCCCTCCCCTCTCCTCTCCTTTCTCCTCTCCCCTCCCTCTCCTCTCCCCTCCCCCTCCTCCCCTCCTCTCCCCTCCCCTCCTGTCTCCTCCCCTCTCCTCTCCTCCTCTGCCCTCCTCGCCCCCTCCTTTCCCTCCCCCTCCCCTCCCCTCCCCTCCCTCCTCTCGCTCCTCCCCTCCCCTCCCTTTTCCTCCCCTCCTCTCCCCTTCCTTCTCCTCTCCTCTCCTCTCCTCCCCTCTCCCCTCCCCTCTCCTCTCACCTCCCCTCTCCCCTCCTCTCCAATCCCTTCTCCTCTCCCCTCCCCTCCTCCCCTCCCCTCCCATCTCCCCTCCTCTCCCCTCCCTTCTCCTCTCCCCTCTTCCCCTCCCCTCCCCTCCCTTCTCCTCTCCCCTCCCTCCCCTCCCCTCCCTTTTCTCCTCCCCTCCCCTCCCTCCCTCCCCTCCCTTCCCCTCTCCTCTCCTCTCCTCTCCTCTCCTCTCTCCTCTCCTCTCTCCTCTGCTTCCCTCCCCCATCTCATCTTTTTTCTCTCTTGACCTCCACCTCAGGGTTTCTCCCCTTCAGTGCTACTGGTTTTTGGGACCAGACTGTTGTCCTCTGTGGGGAACTAACTGGCCTGTGCCTTATATCTCAGGCATGTGCCTGCCAGATACCAGCAGAACCAGCTACTCAGCCACAGCCACTAAACAAGATCCCAAGCCCTGCCAGTTCCCCTCAGTTAGGCAGAATCACCCAGGTGGGACCTCCGCACCCCTAATCACTAGGGCAAAGTCCTGTGGGGCCTGCTGGCCCCTCTCCCTCTCCTTCGATTCTCTGGCTGGGAGAGATGTTAGGGCCTTTTGCAAGATGGCCAGCTGTGTCCCCCGGACCACACTGCCAGGCTGCTGAATGCGTTTTCCCCTGCTGTGTAGCACTGGAGGCTTTCAGATGTACAGAAGTGGGATTTCAGTGGGAACAGCTGGGCGGTGTGCACTGGCTTCTCCTGTGGCTGAGTCCTGGAGACAGCGCGGTTTTAAATTTCTTACCTGTCATCTCTTTATTTTGCTGTGCTGGGGTCAAGCTCAGGACCTCAAACATGTTACGAGAAGTCCTTTATTTTTTTTCCTTTTCTTCTTTTGTTTTGTGTTAAGACAGAGGCTCCCTGTGTAGCCCAGGCTGGCCTTGAACTCCAAGTGGTCCTCTTGCCTCAGCTTCCCAAGTGCTGGCATTGCAGGCAAGGTTCAAATTCACTCATCTGCCCTCTCCCTATTTGTTGGGCAGCTGCTGTGTCCGGACAAGTTGTTGGGAGCAGATGAATTCTTCGTAGTCTGAGGCTAGGTTTTACTTGTTTTTAATCTTTGACCTTTTCATAAATGTGCAGTGTGTCAGTTACTTTTATGTTGTTACTGGGATGGAATACCCAATGCCCAAAATGAAGGAAGGAGAGGTTTATTTTGCTTACAGTGTGTGGAGGATTCAGTCTGTAACCAGCTGGCTCCAAGGCAGGGTGCATGGCACAGGGGCCACCGTTCCTGGTGGAGGAAGACAGCAGAGCAGCAGGAGCAAAGTGGGGAGAGCCAGCCTCCCCTCCTCCTTACACTGTAAGCAGGCTCCCTGTCCCAGGGCGGGTGCAGGCTCACCTGGCTCTGTGTCCTTCTCCTCTCAGGCTGAGGGTGTTTGGGGGAGGCTACCTGGGCCCTGCTGAGTCTCTTTAGTTAAGTTGTAAACTTTTCAATTGACATAGTGCATCAAGCATTAGTGCAGAAGTACGTTCTTGGTGCACTTTTTTCTTGAGGTATCAGAGTTTGAACCCACATCCCCAGCTCCTTGAAAGTTTTGCTTTTAAATTTAAGACAGGGTCTTGTTATTTTGCTGAGAAATTTCTACCACCCACTATTGTAATTGGTTGCTGTTAAATTCTGCCTTCTGTGGAGCTTATCAATCGTTTGTGTCCCCTCTTTGAGGTGTCTTCAAGGGAACTTTTGTCCATTTAGGAAACGGAGTTGCAGATGGACATGGTTGTACATACCTTGTAATCCCTGCACTCTAGGAGGCTGAGGCAGGAGGGTCACAAATCTGAGAGAAACCTGGGCAACTCAGTGGCTTTGGGAGATCTTATCTCAGAATATCAAAATATCAGTTGGAAATGTAACTCAGCATCAAGGCCCTATGTTCAATACCTAGTACCCCCCCCCCACAATATGCTCAAAGGTCCTGGGGTTCAATCCTCCAGGACTGAAAAAGTTGAGTTGCTTTGTTCCCTGACTGTCAACTGTGAGAATTTGGTATATATTCTAGATTAAAAAGTCCCTTCTTGAGCCAGGTGTGGTGGCTCATGCCTGTAATCCCAGCACTTGGGAGGCTGAGTTGGGAGGATCGTTGAGAGTTCAAGACCAGCCTGGGCTACAGTGAGCTCAAGGTCAGCCTGAACTGCATAGCAAAACCCCATCTCAAAAAAGACAAAAAAAAAAAAAAGTCCCTTCTTGTGTCTAGGGATTCAGCCCAGTACCTTTGCACTGAGTTATATCCCTAGCCTTGTTTTAAAATTTTAATTTTGAGACAGGGTCTCTCTGAGCAGCTAAATGACTGAGGTGGGGTCCATTCCCGCCCTCCTCTCTCAACGCCTCACAGGGCAGAGATTGCAGACCTGGACCTCCTTGCTCAGCCACAGAGACATTGTTTCAGATATGTGATCTGCAAATATTCACCTTGTCCAGCTTTTCTTCTCTAAAAAGCATCAAAGGTGGCAGGTAGATAACTGGCTACAGAGGCTCCCTGAGATAGTCAACTTAGAATTCTACATAATGCAGAGTACAGAGCCCCAAACAGAGGGAGATGAATTCTCTTGTCCCAAGAAGAAATTAAGGCGACTTGCTGACCATCAGAGATCCCACTGAGACTTGTGAGGTCCTGCAGCTTCGACTCATTAGAGGTGCAGTTACATTGAATTCGGGGGTCAGTGAGTGGAAAGGAGAGCTGAGTTGTCAGGGTGCCTACATCGACCTGTGGTGGCGAGTGGAGCCATTCCACAGAAAGGGGGCTTTGGCAGAGGACATTCTGGGACCCGGCAGGACTGGCAAGTACAAGGAGCAGCAGCGACTTCAGTCAGTTGTTCCCTTCCCAAACGGGATTGGTGGAGTGAGCTAGGCCTGGGTCACGTGACCTGGCTGAGAACCAATAGGTTATCTGAGGTCAAGTCTCTACAGTGGTGGTGCACAGAAACCACACTAACCCGGTGAAGGCTCAGAAGTTTGACTGACCCGGAGGGAAGGTGGTGCAAAGTAACACAGTGCAGGTCACAGCAGCTTGACTGACCCGGAGGGGAGGGGCCAGCATATACTGTCCCTGTCTGCAACTCACTAGCACATGGCAGTGGGAAGGGTCATCTAGCCAGCGCGTTTCATAAGAATTGTAACCAACAAGGAAAGAAACTGGGGCCTCCTGGAAGAAGCCAAAAAGATGGGAAGAGGAAGCAACAACAAAAAGTCCCCAGGCCCCAGCCCTGAGAACATTGACCCGGAACAGGTAAATACAAAGGAGAATGAGAACAGCAAACATGCAATATCAAACATGGCACCAGTGGACATAAACAGATATATTTGGGACCTCATAGACGAGTTAAAAAGTGAGATATTTAGCCAAATTAAGCAAGATATAAGAAGATTAATAAAAGAGATACTAAGCACCCCTCAAGCAGACACAGACAGAAGAAGGGAGGAACTCAAACAAAGGAGAGAACCATTTGGTGAAGAATATAAAAAAATATAGAATACATGAAGCAGATTCAAAGAGATCACCAGGAAATTAAAAATGCTATGGAAAGATGGGAAATCTGCTTGCAAGAAACTAAGGATAGATTATCTAAACTGGAGGACAGTTTTGCAATGTGGGAGTATGAAAGGGAAAACTTTTTAAAAATAACAAGGAAACAAGCAGTAACAATACAAAGGCTAGAAGATGACAAGAGGATCTATAACTTGAAAATAAAAAATGTGAATGAAGAAGCTGGGTTACAAACAAAGGAACTACAAAGGTTATTCACAGAAACAATTAAGGAAAACTTCCCAAACCTAGGAAAAGGAAATGATATTCTGATATATGAGGCATACAGAACTCCAGCCACCTACAACCAAAACAGAGCTATACTCAGGCAAATAATAATCAAGATCCCAGAAATTCAGTATAAGAAAAGAATATTAAAAGCTGTTAGAGACAAGAAACAGATAACCTATAGAAGAAGGCCCATCAGAATGATGGCAGACTTCTCGACACAAACCATCAAGTCAAGAAGAGGCTGGAGCAAAATATTCCAAGCCCTGAAAGAAAATAACCTCCATCACAGATTGATATATCCTGCTAAACTGTCTCTAGAAATTAATGGAGAAACAAGAGGCTTCCAAGACAAAGAAGAACTTGGGAAATTTGCAACCACCAATACAACTCTACAGAGAATACTGCAGGGCATTCTAGAGAGAGAGAAAAGTACTAGGATTCCAGGAACAGAGGCAGAGAAGCCTCAATGAATGGAGCAGAAAACAGAATGAAGAAGACAAGCGGACAACTGATGGCAAAAAAGAGCATAACAGAAATGAGGCAGAGAAGATTTTATTCAAAACTGATATGATTGATAGTATCAAGGTGAGAGTATAGGCAACTACACTGAAGATGACAAGACTCTACAATACACATTCTGGTCTGATAACTGTCAGTTTTTGAAGTTCTATACTATATACAAAGTTGTGTTTTTATTAACACTGTTATGCACTGATATATTCAATTATACTATGCCTGATGATATAGCCAATTCTATTGGAGATAACAACAGACAACACAAGGAAACATGGTAAAACTCTTTGTACAACGGTCTTATATGTTTATTTCATTTCATGTGTTTATAGGAATATGTTTTGTTTTGCTTTGCTTTGTTTTGTTTCTCCCTCTAAATATAGAAAGGATAGAAATACTTGTTAAGACTCATGCATGTGTAGAATCTATAAACAGTATATTAGAACTGATCTTATGACACATGATGAAATGAACAGATACTTTGAAGAAAAAGAGACACTAAAAAAACCAGTGCTGATCCTGAAGTGTCACAGTGTGAAACCCAGCAATAGTACTGTTCTTTGTTAAGAGTGATACGGAGCCTGCTTGGGTTTATTCAATCTCAACATAATTGAAGATATGGATAACTGCATGTATGTTTAAGTGTATAGGGTTGATAAACATTTTTCTAAGTTTTTGTTGGATAGTTAAACAGAAGTGGTTGGTCTCACTGTTTGAATCCCCACTTTACATGCTCCACTTTAGTATCTTGAATAACTATTTGTAAGAAGACAGTCTGTAATCATCAACTAGTGATTTCTTACTGTTTATATTTTCTTTGAAATTATGTATTATTTCTTCCTGTTTTCTGTTTTGTTTAGTCTTTCTTTAAATTAAATTTTTAAAAAAGACACTACAGTCCCCAGTGCTAATCACGGAGTGTCGTGATGTGAAATCCAGCAATACTATTATTCTTTGTTCAGAAGGATTTTAACCTGCTTTAGTTTGTTTAATTTAAACATAATTGAAGATATGGATAACTGCATGTATGTTTAAGTGTATAGGCTTGACAACCATGTTACTAAGTGTTTTTGGACGGTTGAACAGAACTGTTTGCGGTCTCACTGTTTGAATTCCCACTTGTTCTGTTTTTGTACCTTGAACAACTATTTGTAAAACGACAATATGTAAATATCAACTAGTGATTTCTGTTTATTTTTTTCTCTGAATATATGTATCATTTCTACTTATTTTCTGTTTTGTTTAGTCTTTCTTTACATAAAATTTTTTTAAAAAACATCTCATGGAGACTCATGGAGGTAAATCACTTCCCACAGCGAGCCTATAAAATTAACGAATTACTCGCTTCCAAAATTCGGAGGTGGCACAGGCGCAGAATGGCCATTTCCATTCCTAAGGGAAGAAATAGGCAAAAACAGCAAAACCCAACAGAAAACAGAGGACATGGCTTGGAGCTGCTGTTCCTTTGGTCTCCCCTTGCAGGTCAGGCTGGCCTTACCTCCCTGTGCTCCTGCATGACACTGCACACAGTGGCCAGCAGCCTGCAGTCTCTGGGCTCTGAGGACCAGTGGACTTGCGGGGGACAGCGGAGATGGGGTGACCCTGACATCTCAGGACCCTGGGGATGAGACCCAAGCCTGGATAGCAGGGTCTGACAGCACCACAAAGAAAGGTCCGGGCCGCTCTTCCTGAGCGGGGCTGTGGGCAGCACTGGGTGGCACAGGGTGGAGCCAGGGAGCCGGGGGAGTTCCCCCCACTGGGAGCCTCAGAGCGTGGGACTCAGTTTCCCCCAGGGAGGAAGTCCCTGTTTTCCCTGCCCCAGCCCTGGGGGCTCGTTAGCGGCTGGGGTCCCCGGGGTGCGGGGAGCCTGGCGCTCAGCACCTCCCTTCCAGGCCCAGAGCCATGGCACCGTGGGTACAGGAAGAGCAGGGTCCTCCTGGGCATGGTGAGTGGGACAGGAGCCTGGGCCCTGCTGGGCCTGGGACAGCGGTACGCGGTGCAGGGCCACAGATTCTCCCCGGGAGGAGAATTCCGGGCATATCGGGAGCACAGAGGGTTTCTTAGGCAGAAGCCGAGGGTGGCTTTGGGAGGAGCAGGCGGGCTGCAGAGGGAAGGCAGACGCTGGATTCCTGGACTGGGAACATGGGCACCTCCGTGGGACCCCAGGACACAGAGGCTCAGCCCTGCAAACCTGCAGCCCACCTCACGGTATGGTTCTGTTTGCTTGCTTGATTATTTTTGAAAAAGTTATTGGTAAGGAATCCTCCTTTGGATTCTCTCCACCTATGTATTTATTTATTTATAATTTATTCTTTTGTCTTTTTTCAGATAGCTGGCCTCTAGCTCACTTTGTAGCCCAGGTTAGTCTCCAAGTTGCAAAGATCCTCCTGCCTCAGCCTCCTGAGTGCTGGGATTACGCCTGGCACCACCTGACTCCTTATCCCAGGACCAGGCCCCTGCTCCTCACTTTCTGGGTTAGGTGGATCTAGTGACTCTCAGGATTCCTGAGGAATTTAGGTTGTACAGGATCTGGCAAGAGAGGAGCTCGGGGGAGGTCGATGCAGGGCACCTTGGTGCCCTCTGTGGGGTCCCAGAAGCTGCATTCTTCTTAAAGGTACAGGTTTTATTTATGATTTTCCTGCCCCCTCTCTATCTTATAATTCTTTTGTCCTGCCTCGGGCTGGGGAGGCTGGGGGATCCCGAAGGGCAGGTGGAGTCTCTTGGGGACCCTGAAACGGCCCCTCCACCTCCACCCCTGCACAGCCCAGACCTGGAGTGTGGGTGAGGGTGCCTGGTGCAGGAGTATTCTGGGGTCTGTGCCCGGCTCTGAGCAGTGCGGGGAGGGGATGTGAATGGCCACTTTCTCTCTCTCTCTGTCTCTCTCTGCCTCTGTCTCTCTCTCCCCAGGGAAGGCTCACAGGGGCCAGGGCAGGGATTGTTACTTGTGGGGGCTTCCCAATGATAAGCAGGGGGACAGGCAGGACCCGCAGCCTCCTCTCTGGATCTCCCACCTCCACCCTTGGGTGCCGGCTCCTCTCCGGAGGTCCCTTGGGCCCTCCCCCACTCATCTGCTGGGTGGGTCCCTGAGCCCAGCACCCGTTGCCCACTGCACAGCAGCCCTGGGCTTTCCTGGGTGTCTGCAGTGGGCGCGACAGCCCTGTGTCCAGGGGCAGGTGAGGGTGGCTGCTCTGGTCCCCTGACTTCCCGGGGATTCAGCTCTGTGCCCAGCTGGAAGGGTCAGGATTTGACACCCACATGGGCAGAGCCAGACTCACAAATCAGAGACTCTCAGTGACTGCCTGGTCGAATTCCAGCACCTTCAGGCTTCCCTGATTTTTTCTGCTTGTCTCTGTGGGTCAGCACTGCGGCCATGGCCACTCCCTGACCTCACAGCACCTTTGAGTTCCTGGCTCAATCTCAGGGTCCTCAGCTGAGATGCAGATAGTGTAGGCCCCTGCCTTGAGCTCCCACCTCTTCTCGTCCAGGTAGGAATGATACAGAGATCCAGGCTCCTGACCTCAAAGCTGGACCTCACTGTCCTGATGGTCACTGACTGTGTGTCCTGGGCCCAGGGTTTCCGCTCTATGTAATGGGCACTGGCCCTGCAGGTATTGAGCTCCCCGTCGCTGGAGGGGTACAAGTGCAGCCTGAATACTGTGGCTGAGTTCACCCGTCTGCTGCGGGGCCAGTGAGGGTGTTTCCTTTCTGCTCTCCTGGTTAGGTGCCCAATGTGGTCACGTCCTGCTGTGGAAGCCCCGGACTGTAGTTACGGAGCCCTCTTGTAGATGGCACCTAAGGACTGGGCCCCTCAGGCTTCCTCCAGATGCGTCGCTTTCTCTGGTCTAACTATCGCCTGCCCCTCTGCTTTCTGTCCATCTTTGTTTAGTGTCCACACCGAGAGTGGTCAGGTCAGAGACTGAAAACTTTAACTGCAAGAGCATGTTTTTTTACAAGTGTATTTTGCACTGAAACAAAGTTGTCTCTACTCTGGGATTCACTTGTTAAAACAGGATTGATTGAACCCCTTGAGGATCAATTAAAGTTTCCTAAGAGGAAAAAATCCTTGGAGGAAAATTTACCTTTTCTGTTGAGCAAAATGCACACTTAATTCAGAGGTGCTGGGACCTGCAGGAAAGCGTGCAGGACCCTTGCATGCGCAGTCGTGGAGTTGGTGCCTTAAATGCCTGCTGCTCACAGCACGCAGACAATTCCTCTCACGCGATCACTGATTCTCACAGACGGGACTTTCATGGTGCCGCCTGCAAAAGGCTGGTTTTTACATCCGACCCTTAGCATGCTGCTTCTTGGTGTTCAGGATCTTCACACTGAGCTTCAGCTCCAGCTGGTTGTTAGTTTAAAGGGAATAAAGCAGAACAATAAAAGGAAAGAGAACAAAAAGGCGGGGACACATAGAATCCCACAGTAGTTACTATGTTGCACCTTGTTAGCCTCTAAATGGTGGCTGAGACCACCTGCTGTGGGCTGCAAAGAGAGCCAGACAGTGCCAGCCCCAGGCGGTTTCTTACTGCAGTTGTTATGATCTCAGCCGCTGTCCCCCATCAGCTGGTTGCTTGCTGGGTGGGGAGCGGTGGGGCTTGGCTCTTCCCTCTCGGCCCATGCACGGCTGTCTGGGGGTATGTGGCCCCCTTTCCTGCTTCTCCCTGGTGGCAGGGCCACTGCTGGTGCACAGGGGCTGTGTGGCTTTGTTCTTCCATCCCCAGCTTTTAAAAAATTATTTGCATTTTCTATTTTGAGGCAGGATGTTGCAAAAGTGCTAAATTACCCAGAGAGGGCAGGAATGTGTGATCTGCCCGCCTCAGCCTCCTAGACTGTGGCGATGACCACCATCGCTGCCTGAGGTGACCTCTTTCGAAGTGGCCGGGCAATGGATGTGCGAGGAACAGGGAAATGGAAGCCTCTACCAGGAGGCGAGGGTGGCGGGTGGGTGACCTCGGCCCCTTCAGCAGGGGCCAGCTCTCAGCCTCCAGCCTTGATCAGTGCCAACCGAACAGTTGAAAAACGCTGACTTTAAAAAACTGAAGTGCAGCCTACGTGGGCATCACGTTAACTCCCAAAGGTGGGCGATGCATGTTGCTGAGGACCCCACACAAGGTGCAGATATCGCCTGGCTCTGTAGTTTCCAGATATTTTTCCTACCCGAGGGAACCCCGTCCCTCATGTGCAGGCGCTGCCCACCCCTTGCCCAGCCACAGGCACCACTGCCCCGCTCCTCTCTGCAGATTTACCCTGCTCTGCAGATTGCATGAGCAGGAATTCTTACAACGCAGGGTGCTGTGGCCCCTCCTGTCCCTGAGCATCCGGTCGCAGGTCCATGGGAGCCACACTGAATCAGAGACGGATTCTTGACACAAAGAGGGGAGAGAAAATCATGGTGTAAGTTTCAAGGAACAAATAGTCCTTACAGTGAAGGTGCCCTGTGCTCAGTGCCCTGAAGAGTGCTCCCTCTCTCGGAGCATACTTGTCCCATCTTTCCTGCCCCTTTCCGGAGCAGTTCAGGGAGTCCTCTTTCTGGAGAGTGTTTGTGAGCTAACTCAGGCCATCCAGGGAAGGCAGTGCATAAAAACCCGACTGTGGTTCCCCACCCCCCTTATTCAGGGACCTGACACTTGTGTGAGAGTTCTGTTCTTCCTTAGGGTTAGAAAGATCAATGAAGTGCAATATTTCAAATGGATTCAGTATCTAGAGGCAGCCACAATGACACACAAAAAAAGAGTTTCCACAAGCCTGGTGTGGTGATGCATGCCTGTAAACTCAGCACTTGGGAGGCTGAGGCAGGAGGATCACCTTGAGTTTGAAGCCAATCTGAGCTACATACTGAGTTCCAGGCCAGCCTGAGACTCTGTCTCAAAACAAAAACATAAAAACAAACAAAAAACCCAAAAGACTTACAGAATATCTTCAGAAATTGGAAAGAAAGATGCAGTGAATGAGTTAACACCAGGGCGGACTGTCTAGAGGGGAATTAACAGCAACGCGTGTTTAATGTGATCAGTCATTTAAATGTCAGAGGTAACTAGTATCAGTCACAGCTCGTGCACCGTGACCTGTGGCACCTCACTTTATCCGCTCATCAGCTCCTGGACATTTGGGTCTTTTGTATTTTTGGTGTCTGCTAATGGTGCTGCTGTGAAGGTTTCTGTCCTTTTTGTTCCAAAGCTTTTCAGTTCTCTGGGGCCGCTACCTAGCAGTGGAAATGCTGGGTTGTACGGTAACTCTGTGTTTAATTCTGAGGAACCAGCTATCTTGTTTTAACTTGCATCTCTTTGTCTTAAAATTTAAAAACCACTTGTTTCCTTCTGGTGTTGGACATTTGCATTTTCTCCCTGCTCACTGTCCCCTGGAGTGTCAGAGGACCACAGTGAACCCCACCCTAACTCTCTCCTGTCCCCTCCCATCCCCAGGGGTGAAGCATCCCCATAGCTGGGGCACAGGCTGATCCTAGCTTACCTCCATTTGTACACAGTGCTCTGGGGGACCCCGAGATTCCTTACACATGGGGCTCCCCGCCCTTCGTGGGTCCCATGTCTGTGTAGCAGTGACTCAGGTGTGAGCTTCTCTGCAGGAGGCCATGCCATGGCCACCGGCAGAGGCTGCAGCTTGGACACACATGTGCAGGACAGTCCTATACATGGCCGTGAGCTGCCTGCAGCGCTGCACAGGTCCTGGGGTGGGAGAGGAGGACACAGCCATGGCCAGATGCCCGTTCAGGGAGCCCCGCCCTCCCGCCTTGCTGGCTGGGGAGCTCTGTGAGCCAGGAATTCTGTGTGTGAGCTTGGACCTCAGGTCAGCATCAGGGCATGTTTTCAGTGCAGGCAGTTAGGGCCCATGGATTGAACTGTTGTTAACTTACTTTTTGCACTTTAAATCATCTGTCACCGGGTATGTGGATGTTCCATTGAACTCTGCAACTGTTAATAGGTTGTCCTTTTCCTCTCTCTCTCTGTCTCTCTGTCTCTCTCAATGATTTGTAAGCATGGTATCGTGGTGCAGGTTTTTAAGCCCAGTACTGGGAGGATCACCATAAGTTCGTGGCCAGCACGACATGCATAGTGATTTCAAGAGTGGCCTACATAGCCAGGCCCAGTCTCAAAAAGAAAAAAGAAAGAAGATTAGTATGTTCTAAGAATAAAAGAAAGAAGAAATGTTGTTAGGATTAGAATTGTTTTGTTTTGGTGTGTGATTGTTTGTTTACCCATGTTTTGAGTCAGAAGTGTCAGTGTAACGTCAGTGACTCTTTTTGTCCATGAGTCTTCTCTGTAATCAAGGGTCTGCTGTTCTTTACTCGAGGGCTCTGACATTCTCCCTGCTATCAGTGGTAATAAGCCCATTCCGAGACCTTGCTCAGGGCTCTCTGCTCAGTCTCCATTTCTTAGGTCTGAATTTCTTCATTAGACTCTGATTTCTTGGTTCAGGGTTCATTTTACTTTTTTTTCTGAAGATTGCAAGTCAGCCTTTGTGTCTGTTGGTGGTTCGTGCATCTTTGGGAAACTCCCTGGAGTCTCTGTCCTAAACCAATGCCCTTTATTTCTGCTTGTGCTGCATCAAGTTTGGGAAATGACCTCCCGAAGGTCAAATCTGCCTCCTCCTCCTTTTCTTGTTGATGTAAGGTTTCATTGAAACACAGCCATGCACATTCATCTCCATATTTTCCATGGCTACATTCACATTAGAATGACAAAGAAGAGCAGGTGCCACCAAGACTGACAGCCAGGAGGTCACCATACTGGCTATCCAATTCTGTGCAGCAAACATCAGTCACACAGGGCCAACTTCCTGTGTCAGTGCTTCCTGCTTCCTGTGTCAGCACTTCCTACTTCCTGTGTTTCTGCTTCCTGCCTCCTGTGTTTCTACTTCCTGCTTCCTGTGTCACTATCTTTGTGGAAAGACAGCATCCATCCCTCACCCCCTTTCCCACCTATTTTGGTCTCCCATGGTCCCAACTGTTCTTTTCTTTACAACCAGACCATCTCTGGACTCCTGCAACCATGCATTTTATTTATGTATTATTTATTTAGCAAACTCCTCCTGACTTTTTCTAATTTTCAGTGTTAAAATTTGAAGTTCATTTCCCAAGTGAAAATGTCAACCAGTATTTCAAACGTTGACAGAGTTATCCTCAATTTCCATCTTTCTGTCCCTGCTGATCAATGTTTTTTTGTGCACACAGTCAAATGTTTTGTTCTTCCACAGAAGGGTCAGCAGTTTGCAGATGGCCAGAGCAAGCACTAGAGGGCAGAGAAGGCGGGCTGTCTTGTTCCCGCCCCTGCTTTCAAAGGAGGTGTTTCTGGAACTCAGGTTGAACTGAGTTTATCTAAACGGATCCTTTCTTCTAAATTACAGGCTGACTTTAATTGATATCCTGTAATCATATGTATTTATCTTGTCAACAACATGAGGTTTTAAAATATGCAGGCACAGTGGAATGGCTAAATGGATCTAATTAGCACATGCATTGCTTCACAAAGCATCTTTTGTGCTGAGAACTCTTCAGATTGACTGTTGGTACTTTCCTGCCTGCAATGCACTGATGTGAACTGCAGTGTCCAGTTGGACAATAGATCTCTTTGTGTTTCCTTGTTTTATTGGAACAGGGGTCACTCTAGATGTGGGCTCTCCTGGAACTTGTGATCCTCCTGCCTCAGCCTCCCTGTGTGTGTGCTGGGGTTTCGGGTGTGCACAGCCAAGCCTGACAATAGATCTCCTTAGTGTACCCAGCTGAAAGCCGGTCACCTTTGGCTAACGTCCCCCTAACTGCCCACCTCCCTGCTCCTGGTAGTGAATATTTTGCTTGCTATGAGTTTCGCTCCTTTAGATGCCACACGCGTGAGCTGGAGCAGTGGCTGTGCTGGCTCATTTTATTTAGTGTCATGTCCTTCAGGATTATCCATGCTGGTGGGAGTGCCAGGATTTCTTCCTTTCTTTGTTCCTCTGGTGATGCAGACCTAGTTTGCCTTAGCTACCGAGAACAATGCTGCCAAATCGTTAGAGTGCAGAGGTCTCGATATTCCGAGTCTGCTGGTTCACGCTGTTTATCATGGGGCTGAGGTTTGGACCAACGCTTCCCAGGATTTTCATACCTGTGGAAGGGACATTGTCTGGGTGGTGCTGGGAAGGAAATTTCTCAGCATTTCCGAGAGCTCTGTCCTGTGCTGAAGAGACGGCTGAGTCTTCTGGCTGACGCACGCCCAGCAGGCCCTCCCTGTGTCTGCTTGCAGGCTGCTGAGAGGCTGTGGGGAAATGGGTCCCGGCTGGTGACTGAGTTCGTGCTGGTGGGATTCTCCCACCTGCCCCACCTGAGGATCACCCTCTTCACGCTCTTCTTCCTCACCTACCTGGTCACCCTCAGTGGCAACGCCACCATCATCACCGTCATCCAGGCGGACCGGACCCTGCACACGCCCATGTACCGCTTTCTGGCGTTGCTGTCTCTCTCGGAGACCTGCTACACGCTAGTCACTATCCCCAATATGCTGGCCCACCTGCTGACGGAGCGCCACGCCATCTCCGTGCCGGCGTGTCGGGCCCAGATGTTCTTCTTTTTGGGCTTGGGATGCAGCCACTGCTTCCTCCTCACCCTCATGGGCTATGACCGTTACGTGGCCATCTGCTGTCCCCTGAGGTACTCGGTGGTCATGAGACCCACCGTCTGCCTCTGCCTGGGGGCCGTGGTTTTCTGCTCCGGGTTCTCGGTGGCCATGATCGAGACCTGCATGATCTTCTCCTCCCCCTTCTGCCGCGGATCCCGCGTGGAACACTTCTTCTGTGACATCGCCCCCGTGCTCAGACTCAGCTGCACGCAGAGCACAGGCCGGGCCCTGGGCATCTTCTTCCTGAGCGTCCTCGTGGTGCTGGCCTCCTTCCTGCTCATCCTGCTGTCCTACGCCTTCATCGTGGCCACCATCCTGAGGATGCCCTCGGCCACCAGCCGCCACAAGGCCTTCTCCACCTGCGCGGCCCACCTCACCGTGGTCCTGGTGCACTTCGGCTGTGCCGGGGTCATCTACCTGCGACCGGATTCTGGGGCCCATCCCGAGCGGGACCGCCTGGTGGCCGTGTTCTACACCGTGGTGACTCCGCTGCTGAACCCCGTGGTGTACACCCTGCGCAACAGGGAAGTGAGGGTGGCCCTCAGGAGGACGCTGGCCCGTGGCTGCGGGGCTGAGCAGAGAGGACCCGCTGACCGTCATTCTTAGCACACGATGTTCCCACGAACGTCTCCCTCTCCTGCACTCAGTTTCTCCACCCGGGAAACAGTAGCAGCGCTCGGACCAAGTGCAGCGGGCTGCTGTCTAGCAGGGCCTGGGAGCAGCATGAACTCAGCAGAGCCCAGCTCCTCCCAGCCCTTCTGGGCTGGACTTTGCTTCTGGTTTTCCGGTCGGCAGTGCCTGACTCTGACCAGTGGAGGGCGCCATTGAGTCGGCCCCGATTGGTGCACTGGGTAGAGTAGGTTAGGCCAGCTGAGCAGGACCAGGGCTGCTCCCAGCGGCCCTGTGTTTTGTCTAGGAAGCCAGGCTTTGTGTGTCCTCCTGTTAGAGTTCCACACTTAAATGCCATTATTTGTTCTATTAGCTTCCAGGTCCCTTGTTTTTTTCCTCTCTCTGTCTCTATGTCTTTCTCTGTGTGTCTGTCTCTTTCTCTCCTACTGGGGATTCAATCCAGAGATTTCACACTGAGCTACATCCCCAGACCTTTTACTTTTTAAATTGTGACCCAGGGGCTCTCTAAATCACTCCCGCCAGAATTGAAGTTGTGATTCTCCTGCCTCAGCCTCCCAGAGTGCGGGGATGACAGGTGTGCAACTCCACGCCAGAGTCTCTTGTGTCCATAATTGCTTTGCTTGTAGCTGAGAGAAATGAGAATAGGGATTTAACTTTTTGTTCCTTTCTGCAAAAAGAACATTTTCTACCGTTGGGGGCTTTAACCATGTTTAAGTGTGAAGTCTGATAGTGTGAATCCCTTTCACAACTCTGTGCCAGCATCAGCATCATCTCTGTCCAAAGCTTTCCCGTCACCCACAGGCACTGTCTTTGTACCCGTCAAGCAGTAACTGCCTGTTTCCTCCTCTGTGGTCCCTGGTAAACCCCCATCTACAGTCTCCACAGGTTTACAGCCATGGAAGGGGAGCTGTACCCTGTATGTTTCTTTTTTCCCCGTCTCATGGTGGGGATTGAAACCAGCACCCTGCACATGCTGGGCAAGCACTGTGTCACTGAGCCCCAGCCCAGCCTTTATTCTTTGGAGACCAGGCCTGCAAGGTGGCCTGGTGGCTCTGGGCGCAGGCTCCTCCCGCCTCATCCTCCTGAGTGGCTGGTGAGCAGCCCTCCCCCCACCCAGGGCTGAATATTATTTCATGGCACAGATGGAGCACCGGGGCAGGAATTGGGTTGTTTCCTTCTCTGGGCTGCTGTAAGAAGGGCGTGGCGAACACCAGTGTATGCAGCTATGGCTGATCCCCCTTTTCAGTTCTTCCCACGTCACTGTGCTCGTGCTGCTTTTTGTTTTCTGGTGCCAGGCATCAGACTCAGAGCCACGTGCTTGCCAGGTGGCACCTGTGCCACTGAGCCGCATCCTGCCCTCACTGTGCATTTTGGCTCGGTGGTGGCCTGGAATGTTGAGATCATAAGGCATCAGTGTGTTTAACATTTCCAGGCAGGGCGTAGATGTTCCGACTGCCCCACTTCCTGCCTGACCTTGTCACTCTACATTTTCATCAGCTGTAGTCGCATCTTGGATAAATCTCAGGGGCTGTGACTCCTCCGCTGCACAGAGCTGGAAGTTTTATATTAACTACTCACGAGCCAACTGTTTAAACCAGAATCGCATGTTTTTGTTAATTTTACAAGATAATATAGCAAGAACTATAAAATAGTTGGGTCAATGTATTAATAATTTGTCTGAGTGTGGCGGACCTAAACACTCCGTGCAGAACCCAGTGTGCTGCCCTAAGCAGCAGTGTCTGGGGTCTTCCCACGTTCTTTTGATGTTATCGTCTTTCTCTGAACAGCACACCCTGCCCTGTTGTGTGGCATTTCCTTCTGTACTGTGGTGACATAATTTCAATAAAATGTCCTCCCCAATAAACGCTGTGGTAAAGGCACTGATGAAACACATCTTAGGTGGCCTTGTGCTAACCCCGTCTTTCAAGTCTTGGATCTGTTTGACCTAATCTAAACTTGGGGTGACTTTTTGAACCTCTTGTTTTGAATAAATAACCCACAAGTTCCATATTGTTGGGTACAGAAGGTGCACAAGTATGTCTAACGTTTCTCCTCTTTGCTGTTCTTATGAGATAGCTTGTTAGACACCAGTCCACCCCATTGAGACCACCCTCGCATTGTTACAGGCGTTGACCACTTCCGGAATGTTTAAAGTTTCATTTCTTATTTCAAGTTCTATCATTTGTGCGGCACAGATAGTTGATAGGAAGGAGCTGTGACAGACTTCTTTTGTGACAGACTTTTTCTCCCTGCTGTGCTAACACAGCTTCCTTTTTCACTTTTTTTGCATTTGTGCATTTTTTCATGCTTTCTTCGCATTCATCTCAGTGTGCAGAACAGGCCTATTTTGCATTGCAAAAGATTATCGCTGGGTGCTAGAGAAATACAGAACTTACGTCTGTGTACTCTAAGAGAAGTGTTTTTATTGATTAAAGCACAACATTATAGGTTATTTTTCACAAGTAAAATGAACATAAATTAGTAAAAGAAAATATAAAAACATGATTTCACTAGAAAAAACATCAAAGCTAAGCACACTGTTCTAAGGGAAAACATGTAAAAATACGTGAAGATACGCAAACCAAGCAGACATACGAGTGTATCCAGTGTACCAAGAATTGATGGTGAAAACCACACCTGTCTGACACTGACATAAACCAACCTGCCGCTCCATGATGCTTGGGGTCAGCTCTTAGGCAGTTAAGACATTTCTGTCCTCTAAGGAGATGCAAGGTGTTGTCTTGGGCTTTAACAGCTTTCTTTGGGGTAGTTAGATATTGGTAATGGATTGAAATCACCCAAGGTGTCTTCTTTGTTCATAGCAGAATGAAATGAGGAATTAGTAACAGAAAAAAATCCCACAGCAGAATGAAATGAACCAACACCTTCTCCGCCTTTCTTAGTGACTTTTCTCATTGCTGAGACCAAGTACTTGAGTCCCACCGATTATAGGAGGAAAAGTTTATTTCAGCTTACAGTCTGTGGAGGTTTCTGTCCGTAATTAGCTGGCTCTGAGGCAGGGCAGCCTGGCAGCGGGGCATCACGGGGGAGAAAAGTCCACGGCAAACAGGCAGGACGAATGCAAGCAAAAGCAGTGGCGGAAACGTGCTTTCTTCATGGTCCTTTATCCCCCATCCAGCTACAAAGCCACTGAGGGGAGCCGCCCACGCCCAGGGTGGGTCCTCCAGGAACCGCTCCCAGAACTGTGTGACCCAGTTCAGTTCCCACACGTCTGTCTTCAGTGTCACACACCCAGGAGCCAGTCCCCCACCAAAAAGTCCCACCTGTGAGCACGTGAGACTTTTGGGGTGCTAGATACAAGCCATAACACAGCCAGAGCCCCAAGACGTCATCACATGTTCATTACTTAAAGAGACTGAAAATGAAAACACAGAAAGCAATTCATAGCTATCAGGGCTCACGTTACAGAAAAAGAAAGATCTCAAGTCAACGGCCTAACCACACACTGCAGAGAAGTAGAGAAAGGCCTTGCTAAACCGTGGCGAAGAGGCTGATGCCATGAGAATCTGGCCTAACTTCTTAGGAAATTACATTCTGTGTTCACCTTGTGGTTCAGGCTGGTCTTCAAGTCCCTGTGTAGCTCAAACCATCCTTGAACTCACAGCAATCCTCCTGCCTCAGCCTCCCAAGTGCTGCAGTAACAGGTGTGCACCAGGACGCTCAGCCCTCTTGATTCTTCTTGTGTGTGTGCTTTTTTATTTTTTATTTTGTTGCTCATGCACATTAAACTGAGGCTTCTTCAGCCTTCAACATGGACTCACACTGGGGCCTCTCTGCAAGACATCCCGGAGTCTCTGGTCAGGCTGCTGCCACAGTCTTGGTCACTGCAGTGTGTGGTGTGTGATCATGGCTGCATACAGGACAGAAAAGATTATTCAGAGATGAGACAGTAGGATGCAGAGGGCCGAGTCCAAAGTCTCAGGAAAACAGCAGTGAGCCGAGACCTCTGAAGCTATTTATCCATAACTCTAGGATATGAGAACAAAGATGCAGAAGAAACAGGTTGCATAGGAGCTTTTGCCAGGGGACAGGGCCGGAATGGGCCGGTTTATCACATGATAGTGGTGACTAATTTAGGCCATCTTATCAGGGCAGGGAGGACACAATGGCCCAACGGACAACTCTGACGACACACGACTTTTCATCCTGCTGACGTTGTTCTGCTCTAAACTGCAACCGTGCCTTCTAGGAGCTGAGGGGCTGTTTTCCTAAGGTCCCCTCCTTATCACACACAGATCCACTCAGTCCGGTGACTGGTGTCTCCCGTTCTTGGTGTCTCTTATTTTGAGACTTCCAGCTCCTTGGATCGAGGGGCTCCTCATTCCCCAGCTCTTCATCTTCTGGACAGCCGTGGGGTCATGAAAGCCAGTCTGATAACTCTTGTATTATATTGGTTTATTCCTCCAGAGAACCCTAAGACACATTTATCTGGTTTTTATTTCCACTGTTCATTCTGTGTATTTGAATCTGAGCATGATTACGTGACTGTAATGGCGACAGCATTTGGGACATGCTCATGGATGGGTTTGCTGAATTCCATGCCACTTTCTGTAAATCTTTCCCCTTGAAATTATTCTGGTCCCGTGGAAAGAACAGGGCAAAGCCTACTTCAGGACAGGGTGGGAGGATGACCCCTTTCTGGGCCATAAGAAGAAGAGGGAAGATGGATTTTGGTAAAGCCGGTGGTCGGGGCTTGCAAATGCAGAGTGTGGCAGAGGACCTCTGAGATGGCCCCTAGTGAGCCTTCATCCGGGTGTCCATGGCTTTATAGTGTTCTCTTTCCTTGTTTCCAGCTCTAATATACTGAGTGATCATCACTTTCATGACCAGCGGGGAAATATTCTGCTATCTCTCTTGCTAGCAGTCTGTTCTGCTGGCCGTGATGGGGCCGGGTGTCACTATGTTTTGCCGTGCTGAGGACGGAACCCAGGACCCTGAATCCACTAAGCATGTGC